GGTATCAAAATTAAATCCAAGCAAACTGCTGGGGGGGTTGTATAAAGAAAAAAAAGGGGGGGGGAGAAAAGAAATAGAAAGTGAACCGCAAGAAGGTGAAGTCGGAAAATAAAGTGACCAAATGGTTTTAGTCTATGGTTTATGATATCTGTGCTTATCTATTTTAATTTGTGATAAAAAGATAGTAAGCTCCACCAGTTTGCTTGGAATTAAATTTGACACCCTTTATAAGTAAGATTCATGGTTTTTGACTTCGAGAAATATTAACCTTTTTGGAATCAACTTGAAATATTTTGCTAGCTCCATTCCTGATTCCTATTCATCTTCGGCTGAACTAATTTTTCAGATTAAAATTAAAAGGCATTAAACTGTTGAAAAATCTTCATTCCTCATCATGAAAAAACAATCTTTGCGAGGCTGTACAAGCTTTCAATGTTCGAGAAAGCATATTTACTGTCTTCTTTAGAATCACTTATATCACCATGTTATTTTTTGCTACTGTTTTCCATCTTTTTATTCATTATGTTCATCCAATTTCGTGACCATCTAAAACAACATTGAAAGGATTAATTTGATTGGAGCAAAGTTTAAAGTTCTCATCATCTGCTCTGATGTTAACGCCTTTGTCCGTAAAAGTAAAGCCTTACCCACAAAACACGCTACAAAATCCATTAACTTCTGTTACCACCACGGCATTATGAAATCCTTGGTTTAGGCTGACGGTCAGCCGTGACACAGAATTTAGTTTGACAACAGGTGTACCAACATTTCGATTATTACCATCACTGATGACAGAATGAATAATATATTCAGATGAGATAAACTAACATCTAACAAGTGTAAGTGATGCGAACAGACGATGAACCCAATATTTTGATCATGTATTTGCTGTTATCTACTTCTCTAACATCTGATCTTATTCAACACTAATTCCGATACAATTATCTGGAAACTGTAGGTAGATCTAGATTATAAGATTGAAGAAAGGTTATATAGTTTGCTCCAACGAACAGCATAACCTCTGGATTAAACATTGTCAACAATGAATTTGAATGGTTTACCTAAATAAACTATTTATTGATTACTCAAACCTAAAAAGTTACGCATGAGATTGAGTCTTGGAGTCGATATTTATCTATTAAATGAAAATTTTAAAGTATTAAAAAACCGGTAAAAGTAATTTCCGTCTCGGATATCAATATCCAGTACATGTAAGGTGAAAGATAAATAAACTTTCATGGGTAAAAATATCTCTGTTTACCACTAAAATTTTGGCTTTTAACCGATTCACTCGATTTAAATGTCTCCCTATAACTCGGTCTTTTCTTCTTTCTTTGAGTTTCTCTTTTCCTAACGAGTTTGCTCTCTTACTTTCTTCTCTCTCTCTCTCTTTTCATCCTCCATCTTGTATAAAAATCTGTCCTGAATTTTGTTCTAAACACCATCTAAAGCTTCTGACCAGAAATTTTGAATAAGATATTTTTGTTTGTTATAAGTTCATTGTGTTACTATGTGGTTACAATTTTTGACAACCATCATTACATCAACAAAACTTGACTAATCTCCATTTTGTTTTCTTTTCTAAATCTCTACTTGTGTATATTTCTTCTTAACTCTTCATCACCTCTGTTATAAAAGTCGAATCTCGAATTGATCTCAATGAAAAGTGAATGACAAATTTAGAAACCAAATCTACTATCAAATCATCTTTAAAACCACCACTCACAGTGTAATTGACAATCTGTATGTCATCTAGAATTTTTTACCTGCATCTTTTTATCAACTCTGACATCATTAATAAATGCTTGGACTCGCTATTGTAATATTAATTATCTAAAAGAACTCGATTCTATAGCATCTTCTTATCTATTCTCCTATGCTGATACATTGCTAACCTGTTAGAAACGTGATAAAAAAGCTAAGTGTTCTTTTTATTTTCTCTTCCTCTGCCGTTTCCAGTTGTGATTTAAAAGTTGTTGAATTCAGCACACCAATGAATCAAAATATACAAGATGCAAGTAAATCTTATTCACAGATCTATAATGCACCGCATCATCCTGCATCATCTCAACAGTCATCGTCTACATCAACCCTTTTAAGTCATCAAAATCTTTACAAACAAAGAAATGATGATGATGTTTTACCTCCACCGCCTCCAGAAGCTTATTCTGATTCTGAGAATCAGCATATTCATCCATCAAACACTAAAATAAATTGTTCGAGAAGAGAATTTTTGCAAACTTTGAATGCTAAGTTATCTGTATTTCAAAATCAAAGATTGAGTCCTAAACTTGTAAAAAGACGTAGCATGTCATTACCTCACTCAGATCAAGAATGGGACTCTGATTCTGGTATTACATCTCAATCCACATCGTCTAATAAGTCAAGTCCTCGTGGATCTACATCAAGTCACTCTGAATCATTTTCCCAATCTTTCACCGAACGTCTTGGTACATATGGAAGTCGTAACAGTAATAATTGTAACAATATTTATCAGTCAGACGGGACTAAAAATCGGAACAATAGTGTCTGTCACAAAAATCAAAATCAAAACACAAGTAACAATAGTCACTCAACCTACGCTTCTTTCTTATATAGCGAAGCCGATGTCAAAAATGTTCCTCAAAATTTTGGATACTCTGATTCAGATAATGTGAATGATCATTCTCTGTCTAAAATGAAAATGAATTCTAGTCAACACAGTGAAGTCGCTAAAGCAGCTGCAACCGAAGCTATAAGAAGAAAAAAGTCGCAATCTGAATGCTCCCTGGAATCAAATATTAGAGAAAGTAGCTCACAAATCAATCCCGAATCACATCAATCAAGCTCTATGCATGCTTCAGCAAGTGAAAATACCAGTAGCAATTGTATGGACAGAATCTACCGTAGCCATCAACATTATCTGTCTCATTATAATCATCAACATCATCCTAGTAATCCATTTCATCAAAATTATGCGAGTGAAAATATGCAAACCGAAAATGTATATACAACAAGAAACCAAAGTGTCTATCAATCAACATCCAACCCAAATAGTGCATGCTTCTCAGAATCTTTGCCAAATAATTATCAACAAAAGTCAATTTCACAACCTGCTATGAGTACCTTATCAAAAAATCGCCAAATTCCAATCGGTCACCCATTATCTTCCGGTAATTGTAGCACTGGCAATAAAATTGATTCATTACAAACAGCAGCTAATAAAAATCAAATTATTCGCGACCAAGTGGATATGAATGGCAGATCTCAATCTTCTTCAGTTCCGGGAGATTCTCAACATATCCAAAAAAATTCTGGAGATATTCCATCTTGTGTCGATGAAAATAACCGTGCTGGTTCAGAAGGTTCTATAACCCCAACTAATCCCGATCGTAATAGTCCAACATATGAATCTTCAAAGTCAACAGTATTATCATATATAAAACGCGAGCCTGTCCAACTTTCTGCCTTGAAATCAACTAAATCCTACCCAGGTAGTCATTTAGCTGAGAGTTTATATTCATCAACCGGAACTCTTTCGAGACTCGGTAAACCTGCACCACCACCACCTGTTCGTAAAACGTCTTCAATTTCAGACCCGAATGCCATTACATTAGGAACACTTAGAAGTGCAGGAGTATCTACTTACGAAGAAATTAAAACACTAAAGCGCCATTCTCGTAATCGTAGCGGTGGATCGAGTTTTAATACTTATGAAGAATTGAATTCTGATAAAAATGCCATTTATTATGCTGCTAGAAAAAGTTGTCTTTCAACCTCACTAACTTCCCTAGTGGAGCCTATTTACTCAACTCTTGATTCTAATAGTACAGGTACTGCGAACTATTACGATTCTAAAAGCGTTACTGTTAATTCTTTGGGGAATCAAGAAAAACAAGACTCTAGTAAACCTTACTCGCAGATTCAAGATCCAAAACAACATCCTACATCTTCAGTGGCATTCACTGTTTTTTAAATTCAGTTTTATTCATTTTTTTGTCGTATTCTTTTTTTGTGTTCCACGTCATGTTTAGCATATAAATGTAGATTATTATTACATAATCATTCACCCTTAATAATTAAATATGAGATTTAATATGAACTATTTCCAGCTCAAATCCGGTTATTTATTTCAATAGATAAACTAAACTATTCGGATCGACGTCATCAGATTTGTTGTATTGGTAGGTTTTTGTAAGAATATGTCATTTGAATTGACCTCCAAGCCTATTTGAGGAAGCCTGAAAACATCACATTTGACCTTTTTTCATATCTGTTAGTTAATACAATGTAACACAACTCAATTAATTACTTCGACATATGTTTATTTTGGTCTGAATAATATCTGTTTGTGAATTGGTCCATATTCAACAAAAACGAAAGGTGGGCGATGTTAAAGGATAGTAGTTGATTTAATAACCAATGAAAATAAATAGAATAAAAATTGATCAAATTTGAGTAGGTTGAATGATAATATACAAAGAAAAATATTTTAGTTTTTTAAATGTTTTCAGTGGATTTAGAGCAACTTTTCGCCCAGCACCATTCACATCTCAATAAATAAACTTCCTTCTTTTAGCTATCAATCTTCTTATTACCCACTGACTTTAAGTTGAATGATTTCATACAGTTTTCAATGATTGTTCATAACTTTAAAAATTTTGGGATGTCCGTATGTTCAAGAATTGTTATTTGTTAATCGACCATTCTAAAGCTTTTCATTACAGCACCAAACTCTTTGACATTGATTTTACCACCACCATCTTTTCTGAACAATGAGAAAGCATCACCAGAATCGGTCATCTGATATTTTAATTCAGCAGTCATTTCGGTTAAAAAATCTATTAACACAAAACCCATATATTGGCAACAATTTTTAACAAACCAGCCTACCATGGATACCAAGCGGAAAGGAGACACTTAGAAGTCGGATAAAGTTCGTTTGAAGATTGATAGGAACTTGGCAATAAAATTTCGTAGACTTATAATTAAACGGGATTTTGTGTTTTATCACTAAACAGGTAAAGTTTGGGAGGCTATTCTTGAGAATCCTTTTGTAAAAAAAAATATTCCTGAGGCTCCTCCAGGAAAACTTCCCGAGATGTACCACACTAATGAGAGTATTTGAATGATTGAGAAAATTACAGTGAGAATAGTACTCTTCATGAAGGCCGCAACGTATACAGTTGTTAGTAAGGATACAATATAAGTTATAGTGAATATTATTTTTTCGGCTGAAAATATGGTTTTAAAATGTTCAGCTGGTCCATTGACAAACGCAAGACTGTAGAAAAATAATCAGAAAATAGAAATTAGATTATAAATAGTTGTGAAATCAATGAATTGGGATGATTAGAGAATCAAAAATTTACCTGAGTGCCCATAAAATACTTCCTAGTGTAAAAAGTAAGCAAAATTTACGTGCTTTGAAAACTATAAAGGGTAGATAGAAACCAGCCTGTATGAAAACAAATGTTTGTTTTGGTTAAAAAATTTGAACTTTTAAAAATAAATCCATATCCATATAAATAGTGAAGTGTTAGTTAATTGAACGCCTCTCATTATAAGCCGAGTAGTGGTCAATTCAAGATACAGATTGTTAGTAAAAAAGACAGTAACTTACAAGGATGAAACATATGAGTCCCATGCCTATGCATACGAAGAAACCTATCATTCGGTCGATTCGATTCTGTAAATAAATAAAGTGGATAAAATATAAATTAATTCATAAGTCCTAGAAATAATTATTAAAATAGTCATTAACTTACCATTTTTTCTTGTTGTGAAACTTAACTCATTTGAAAATAAAAAAATGTGATCAACAGCTGATCAGATGTTTGGTTAGTGTCTCTCGGTTTCTGCCATATTTTGAAAAAATATTTTGTTTGTACTCATTAAATACAATTGTGACCAACTTTCCTGATCATGCAAATGATTATAATATAACACAATGGAAGATTTTGGTGATTTTGAACAATACAAAGTTTCCTCTTCAACACTGGTAAGATGTCAAATCCATTCTGTTGATTTTTATGCTTTTGATGTAAGATTTTAACTCCTTAACTCCCATTGTCACTGTTTTATATTTTTTACAGACTATACCTGATTCAATATACTATATTCCTAATTTTATTACTGAAGATGAAGAGGAAATCCTGACGAATAAAATAAATGATTCATCTAAAATTAAATGGGTTGGATTGTCGAATCGTCGTCTTCAAAATTGGGGAGGTGTAGTACACGCTAAAGGTCTTATTGCTGAGCCACTTCCAATTGTAAGTAGCCATTGTTTTAAGTTATCCCTTTTCGCTCTTTTTAAAATTAACATCCAATGATTCAATCAATTTAATTGAAACATCTTAATATCTTCTATTCAGTGGCTTTCAATATATGGCAACAAAGTTTCTCGACTTGGTATATTTGATGGCAAATCACCGAACCATGTTTTGATTAATGAGTATCTTGCCGGGCAAGGAATAATGGTAGGTACAATTGTCAATGTCATACAAGTTTATGAAATTGTGATTAGTGTTTAATGTATACAGTTTTCTATTTCACCAGCCACATGAGGACGGACCAGCATTTTATCCAACTGTCGCAACTTTGAGTCTTGGTTCTTACACAGTCATTAATTATTATCCAAAAAACTGGATCCCCAGTGATCGCCAACAAGTTGCCGATTACATGGCTGAGCCAGGAAGAACTGTCTATCGACCACGAGAACCATCATTCTCACTTTTGCTACAACCACGAAGTTTAGTGATTACTTCAAAAGAAGCATACACTTCTTATTTACACGGAATTGATGAAGTCCAAAAAGATACTATCGATGAAAAGGTTGTCAATTTAGGCTCGTGCACTGGAGTTAAAGTTGGTGATAATTTAGAGCGAACAACACGTCTTTCCTTGACAATTCGTTATGTTCCCAAAGCCATACAAGCCAGATTTCTTATAGGAAAGTGAACCATGGCACAGAAAATCTTTTCCATGATATTTTTCCAAGAGCATAATTTTTCTGTCATTTACTAGCATTGCTCATTCAGCATTTGAAGTCTGATTTGCTTCGTGTGTGATTGATTACGATGTGAAAATTTTATGTTGATCGGAAAGCTCCAAACTTGTTTTGTTACTATCGTAACCGCTTGAATATCATTAATTATAATGAAATATGAAAATGATGACAAGTTATCGATTGCTACTCGTTTTGTTGAAGTATTAAAGATGTGATAATTAGATAATACTGTTAATGAATTGAAAAGTGTTCAATACAATAATACAACAATTGTAATATAAAACAATTCAAATAAGTAATTTTGGTTAATAATTCTTTAATTCATTATTTAGATTTGCGATTTTTATAAATTGAAATAGCAATCAAAATCATTGATGTTACAATAATGTAGCCTCCTAAGTATGAAAAAAATTTGGCGAGAATGGGTGACAATTTTTCCGAAATAACAATTAAATGGACAATACCAACAACTTTGTTGTGCTCTTTACAGCTAAATAAGGCGGAGAAGAAAATGATGAGCATTCAGAACAATTTGAATTTATTTTTGATTACCTGTAAATTTGAGTGTCCTGAGGCAGAAGTTTCCTTATATGCAGCTTTTGAGCAAAATCAATTTTCACTCGACCAGCAGTTTTCCTATGAACCTTAATTGGACTCAAAGGATAAGAGCCATTGAACCAAACAACTCTTTGATCCGCTGTTCGCCTGTAAAAGCATAAAAATAGCCCGCTTGAATCATTAAACCTAATTTAAAAGACAAGCTTACCCTGGACAGGCCATGATTATACTTTGACCTTCAGTACGAGCAACAGCCTTTTGATCTATCGTTTCGATCTTTAAAGGTTCATGGAAAGAGTATAAATCTTTGCTTCTGTCAACTACATCAACTACTGAGCCGTTAGAATCTTTAATTAACACAGTTTGTGCTTCCGAACAACTTAATTTACAGAGAGAATAATATAGATCACTCTTCCTGTGTGCCACTATCTTTTGAAGGCTCTTTGGTACAATAAATGATCGACATTGAGGAGACACATTTTGAAATAAATACGATATTGGCAATTCTTCTAATGGCTTCTGTATCTGGAAATAAGGATAAATATTGATGAGGTTATAAAGCTGTCAAATGACCAATTCATAAACATATGTAACATTTGCTTTACTTAACTACAAAAATGGTACAGAAATCATATCTAGATCGTACACCAATTTTACCGCACCGATTACAACCACTCCATGATTGTCTTTGGTTGTAAACTGACATACGCCTTCCCAGAAGTCTTTCAGGTCCTATTACATTGAAATTTATTAGCAAGATTAGATTAAATAAAATATTAAAATCTATCACTCACTTGTATCATTGACTCTTTTCATTACAACTTTTACATTTGTAGGTTCCTTGTGAACGACAGTCAACACATAGCTATCAGTATGGTTGAGAGTGAAACAATGGTATATTCCTGAATCACTTATAGCAACATTCGAAATTGTCAGTTCAAGAAACCGGTTCAGGCTGAATCTTCCTTTATTCACATCAAACGACTTGACAACAGCTGAATAGGCTGGAGTGAATCGCCAGACATCTCGTTGTGTATCACTTGTTTTGCTACACGACAATTAAAACCCAGTAAATTATCCAAACACGTTGTTAAAGTATTGCAAATTTAATCTTGTATAGCTTAAATAATCCTAAACTTACCAAGCTTCTGGACATTTAAATGTCACAGTTGATCCTTCAATGGCCATAACGGGCTTAAACACATTTTCCTCGACCTGCGAGCCACTATAACGTTTATTACATATTTCATTTAGGGTCCATGCGACTGAAGAATTCACAGAACATAGGAAATAAAGTAATTGAAGGAGAATAACTTGAAAACTGAAAACTGAACGAAAGATAAGCATGCTAAAAAGCTTTGAATAATAAACATTAGCAATCCTGAGATAATTAAATGACCAGAAATGGGATTATTCATAAAAATGTAAAATTGAAATTATAACTATTATAAAATCACTTCGAGGGTTATTTTCACACATTTTTAAGGAGAAATAGCTTTATTTAAAAGTTTTTAACAAGATCATCTCTACAAGTTTATTATTAAAAATTAAATCTTTTGCAAAAATCAAGTTATCCTTTTAGTGAATTCACTGCCAAAAAAGTAGATGAGAAGATATCAGGCAAAAATTCATAAATAATTGACTGGATAAACTTAACTCGATTACCTGGATAAACAAATAAACATTCAAAGTTATTGAGCTAGGCTTAAAGTTTATTTCTATTTTTGACCAGACAACTAAAAAAATATAAGTTAAAGATATCAGTAAACTGATGCTATTTACAAATTTTTATAATAGTTTTAGAGATTGTTTAGTCAAAACTCGAGCGCTTGTCTTGTGGTAGCTTCGCTCTAAAAAGATGAAGAAGCGGCAAACACGGTTACACATTTTGTATCATCAATTGTAATACAAAGGTTATATTTGATGATTAATAACAAAGACATAGAAGCTAGGAAATATCATTTTCATACGAATCCAAGTAGCATAATTCAATAAAACTGAATTGAATATTTTGACCATAAGTTGCTTTGGTATAAGAATTTACTCCATCGAAGCTTCCACCATCAATTTTATTCCAATAAATAACTGTTGTCTTCCCAGAAAGAACTCTTGACAACATCAATGTTGAGACAGGAAATCTTGATGTCTTCTGGATCTTTTGTAGACTTTTTCTTTGAACTTTTTTTCACATTACTGGTAGAATCATCACCACGTTCTAATATGAGTAGTGAACCTTTCTTAAATTGTTCCCTTTCGTTGTTATAATTGACTCCGTGCTCCAAAAACATAATATCATGTTTGTTACTGCTTACGGTTCCGCTCAATCGTACCTGAGCATCAAAATTACTCAATGGTTTAGGATTCTGCATTGGAATGAAAACAGTTTCGTTATTCTCATTTACTTCACACGAATGATACTCTCCAGTTAGACAATAGAAAGTTGTATTGTACAAATTGTTAATATGACAGTCAACTTGTCTCCATTTTAGGTAATCAATGATCTCCTTTTCACTAGGGTACATTACACATCTACCATCAAAAGCTGGAGGATATTTGAGGACTACATCTTTTAAATATTTCGACCAATGAAAGACATATGAAGAGGTAAAGGTAGATACAATCAATGATAGAAGTTTGTTTGCTCTTCTATTGTACAAATCCGAGGACCGTGATACAATAAAACTGAATTCATCACTTTGACCATAAGCTATTTTGATAGAGGGATAGAACGATTTCATAACGCTTGTAGCAGCTTCCACCATCAGATCCAAAGCTCGTTTGTCATTAGGTTTATAGAAGTTGTGTGCTTTAGAAAATTGATGGAATCTTTGACCATCAACTCTAATAGCAACAAAACAGTTCTTCAACAATATCGGGTCGGAAGCATCTTCAAAACCTCGAACATATTCAAATTTAGAGTTGGCCATCCCACAGCTCAAATGAAAAAATGACGTGGAACCATTCAATTTAATTTTTTTCTTAGCACAATAATTCAAAAGATTAAAAGTTAGAGAAGTTAAATTTAATTTTTTTAACATTTGCCACCAAAACAAACTCCAAGTCTAAATAAGTGAACCAAATAATCCCCTTGGCGACGAAAAAGTGGAAAATTCAAACTAATTTTAAACCATTTTGTAGCAACAATAAAGAAAATTAAACTGTAAGAAATTGTTATGATTAAATTTAAACCATAATAATAAATTAAAAAGATTTCATCAATAATTCAACTGAACAAACTCATGATATTGATGCATAAAAATCATATGTTTTTCAATGTTGAACTTGGCGGTTACGTAGTAACGTGAAATGCCAGTAACCTTGACAACCACATCCGGATACGGAAAGCAATAACTGTGTTTGTAATTTTGTCGGTCTGTTTGTATTGATCGTGTTAGTTGATCAATTGAGTTTCTATCTTGTAAATTATATTATAATTGGTTAAATTAATTTAAATAACAATGGGTCGTGAAGACAAATCTACCTGGAAAGCCAATTACTTCACCAAATTAATTGTAAGTACCTTTACACTGATTGATTTCGCTTGTGCTAACTTAGCTGTATGTTTTTTTCATTTGACAGCAATTATTGGATGAATACCCAAAGTGTTTCATTGTTGGTGTTGATAATGTCGGCTCTAAGCAGATGCAACAGATTAGGCAATCACTCAGGTCATCCGGAGTGGTGCTCATGGGAAAAAATACCATGATCAGGAAGGCTATCCGAGGTCATCTTGAAGCTAACCCTGCATTAGAAAAGTAAGTTTTCTTAGTTTACTGTTGCATTTAAATGTCCTTTTCATTGTTTAATTAAATTTATTGACAATTTTGATTCTCTTTTATAGGATTATGCAACATGTCAAGGGAAATGTAGGTTTTGTTTTCACTCGTGATGATTTGGTTGAGGTCCGAGACAAAATCTTAGAAAACAAGGTTAAGGCACCAGCTCGAGCTGGAGCTATTGCTCCTATTGATGTAAAGATTCCTCCCCAGAACACTGGATTAGGACCTGAAAAAACATCTTTCTTCCAAGCTCTTCAAATCCCAACCAAGATTGCTAAGGGTACTATCGAAATCTTGAACGAAATCCATCTTATCAAAAAGGAAGACAAAGTAGGAGCTTCAGAAGCCACACTTCTGAACATGTTGAACATCTCTCCTTTCACCTATGGGCTGATTATTAAAATGGTTTATGACTCTGGAACTGTATTTGCTCCTGAGATTTTAGACATTACTAATGAAGATTTAATAGCCAAACTTATGGAAGGAGTCGCGAACATTGCATCTCTCTCCTTAGCTATTGGCTATCCAACTGTAGCCTCTGTATCACACTCAATAGCAAACAGTTTGAAGAACTTGATTGCTATTTCTGTGGAAACCGACTATACTTTCAAGGAATCCGAAATGGCTAAAGAATATTTGAAAGATCCATCTAAGTTTGCTGCTGCTGCCCCAGCTGCTGCTAGTGGTGCCGCTGAAACTAAGGCAGAAGCCAAGGTAGAAGAAAAGAAGGAAGAGGAGGAAGAAGAAGATGATGACATGGGCTTCGGTCTTTTTGATTAGACTCGTTTGATCCTTTAAATTTCTAATATGGATTTAATAATAAAGCCTGTTATCAAAAATCCATGTGTCTATTTTTTTATTTTCAATTTCTTTTGAAAATTTAATCCGTATTTAGGGTCAACGGTAATTGTTGAGTACCTCTAGAAAGTCAGGTTTAGAAATGTGTTTATTCTTATATGAGTACTACTGTCGCTAACGGCATCTGTCTCTTGATATAATTATCGGCGATCGGCTGAAAAATCTTATGGATATCTTATCTTGTCATCAAGTAACTCCAATGGTAGTTTATTAGAAGCTCAAAATAACGCTTAAAAGCAATTAATGGCTAATCCATCAATTGCTTCATCTGATTCGTAGTCATTTGACTCAATTTTTGGCATCTATTCGTGTTATTAACGTACATTGTTTATTTTCATGAGTAAATAGCTTGTTGATTTTATTTTTACTATTGAATTCACTCGAATAAGTTTGATTGCTACTATTGAAAAGTAAATAATTTGCAGAGTCAATTATATTGGTAATATAAAAATTAACAAACACTGTTAGTTAATCTGGTTTAATAGTGATTGAAATTAATCGAAGTGTTGAAGTTTGAATGATTAATTAGATCAGATTATAATTATTGAGTTTAGAGAAAACCTAAAAATTAAAAAAGATGAAACAGATTTGTAAATTTGATAAACTAGTTTGGTTTTGTCATTTTTACGGTACTCAATTCAAGAGTAAAATATTACAATTTTACTGAGTTTTTCGTTTTTTGAAAATTTTAATGGCTTTGGGCCGTAAGAAACAACTGGACAATTCGTCCTCACGAACATTTACTTTGTTAAGGAAAATGATAAAAGACTAGAGGGAAATAAATAAATAAATAAATGAAAAAATGATACAATTAATTGAGATCGGGGACAAGCTAAAAACGCTAAAACAAAATGTATAAATTGTGAGTTTTTGTTATCAATTTACATTTGGCAGATTCACAATTTTGCTGAAAATGTTTAATTTTGTGAACTTTTAGTTGTTCATTATGATGAGTTGAAAGAGACATGGAACAATGGCAATTAATATTAACCGGGTGAAGATGAGATGATGATTATATTAATAACAATGGGAACGATCTTTATCATCAGTGTTGATGGAAATGATGATAGTTATAGCTGAGATGGACCATAAAAGAGACGGATTACCAAAGATGAAGGTAACTTAATTGAATGCGGACGTTACTTGATTACACTAACCAGTAGAACAGAAAAGTTGGAAAAGAAATGATTATTTAAGATGAAATTGAATTGCGTTCACATTAAACAAGTTTTTTGAGTATATTTGCGGTACCAGTGCGAAATCAACATAATTATCCTTTTGTAAAAGAGGAAGTCTTTTGTTGAGTCTTGGAATTAACGAAACACTAGAGTATCTTCAATTGTACGTTTTAAATTATTTTCATTTTTCGATTTTGTGCGATTCTTTTCGTAATAAACATAACTATGCTTTGTACTCTGGATACTTTTTCCTCGATTTTAATCTTGAAACTCTTGATGAAACAGTAACTCCACAAGGAGGAGGTAATAAAGTTAATGTTAAAGGTCGAGATGCCGAGCATGTCCGGACCTCTGTTGTGACGAACGATGGCCTGTTCCTTGGCCTTGGTTGGGACGACGAGGTATTGTATTGTAACTTCGATTTAGTTGCATTTGTGCTTGTTGTTGCTGCTGCTGTTGCTGCTGTTGTTGAGTTGCTAGCCGAGCTGCTGCTGCTGACGTCTCCGGAAGGGAATGCTGGTGTTGAAGTTGATGTGACGATTGATGCGTATGATGATGGTGTGAATGGGGGTTTTGGTGATGTTGTTGTTGTTGCTGCTGTATTTAACGAATAAATAAATTAGTAAATAAAATGATACAGACATAGACAAAAATTTATTTTCTTACCTGCTGGAAGAATTGTTGAATCTGCGGCAACAATAATTGTTGCTGGACTTGCGTCGGTAAAGAAGCATGTAGCTGTTGAAGGTGCTGCTAAGATAGAAATAAAAAATATTTATTAAATATTGATCGAACGATAATTAAATAATAGATACTAATTTGCAACACAGTCAAATAAGAAAATTTGTCAAAATGTCAATACAGAATGTCGCATGCAATTGGATAACTTAGTACTAATTGCAATAAATTTTGTCTATTATCTAATTTTTAACTTGGTAATTATGATTTTTGAACAGCACAGTCAATATTCATGAAATGAGACTTCATGGGCTTAGCACTTTGGCTTATTTTTAAAGTAATGTGTAGCTTTGATAATTTGTGTTAATTTATCAACATTGAATTAAAGTATAATTAGGTTAAACTTATAAACTTGACGTCTCATTTTGGGAATATTGACTGTATTTGTTTTGTTGAAACATATCATGTTCAGCTTTCATTCAAATGAATTGCTATGAATCAATATTTACTAAATATGAATCTAATTAAAGCTTAGTAAATTAGGAGTAAATTATCAAATTATTATCACAAACATGCAAAAAATCTGAAAATATCTCCAATTCAGACAGTTTGAGGTCTGTAAATGAAGATAAAAGGGGTTGGTATTTAAATATTTAGTGCGACGATTGACTGACAGCTGGTGTATTTTCAATTAAATGTATAACTGTACTAGTAAAAAAGTAGGGCTGGACGCTTACTGGAAGCGCCTCCTCGGATGCACTTCGAAGAAGCTGTTGAGGCGATGAATAAAGGTCTTGATCTCCATTGGCTTCAGCATCAGTATCTAGGGCACTTCCATTATCATACTCTTCATCTTCATCTTCAGCTTCTCTACCTCCAAGAACGGTGGAGTTAGATGTTGTTGAAGACCCTGTACCCTGATTACCTCCCAACACTTGAAGACCTGTTAACCCTGCAAGACTTGACAATCCAGATAACCCAGCTAAACTTGTAGGTAATCCAGAAGTGGTAAAATTCATGTGATTTCTAGATAGAGATAAAAATGAAAAATTACTATCAGAAAAATTATCAAACTGAATAATTGATAAATACCTTGGGGCAGCAGGTGGAGGAGGTGGAGGGATTCCTTGGTGTCTAAATCCAAGGAAATGATGGAAGTTTGTATGATCACTTGTTAACTGATTATCAACTATATGGGAGGTATTGGACGAAGATGAAGTTGGATGTAGATATGAAGATTGGGAATGTCGACCAGAGGCACTGGTGATTAAATTACTAACAACTCTAGCATCGCCTAAGCCAGCCAGGGAATTAGATGAGTAAATATGGCGATCAGCTTCTGGTTCACTCATGCGAATCTCTTCTGATCCTGTAGGAGAGAGACCAGATAACATGTTCTGAAGGTTTTGTTGCCCAGAAGATGAAGCTTGCTGTTGCTGCTGTTGAAATTGTCTTAGCAAATCTTCAAAATTTCGTATGTTGATTGGGCCACAAGCAGATAATAGACCATTATTTCCCCCGCTGTCTTCATTCTCTGAACCACTTTGAATATGAGTTTCGCTTGATTTCATTAACCCTGGTAAAGAGAGTTAAAAGAACGATAAACAAAAAATTAGAGCGTTTTAGACAAAATAATAAAAAATACGATGAATAATAAATTGAATGATAGTTGTCCATAATTTATCATACCTTCATAATTAAATAATTGGTCGCTATACACTTGTTTATTAATTTCTCCAGGGCTTTGACGAGAACTTTGAAGATGGCCAGATGCAGTAGCAGCTTGTAAGGCCTCTAAAATTTCTTCATGATAACCATTGAGGGTTTTCAATGTTCTCTCAACTTGATTCAAAGTATCAGTTGTTCGACTTCCATCGGACTGAACTTCCTCCTGATTATCACTTTCAACTCCACCTTGGTTTAAAGCATTAACCAAGCTAGTCAAAGCAGCTGATGATGAACTACCATGGCGAGTATGACCTGAAATTGGAGTACCACTTCCACTTGCATCACCAGGATGCTTCAATATACCCTTTTCAGGTCCACCACTAGCTCCATGTGATACTTTAGACAAGTTATCTGGTGATAGTTCAAAAAATTGCCCTCCTTTTCCCTGCAAGGTTTCCAAAAGTTCACGTTCAGTTTGTTGAAGGACAGTCTCGGTTGTATTGACTTTCGAAGAAGATGGTTTAACTCTTGACTCCTTTGAATGATTCCTTTTCCTTTCAGCCATTTTATCCTCTCTATAAGATGGCATTGAACCAAAGGTTATTCTCGGTGTCACTTCACCTCCTCCGTTCATACTGTGATCATCATCTTTACTTCCGGATGAAAGTAGTTTCCTCTGTAAGCTCTTTTTTCGAGCAGTTTCAGCTTTATTTGGTAAAATACTTTGTCGCCTGGGCAGGAAAAAGAAAAGAAGATAAAAGAAACAAATTAACATTCGATTAGCATCAACTATTTTATCAATTGCATAAGAAAACAAGTTATCACCCAAATGATTATGGTTACCAAAATATTCTTGCCAAAAGCTATATACATTGTATAAAGAATTGATTAGAACGATTCACAAAGAATCACAAAATGTATGAGGAAAAAAAGGTATTCCCGTTGAATAAAAATAGATAATGTTTACCCAATATTTAAACTCAAACATGACATAGACATTTTTGCATCCATTTGAAAACATAATCATCATCTTATTTTAACCAGTCGATGACATTTATTTAGAGATTGAAAGAGACATGAAATGTCAAATAGCAAGATGAAAAAGAAGACAAAGGAACTAAGGAACTGAAGAGGAAAAAAAATGAAGATCAGAAGATTTTTTTAAAGCCTATCCGATTTAGGCTACCATTGCACAGTAAATATCATTACATTTCATGTTGTAAGAGAAAGAGACAAAGAAAGTGTTCGAAGATCATCTTAACGTTGCTGTTACGTTTTCCTTCTTCTAAATCTATTTCCTTCTCATGTGTGAGCAATATAGAGGAATATTGAAAATGATAAGAGAAGCAAAAAGTTAGATAACAAGAAAACAATCCATGAATTACCATTGATCGATTTTGGTGGAATGGAGAGGAAAAGAGGAAAATAAGACGATAACAAGGAGTCAAAAAAGGGTTCACAGCAATAATAATGTCCAAATCAATCAAACACAAATGAATGAAACGAGTTATAAAATGGTCAAATGTATCTCTCTAAAGTTCAAGTCTACCATCAGGCGCCTTTGTGAAAGGCGCGCTAAACAAAAACCAATCCAATCCAATACATAATTAACTAACCATCAATCCAACCTTTAAACTGCTCAGTTAACCATTTCTAAATTGCTATAACTCGCCTTTTGTCTTTCCTTTTACCTGTTAATTGTTAACAATCAATAAACAGTACGTTTGAAGACGCATTTCACAAAAGCTGTAGTAATCATTTCAAAACTAAAAGACACTCAAAAATGGTAACATATTAGATATAAAATTGAATGTTACCATTTTTGAACATCAAGAGTTTACAGTTTTTTTTCATTCCTTTTTCTGACAAACTATGAAATGATGAAGATGTTCAATATCAGCATCATCCACCGTTATAATAATCAGTCTAACAACAACATCAATAGGAAAACAAACAACTCTGAACATTTTTTGCTGCTGATTATTTGAGTTTGCTTCAATTTTTTCTTATAAACACCAGAAATGATGATAATAATTGGTATGAAGTGTTATTCTTATTCTCAGGAAAATTGTTTCACAGAAGGAAAATGATGAAGATTTTGTTTACGTTGTTAGATTCAATGGAAAGGCAAGTTCATTAAATTGTTGAAAATCATTTTTTCAATATTTCCACTCAATTTTCCCTTCTAAATATATTCCAATCTTACATTGCTCATCAATTCATCATCATGAAGATTCAGTCAGGTCAATTGAACGTTTGTTACCACCAAAATCATCATTTATACCTACTGAGTAGCAAACCAATAAGATCATCTTCAATTTTATTCCTTCATTTCTCTTTCTTTTCTTGTGTTTTTTTCTCATCCAAGGCAAACTGCCGGTTCAATGAATTAAGTCAACTCAACTGATTTCATCTATTTTACCCATGAAAGTAAAAAGATGAACTCACAATCAATTGGATTGCCTGAAAAAAAATCAGATTATCAGGAGACAACCTTTTGAGACTGAGAAATTGAGAATAAGCGTTTTACTTTTCTTCCATCTTTCCATCGTTTATTCATCAACTTTCATCATCATCATGAGGCAAGTTTTACCTCTTATCAGTATCATCAACCCATTGCCTAAACAATTTGATTGAAGGTAAACTCTCGATTGTTACAATGAAACTAAGCTTATCATATCAATGAGTGAGCAAATTTGTTGGTAGACAAAAAATATATCAACCAAGTAAAAAGACTTGAAACATTGATTCTAATAATATTACGAAGTAAAATGATGATCATGATAATGATGAAAGTTTCAGGAATGATCAAAAGAGTTGCCTCAATGCCAAATTGTGAACAGTTAATTGATTGAAGTTGGTTAACTGTTCCTCAACAATTGAGGTAACGATTTATTGGTTGACAAAATGAATGAGGTAAAAAAACACAAAGAAAAGTAGATTGAAATATTTATCACATTGAAATAGATTGGTCAAGATGGGTTGGAAAGGTGAGTTGAAATGCAATCTAAGAAGACAATGAAAAATGTGACAAAAAAACTCATTTCGTGTATTAAAAGGTTCAAGAATAAGGATAAATCTGAAAGGTCAACCAAAAAAAGGTCGACATTTCTCTTGTTAGCAATTGATGAAGAGAAAGACAAAGAACAATCATGAAGATAAAAGAGACTGATCAGCAAAATATAAGGTGATGAACAAGAGAAGGACTTGTATTTGAATAGCAACTTCCCAATCATTGTAACTCTTATTGTATCGTTTTTATTTAATAAATCATTTCTCAACATCTAAATCCATTAATTTATTATAAGTGGATGAAAAATGTTCATGAAAAAATGAAATTTTGCTTCAATTCATCAACATTGAGCATCATTGAGCGTCATCAACAAGATAATTAGATGTTTCTAGATTGTCTAGCGATCAATTATCATGTTCACTTGGAGACTTGCAATTCAACCAAAATATGGTTAACAGTTAATTGTAACTCCAAGTCACAGTAATCATAGTATTGGCGATAAATTGAATCGTCAACAAACTCCTACTCTTGATTGTTAATCGACTTCAAGTTATCAATTTTATCACTTCTCCTTTACACTTAATTCAGTCTTTTACATCATCATCATTATTGTCATCTTAGATACCAATTGTAGTGAAAAGCATTTGATTCAATGAAACTTTTATATCTCAACGTCTTCATAGTAAGTTGACAATTTAAGGGAACAAAATTAAGTTTAAATGTCAATTGTTAATTAGAAAGATTCAACAGAAAAGATTTCCAGCGAAAATTGGATTCAACCAAATGTAAAGTGAAAAGCATAAAATACAAAATGATTCAACTTTCATCAATTTTGATTCTAATTTTAATTGCTATTCCCTGATTGAACACTTTGAAATTAAATTTTCAACAAAATCATTAAACAATCATTGAAAAATGATTCAACGATTTAACAATCTATTGATTGTTAAAAGGTGAATCAAAAAATGTCATTACAATTGAGAAGAAATTGTGAAAAATATTTCAAATGATGAATGCCTTGAAAACAAATCATCAATACATTATGAATACAATAATCTTGGTTAACCTAAAATAAAAAATGGTTACTTTAAGAGATCGATCAACATTCTCAACATGAACAATTGAAGAGGAATAAACAAGAAACTCGGAATAACGAGGAAACACGCAAACCTTGAAATTGCCATCTTTCAGGTCTACATGTTTATCATCACCAACAAGATGAAAACAGGAATGAAAAACCATTCACAGAAGATATTTTTCTAAATGCTATTTGGTAGCAAAAACAGTCAACACAAAATTCAACGTTTCTCAACAAAATTACACCAACATCATAACCATTATCTTTACCATTCACTTGGAATCATCACCAATATATCGGCGAAAAACTAAATGACTTTTCTCTTTCATTTCATTCAATCTCATCATCATCATCTTCTTCACAATTTGCATTTTCATTTCATCTATTTAACTATTTCACTCTCTTTATCCTCCAATAGTAACTTAGTATAACATTGCAATAAGCAAATCTTTTTGCAAATCGTTCATCTTCATCATGAACATTATCATGATGAAACTGTTTTTTTCAATCAAAAAGGTTACCTTTTATAGTTTCAACTTTCCTCCATCCTTCCATATCTATCATTTGTATTGTTATTATCTTTAACCTTCTTTATTTTTCTGGTCTTTTTTTAGGCTAAAAATCAAATCAGGATATAATTCAATTTCAGTTTGACCATCATGTATCACTCATACCATTTCCGAATCGGAAATGTATTCCAACTACAATAAATCCTTCACCTTTCTGTCACCATAATTATTATTATTTTTAGTTTTCCATAACAATCAATAATTGTTAGGTGAGCATAAAAAAGTGTTTCACTGTTTTTCAATTTCATCATTGGTAATGAAATCAAACTTGCGCCGGATCATCTGAAATTAGGATCACTGTTGAACTTGTTTCATTTTTTGTCCAATGATTGATGGAGAAATGGAATTCCTATTTTTTGAATAATTTTACAAAATATCTGGACAATCTTTTGACTTTCACTGGATTTCTTGACATTCAGTTGATCCCATTCAAGCTGATTAAACCACTTCAAGATGAAAATTGTTTGTCTTCAGACTGACATCGACTTTGAGTTTACTCATTTGTCTTCGTCATCTTTCTTGTTATTTCCAGTGTTTACAGGCTCATTCCAACCATGATCAACCTTGTATACAGCATTGTCTTTATCACGTAACCCTTCCTCTGTTAACTGTCTTTAAGCATCATTTGTGGATCATCTTTGAGCCAAATCCGTTTCTAATAAATCATTTTAAATCTCTAGACTTCGGCCAATCTTTCTTGTAAATTGTCATCAGGTAGTTTCATTTTTCAATTTAAATGTTGACGCTCTTCAACTTAAACTCATCAAGTTATTCAATCAACCATCAATGATTACCTGATTCTCTGGAAGCAACAAAGCAAAAAAAGTCAAATCAAACCAAACAAGCAAGAAAATAACAAGATGATGAAAAAGGGTTGAGAGTAAAGGAGGCAGAAAAGTCAAATTGAAGAAAACCATGTTTTTAACTGATCAAGATTAAGCTTTGTAAGTATCGATTGGATGAAATAAGATGAGCTCAAAAAATTAGCTCACATTCAAAGGTTTGAACTCTTAAGAGTTTATCAAAAAGGATAAGACTAAATAGAACGATAATGATTTAGTTGAAAATAAAGAAGATTAAAAGAGGAAGAAAATTGGAATCAAAGAGAGAGAATGAGAAGAGAGATTGAATTGAAAAAAAAGAGTAAGATTGTAATGAGCTATCTGTTGAGGCTGAACCATTTTCAAGCAATTTACTGACTGATATATAATAAACCATTTTCTGGATTTCATTGATTTCGGTGGACAGATTGATTTAATCCATTGCAAATTAACAGATCAACAATTCGGTGAGCCATCAATTGTTCATCGAGGGACAATCAATCTATCATTTGATGTTGATGTTGATTCCAATTGATGTACCAAGCGAGAATAGAGTTACTTTGACTACCAAATGTTGACGTCCAATGAGCATAATTACAAATAAATCCAACTCTTTTTTTCAAAATAACAAGTATAAATCATTTCCTTGATTCTCTGTCATATCAAATAAGCTTGCCAGATCCAAATTGTCATGCCTGAAGGTAAACAGGGAGGATAGTTGGCGAGATTCAATGGAGAATAGATTTTCTATTTTTAATCCAGAAACATGGTTAACCTGGTTAAAGTTAATGTTGTTGTGGTTAACCAAGGAAAAAGCATAACCAGAGAAACCAGGAATAAGATAGTTGAAGTTGAATGATGACTAATATGATGAAAAGTGAAATAAGCATTGAATTGAAGATGTAAACAGTGAAGGAACGTTGAAAGCTTTTTTTGTCCATCAATTGAATGATTCAAATAGCAACTCTTGGATAGCCTTGTCCAGTTTGGATCAGATTTTTTGGTTAGCTTTTCCTTTTTCAGTTTGATTGAAAAATGAGCACAAAGATTGTAAATAATGGTGAGATTGATGATAATGAGATAATGGTCTGAAAGGTAAAAATGAAAACAAGCTCAATTATCCTTGTTACCATCTGATATTGAGAAATAGAATTGATGAGGAAAGAATTAGAGAAATAAAAGACTCAGGAGAGGCTGAAAAAGTCCAGTGAACCATTGGAATCATGATGGCGCAGCAATTTATCAAGGTGAAATACACTTCAATCCTTGAAATTCAATTGAACCAGTAGATTGTATTACAACTAATACTTCCTATTGTTTGACAATTTTTACCAATCCCAGTTTCCATTCTGATTAGGTGAGCTTCAACTTGCAAAGTTTCATTGATTAACCAGAATATTTCTGAATCATTCCCTTCCTTGACGTTACAATAATAGCAAAAATGAAATGCAGCCTTGATCCATTCTGGTTTTATCTTAATGATCAGTTACACTTTGTAACCTTTTTCCAGGCAACGATAAACTCTGGTAAATTATTGTGAACAAATCCATCCTTTTCCTCTGGAAATAATTTTTTTCACCAGATTCAATCAAACACTTGGCGTGATCCTGAACAAATTTGCTGGTTGAAGAGATGAACAAAAAGTAAAATAAATAAAAAGATAAATAGGTAAAGCATTATTAGACGAAGTAAACGAACTAAAATTAACTGGTCCAAGTAACGTTACCGTTGATAGCTGATTAACTTGATTCTGGTTAGGCCGTAATGATGATGACAAAGGCAATAGAGGTATAAATTGATAATACAATGGTTTCCGGCAACCGACGACCCATTTTTGAATTGACCTCTAGGGTGAACGGATGGCTTTTTTTGTAAGTTATTGGTATTATTCGATAATTGAAAAGTTAAACTAGAATTCTGACAAAAAAATTTTGAAAAAATTAGTGATCTAGTTAAATTAATTTGCATGACAAATTTTCACAATTTCTGTGCAAGTCAAAAAAAGTCATAAAATACATGGGATTTTTTTTCTCTCCTTCATTTTTTAGCGAAATCAAATTTGGTCATTTTTGCTATTAGTTTAAATTTAATAAACAAAATCACTGATTTTTGCACAAAATTTTTTTTAGAATTTTGTGTTTGACTTTCACCTACCAAATAATACAAAACCACATAGACAGGGCCATTTGTTCACTCTAGAGGTCAATTCAAAAATGGGTCGTCGGTTAGCGGACAACCTAATACAATGGTTTGAAATGAATTTTTCCAAATGGTTCAAGATGTTTATCCAAGTTGGTTACAACAGATCTTTTTTATACTAATCATGAAGATGAAACATGAGATCCAGAATCAATTGTTATTGTTGATGAAGATGATAGTAATATTGTAATAGTTGGCGATAATATAAAGCAACCATAGCTAAACAAGTGTCTTTCAGAGTTCAAGATATCAACTGGACATTAGTATTGAAGATGATTTTAGTTAGTGTATTAAGTATGAAAGAAAATGAAATGAGAAGAAAAAAGCAGGAAAAAATAAAGGATCAAGAAGTTCTTGAGACGATTCAGAATAGCAAAAAATAGTTTTTTTTTCATGATGGCAAGAGGAATAGATATACACTTTAACCCATCATCATTATCAACATCAAGTCTCTTTTGGTTTGTTTTCACGTTTTTTTTTGCCCATCACCATATTGACTTTTATCATCTTAACTGAATAATAATGCTGGCAAGTTAATAGATGCTACTTTGGTTTTAATAATATTGATGTTACAGATGATAAAAATGATGGTATAAAGGTAACAATTGGTGTGAATAAAGTTGATATAATAGATTGAAGGAAGGGAGAAAAAAGAGTTGAGCAAAAATGTATTATTCACTAACACATTCTGTGGACAGAAAATGAAAAAGAGTTGAAACAATGGAAGTGAAGATGTTCAATTTTGTTAGGACCCAAAATATAACCATTAATGGTTCATGTTTACTTTTATCATGAATGGGAAGGTTCAAGTGAAAGGATATCGTGTTATTTTCAATCGTTGATCAAATAACTGTTGGTATAACCTTTAACTGAGGATAAATCTGAGTTATCAAGAAAAGAGAAAAAGGTAAACTGTTGACATATAATCAAGAGGAAAGTGGAAGGCTAGAATCAAATCAAAGGATAAACCTAAATACATAATCAATGTTTGAATTGATTGATTATGGTTACAGGTCAAGGGGTTAAAATAGAGAAGACAAATGGGAAAATAAATTCTCTTTTAGCAAAGTAAACTAATGACATAATCTTTGTCAAAATCAATGATGATGAAGAGAGTAAAGAATCAATCTTTCAATAAATTAATTTGGCTCAACAAAAACAACCCAAAATGGATGACACTGTTAAAAGGACTAGAAAGGTTATTATAATTAACCAGCAACAATACTGATTACAACGAAGATGATATAGAAAACAAAAATTCAACTGAATTTTCATGAAACCAGTTACCAAGTTATCCGATTTTTGAACTTGTAAATATCAATGGACTAAGTTTTATCAATTGACCATAGACATGATGATAGGTTGCAATATTAATTTGCCAAGGTTGGAAGATAAGTTGAAGTACAAGAGGAACAAATGAAACTTGTCCTTTTCCAATTTTTCATTCTCGATGGAAAAATCACTGATAAAGTTTTTCTGGGATTATATACACAAGATTTTGGATAATGAGATATTTCCTGTTCCATGTGTAGCTGTACTTGGTAAAGGTGAAAGGGATAAACTTTGTCAGCCACTCAAAACATGGAAGGGACAAGAAATAGCAAAAATTTTGCTTTGCTTTCATCAAACAAGAAACCAAAGAAAATTGATTGAGGTTTGACCCCAGAGATGATGATAGCGAACCATAAGAAAAGGAAAGTTGAGAAATCTGCTCATAATTAGATAACAGAATCAGGACACATTTCAGTTGAAAAACATAGAACTCGTGGAAAATATAATATTACGAGAAAACCTTTTAAGGTAAATACATTAAGGTTGAAACAAAAAGAAAGATACCTTGAAATGTTTAAAACGGTTAAAGAAAAGTCACAAGTTGAATTTCAATTTTTATCCGTTGAATGTCTTAACCAGATTTTGTTATAAATGGCTAAACATGTCAGACGATATTCGACTGAAAAAGCTGTTTGAAATAAAGATGGCAAATTGATAAGAAATACTCTAAAATTTATCGGATCCAATGTATTGTTAAAAGATCAGATAATTACCAGGCCTTTTCTCTTATTACATCAGATGTCAGTAGAAAAAACGTTTGCTTTCTCTTTGATTTTATCTTGTGATTTTTTCTTTGTTTCATTTTAAAATGTTCAATCAATCACAAGTTTTCAGTTAAAAAGTGATTTATTTAGTGTTTTCAATTCTTTTTTTGCCATGTATTCCGAGGTGGGATTGATTGGATTATCGGACAAAAAGATTGGTAAAAAATTGTGCAAAAAAGTAAACCTTTTTCTTCAACCATCGATCCATTGAAAATTGGTGATGATTGGCTAGTTATTTTATTCAATTTTACATTGTTTTTTGTTATTGATTTTTTTCTGTCTTGCACTTGTTCTTTGTATCAATCTATTTGTTATGTTAATTCAATTTGATCATTTTATTAACCCATGTTAACATTGAAAACAATTATAGTCATCATTGCTTATTCACAATGAATCCTAACGACATCTTTTATTTAATTTTGTTTTTTTCATTTCACTCTTTACTTTCTTCTTTTTTGCTTTTCCCTGTCCTTTTTGCAAATTGGTTCATCCATTTTAAATCAACATTTCCATACATCAGAACGCAACTTATTTCTGTGACCTCATTATCAAATTTGAAAATTTGGTACGTCGATCTAGTTTGCATGTCCATGCATGATAATGACTCAATGCTTTAATCCAGTGTTCAATTGAGCGGGAGATTTTTCACAGTAAGTTTTGAATGATAATTAAATGTGAAATCGAGCTAATTAAACTGATTTATCCACTTAGATAATCATTCAAAGGAAACAAATATTGCTCGGAAAAATTGTGTGTATCAATAATTGGAATAGTAAAGAAAGGATCACCTGATTCATCTCAGTAACCATTTTCTATTGTCTAATATATATTTTTCATCAATATTTACTTTCAGATGACTGGTTACGTAAAACGCGATTTTTACACGAAGCGATTCGCTTCTCATTGGTACCTTATTATGAGATTTTGATGGTTCACTGAATCATTTTAAACTCTTTGATATGCAAGTTGTTATGATCAACTAATGAGATAAGATTGGGTAAGTAACCTAAATAGATTATTGAGTCTATTTTTTTATCATCTCTCCATCATTTTCTCGTTTCTCTTTTGCATCATGTATTTTTTCAACGTTTCATCTTGTAAAGAAAAAATATTTCTAAGCATCCGAATTACTTTAATCATCAATAACTCAACTCGAAGAAGAGTGAAATTAGTGAAAAAAGAGCTTAACTTACTTGTATTTATAATTTGAGAAGATGAAATATTAAAAGCTTAGCATAGGGGAAAAAAGAAACGATGATAATGAAGATGATAAATGCGATGAAAAAAGTAGTTTATTACGAATTATTCTTTTTTCTTCTTTTAACTAGTAAAAAGAAATGGAGATTAACATGAAGTTTCAATGGAAAAATCAATATTCATGGAACCAGGGAGGCGAAGAAAAAGTATCAGTTGTATACTAATAAGGTGAAAGATTCAAGACTAAAGGAAACAATTAATTTAAATAGAGTTATACATGAACAAAAGTTATAACATCGTTCATCAATGTTAAGAACTGTTTAGTTGATATCAATATCTAGATAGATCATCACTGTTTATTTCCCAATTGTGAGTATTTCATCCCAGAACAGGATTCTAATATTCATTCCTTCTCCATCTCTACCTTTCTTTCTCGTCAACTATTTGATCTCCTCTCCTTATTATCATCAAACTGATTACGATCATGATCATCAGTTTAATCATCTTTATCATTGCTGTCAATCTCCTTTTGCTCTACATCGATATAGCCCTTTAACTTGTTAGTGATAAAATATTGAAGACAGTGAATAGCTAATAGCAAGAAAATAGTTTCATGATAGATTTTTTCAAAATGACTCGAATCCTCCCATTCTTGATCTGAATTGTAATTATCGTCAAATTTGAGGACTAAAATTAAATTTCAGTTTGAACTTTGAAGTATTGCATTGCTAATGCGCTACATTTAACCCTATGAATTCAACTTTTGTAAATTTACATGTACAACATCGTTCAACCTTTCAACCTTTAAGAATATGCAAAAATATTCAAAATGTTTTTTTACCTTCGGTTTCTTTAGTAATTTAATCTAATAATTTAGAAAGTTGTTTAATCTGTAAGATGTTCAGTTCAATTCAATTTTTCCATTTTCTATTCCCTCTTCATCTCACCATTCTTTCCCATCTTTTATATCAAACCTGCTCTTTTCATCCTTTTGTGATCTTTTCTTCCCAAAGAATCTCTTATTTTTTTTACTGGACTGATCTTTAAGGTTAATGGACATCATATTTCCACTGACACAATCCTTCTCATTTCTTTATAGCCATTCTTCATTCTAGTTTTGACATCTAATCACTTCGCTTACATACGTATATGCTTATCATTGTTTATGTCTGAACAATTGTTGAACAATCTTCGGGAAAAAAAGATCCAATACTAAAGTGAATAGCAAGATAAAAATAAAATGACAATATAAAAAACTGGAAAAACAACAATCCAGAACCATAAATTCTTGAATTACTTTTTATATGAAAGGTGAAAGGTCTCATTATATCATTGCTTCACATTGCTTTACATTTTCTTCTTTTCCTCTCATTCAAATCCTATTGATGAAACAACAGCAAAAACAAAGCTGAATAATATATTGAATAATTCACTCTTTGATGCAGTCAGTGTATATTGATATGTATACAAGCATATTGGGATATAATTTTTTGGTCAATAGTTTTATTCCATCAAACAATGTATCATTACATGGTAATACGAAAAAGCAAAATAATATATTGAAATGTCTCTAGAGGTGTAAAAATAAGTTGTCACCAAGTACATAACAACTTTAACTTGACTAAACTATTTCTTTTTACTCTCTTTCATAGCATTTTTTGTTCAATGATGCCTTTACTGGAAATGGTTTTCCCTGAAAAATTATCAATATCCGATTTCTCATGACATCTGGTAAATAATACAATAATAATACTGATCATCGTGTTTGCTCTGATGCTGCTCAAGACTACACTGGTAAGTGAATTCAATTTAACATATGATAGGTGTATTAATGATGGGTCAAGATGGACAAGAAAACACAAGTAATAATCTAAATTAAAAGGTTACTTCAAAACATGATTTCTAACATTTATCTTCCATTTTCAGGAGCTCCTATGAATGGTTTGAAGTGAAAGGAAATTCAAGTACAGAAAGGATGACCAGAAAGAGATGCAGTAATCAAATCATTTGATCAAATTTTAAAGTCAAGATTAATAGGCCTGTGGAGTTGCTGATTATCAATATGATTACCAAATCATTTTCAATTTCATATCGTAATCAGAGTTAGTTGGGCAACTATTTCCTGAAGAAATACTCATTTGGTGAAACTTAATGATCAATAAAGGAGGAAAAATGACCTTAAGATATCAGCAGATTATTTATAAACACACTCTTACAAACTCACAAATTCACTCAATGAAAAACTCTCAATAAGCTGAATGTAGCTTGAAAGAATACTCAGTCTTTGAAGGTTCTTTTATCATTAATGAAATAGAGAGATGAGAAAATGTAGAATAAGAAGAGTAAAGAGATGATAACTACTCTTTGATTCCAACGTTTACTTCTCTTATTAGCTGGTAACCTTTAGTCAAAGCTTACAACAAAAGTTTCCTTTGCAAAAGAGTTTACTCTCAAGTGAGAGATAAACAGAGATCGTTATATTCATCATACAAATTGTGGATATATTTATATATATTATCCATTCTTTATAATAGTTTTTATCCTTTTCTTATCATTTTATCTTATTACTAACCTTCATCTCTTTATTTTAGTAACTCTGATTATGTTCATCTCACTCTCTCCCAATTGATCAACCATGCAAGCTGATTGTTATTAATCCCATTTCCTTTCCTATCTCAATTCATTTAGATTTTCAAAGGGTAAAATTGTCATCATTAGTGTCTTCAAGTTTAACCCCCTGTTTTGTTCACCAGCATTTGAATTACTCTGATTGTTTATTTCCAACTCTTCCAGGCCTTTTAATTATATAATATAATCCGTTTTCTCTCTCTCTCTCTCTTTCATTCATCCCAGAATAAGTACAGTCTAAGACCATGGAAGAAAATGTGATCCAACAAGAAAAACTTGCAACCTCTGAATGTCACGATTCAACTAACTCAGATTCAATCAATGCTTGAGCAAGTTATAAGTCAAATCATTGGAAAGAATTTCTTGAGAATTCTTCTTTCACAATTTCTTCGCCCTTAGCTTATTATCAAAAAGGCATCAAAGAATAGTTTAAAAGATTAATTATTACATGATCCCAGAAAGTCTGAACATGATAATTTAATAAACGATTTAGCTAAATTGTGAACTTTCCTAATGTTATGCACAGACTTTCCAGTTGCTATTAACATTTAACAATCTGGTCTATTTTTGGTTTTCATTTATCTAATTTTTTTTTCTTACTCTTTTCAGTTGTTTCTCCAAGCTGGTCAACATTTATTCTGGTTGGGTCCATTTGATTTAAGCTTGGATATAAAATAGGATAACTTGGGAAAAATAACAACATTGAGCGGTTATGTCAACAATGACTACTTCCATCACACAATATTGCTGGAAGCTTGGCAATAAATCTTCACTATTCTCTAGTTCTGCTAACTACATGTTATATCCATGAACTAAAAGCAAATTCACCTTTCAGTTTATTTTAACTTAATAAGGTGTTGATGAATAACCAATTTCATCTCAAATATTTTTCGGTTAACTCTTACAAGAAATAATTTTTTGGTTGCCAGAGTTTCCTTTCATCGAAATGTCCAAGTAAAGGTTTTGGATTAACATTTCAATCTGTACAATGATGAATTTGTGGACAACATTCCTCTCAAATATACCAGATAAAAAAATGACAAATGACCAGAGAAGTACATGTTTGACATTTAAGGTAAACAAGTTGAACTATTGATCACTAACTCAAGTGAAATTTGTTATATCTGATGAAAAAAAGAAGGTTAACTTTATACAGATTTTACCATCAAACTTGATTTGAAGTTAATAATACCAAAGTCAGTTAATTAACTCTTTCAATTTTTCCTTTTTTCCAATTATCTCCAGTTAATCTCATCTTACAAGGATTTTTGACCGAATGGACTACCAATCGACTGAATTTGAAACCACACTCACCACTATCCATTCACAGTCCATTAATCACGTCATTGAAATAACTAATTGTTCAGAAGGTAAATAAAATCTTGTTCAACATTGCTTCAAAATATGATATCAAAATTCAGCAACAAAAATTGCTCAGAAGATAAATCTGGCATGTTAAGAGTAACATGCATAATTCATTTTGATCATTTTTTTGTATCATATCATCAAGAATCTTTACAGACTCTGATAAGATTGAAACAAGTCTAATATTGTATCAAAAGTGGTAAATAACGGTGTGATATAGTGAAAAAAATATTGTAATTTAATACCATTGATTTATTCTTTCAACAGGGAATTGAAGAACTGTAATTGCGATGAAATTAAATATGATTCCAAAGCGATTCTTGGATGGTTAAAGGAGTAAATGAAGAGGAGAGACCAAGAAGGGTTAAAGGCTGGAATGATTTCAAATGATGTTTAACCGAAGTGGAGAGGAACCAAGCAACGTAAAAGTTATACTTATTGACTAACAGTCGAGAATGAATCAAAGAAGGATTTTCAATTAGTTATTCTCTTTTAATGATGAATCAATATAATCAACATCAACACGGTGTCAGATGAATACACGAGGAAAAGACTGAAAGAGCTGTGATTTTTCGATGAAAAAGAAACTGCAACATGGTATTTGTTTCTTCTGATTACTCTGATTGTCTCCAGATTTCCAATAGTTTATTATAATACCTTGTTTTATAGTAAACTGGTGTTGAATGTCTTTGGAATCCCTGTTGTGATTTATATCCAGAGGATATGTAATACACACAAACAGAGAGTCTAGAAAAATTGAATTGTATTGATGAAAGGACACTTAAAGATCTGTACTTTAACCTAACAAGATGAGTTTTTTTGTAAGGGTTATGGTCAGTGTGAATGGCAAATAATTTTGGTAAGTAAAGGATAAAAGTGAGAGACAGAATGGTTGAAGAAAAGTATCAAACTGAATCAAATTAGATACATTATACCAGACTGACTGTGAAAGATTGATAGTTGATCCGATTGATTGGCTGGATGAGGGTTGCAACTGATAGCTTTGGTAATATATTAGATCTACACTTTCACCAACAATAGAAGAGCTCAGCGAATCACAAAATATGTTGAATTTTCTGAATGATGAGCGGAATGATTGGTTATCTTTTATTTAAAGAATAAAGATCGAGAATCGCTTTTGGCTATTTTCATCTTTAACATTCAATCCATGTACATATATCAAACCAGAATCACGAGAGATGTTTTTTTCTTCGTTCATCTTACTTTTTTACTCAAATTTGCCTCTTTCCAACCATTTCAACATGTTTGCTCAAACATCAATCCTTTCATCTTCATTAAGTTTTATCCCCTTCTCTGTTTTGATAAGTCCACTGAGAATCCAAGAATTTGTTAAGAATAGGCTGAACTGAAAAGAGAGTCTGAGTTAAGGCAAAAATAGGAGAAACGAGTTTTTTCTCTGTAAACATCAAGAAAACGATAACTATGAAAAGGAATAGAATTGATTCCAATCTGAGAATGTCTGATGCATTTTATATTTGAAGATGAAAGGGAAGATGAAACAGCCTTTACTAAGGTTCCAGCTCAGAGCAAAGTAAAGTAAAATTTTTTGACTCCATCATTTTTTTCCAAATGTTAAACTGAAATATCAAATCTAGATCAAACTAACTTTTTTCAGCTTTCTTTCCAATTTAGCTTTACCTTTTTTTCATCATTTATTTCACTGGAAACTGTTTATTCCTGAAATGTCTTTAAATTCTAATTTGCTGATTTGGAGGAAAAGTATAAATCTAATGACAAATTTTGCCAATGTGTCCATTTAATGGCACTCTAATGGTAATCATCGTGTAATGTGTTTACCTGTAAAAAGTGGAAGTTGAAACTCTTGGAACACAAGAGGTCCATATTTTTTCGGGAATAAAAAAGGCTAAAAGAATACAAAACTTGGAAATTTCGTTGCTCATAATGTGTATTATTTGAAGTAAGTCTTGAGTCTTGTAAATCTTGGTATTAATAACATGTTTGCGTTACTGAGTTATTGCTCAGCACGTAAGGTTAATGTTACGAAATTTTATCGAGTTTTATCTTGTTCAGGATTTTATCATCGTTTTATAAAAATACAAACAATATCTTTATCTTCATTAGTTTTTTGTCTTCCTCCCACTTTCAACAGGCAACACTTTTCTTGAGATTTCACGCAATCTGCTCATCATCATGGTTTTTCTGGAAAAGCTTAGGCATCATTAACAGCTTCCCATCGACAGAAAGGTTTTTGTTTTTTACTTACACCTTAAAGAGAAATATCAACAGACTGACTAACACTTTGTTCACATCGGAATTTAACTTAAACAAGTAAATCGAAGGAATAAACTGATGGATTTGCTTGGAACAAAGATTTGAAGGAAAAAGAGGCGAAAAGGAAGTTCTGAAGAGCACCAGAAGCTTTGAAATTTCAACCAAAGATAATGGTGACAATTGGAGACAGAATTGAAACAAGAAATGAGAGCAAAAAAGTGAAATAAAACATAGGAAAAGGAAAGACCAAGAAGATGGTTAAACTGACGAAACATTATGAAAGGAAAGGAATGGAGGGCTTCAAATGGGAACAAGAAGTCGATATTAATAAGGACAACAATATCATGTTTGAAGAGAATGTTATTTCTATTTCAAGTGGTAAAAAGGTCCAAAAATATTGTCTAAATTAATAAGCTGATAAAGAGAGGACAAGGAGAAAGGAAAAGACAGAAGCTCGGAAAACATGGAAACCGAGATGAACAACTCAATCATATTGAAATTACTTGAGTCTATATAAATATTGTTAACACTGAACGAGAAAGATGATCGAGAAAATATGAAAAAGAGGTAAAAAAACAAAGGCAACAAAAAAGTGAAAAGATGAAGGAAAGAAACAATTCTAAAGCACTTCATATTTCGTTTTGATATAACTGTAAAGGCACCACTTTACTTCACCACCATCATCTATTTTAACTCCCTGATTATTTCATCCCATTTTTGTGTATTTATATATTTAACTTCACTATTGGTACACAGTATTTCAATCAAAATCCCTGTCAACTTTCCTTAACAATTCCTCCAACATTTTCATGCCTTCTCTTCTTTCCCTTGCCTTGTCTTTTTCCTGGTCTTTCTCTTGCTCTTTCCTTTTCTCTTTCTACCAAATATAATGTCAAAACCATTGACAGGTTTTAGGTTTCTTGAGCTGGAAAAGGCAAAGAAAAAGATAGAAAAGAAAGAAAAGAAAGAAGAAAAAGGCAGAAAAAACCAAATATCAAGTTTTATTTAAAGGGAAACGATAAGAGGAAAAGGTTTATCGCTGACTGAGTGTGAGTATGAAGCCTAAAATCGTCTTTCTCTTCCTTCATTGAGTATGTTTAACACTTGGAATGATGGATACTGACAAATATATCAATCAAACAAGTTCATGGAAACACCATGTTATCTAAATGTGTTTAAGCCAGTTACAAAGGAAAAGCAAACGAGAAGAAAATAAAAATCAATTGCATCCATAAACATAATATAAATGTACTTCTAAAGTATCTCTCATCTTCATTATTAGGCCAGTTGATTGGGAACATCCAACAATGAAAAACGGAACCAAGAGTTTAACATTAAATCAGAGATTAATTATTATGTGATGACCGAATTTTTTGGCTCTTCCTTTGGTTGATGACAAGACAACGTAAGAGCAAATTAAAAGCAATTAATCAATTGAAGAGCGTGAAAGTTGAATGAATGACTAGCAATCAACATCAATATTTTGGTTTACACTAAATAGTTGAAATAATAATAATAATAATAGCTAAATGAATAATGTTCAACCATCCATTAAATGTTAACTTGGGAAAAGCAAATTAAAAGATTGTCTTCTGTCAAATAGATTATGTTAAATTGTGTACAAAATTAATGTGTCACATAATAAGGATTAGTATTTAAAGTAATATGTAACCCAAAAAGGGAGGTAAACAATTAGAGTAACAACAAGATTTAACAGAAAGTTAATTATAACCAAATATCCAAACCAAGTAAAGACAAATGAATATTGAAAAGTGTTGTGAAAGGTTTCAACATATAAAATCTGATTAACAGGTAAGCATATCATGAGTATAAATGAAAGACATAAATCGCAGATTAAATTGTAAACTAAGATTATGTAGAGTCTGATTAATACAAGTTTCAAGAGTTGTAATGAGCAAAAAGATTTTACAGATTGAAAGAAATTTTAAGGATGAAGTTTTGCAATAGAAATTCAATATCATGAGAGAAAGAATTAAATGAAAGGAAAACGATAATGATGATAGAAAGGTTTAAACAAGGTTAGAAATAATACAATAAATTGATATACTCGGAATGAAATGCTAGTAAATTGAATATGACATGAATAAAGGTTACTTTTCCACCACAGTTCACGTTCCTCTCTCATCATTTCCATCCTCATGTTTATCGATCTTCAGCATTTTGTTATGCGCGTAAACTGAAGATGAAAACCATTAGTTTACTCTTTATTTTTCAACTCGGACTTTAACCAATTTATACAAAACAACTTTTCAAGAAGAAGAAGAATGAAGATGAAAAAGTTTCAACATGAACAACTGAGTACAATCTATGAAAGAAACTTGTAAAAAGAGTTGAAAATCTTTTCTCTATTCCTTAATATATTATCGACACAGATACAGTTGATTCATGAAGGGAAAAAGGATGAACAAGGAAAAGTCTAAATTCAGTTGATCATCATGAAGAGTAGACAGAAAAGAGAGGAAAAAAAGAGAGGACAATATTTACAAAACTGTATTTTCATCATCAATCTCTTCTTGTTCATAATCTTATTTTACTTCTCTATTTACACCTCCATTAAAAGCATTGGTCTGAAAGTTTCAAAAATGATATTCCTTTGAAAGAAGCACACAAATCATGATTGCTCACCTCAACTTCATTTCTATTTCACATTTTTCAACTTCTCTGGTGAATCATTCATTTCATCCACCTTCACCTTCAAGTGAAAAGAGTAACTAGACAAAAATTCACAATTTATGAAGAAAATGAAAAATGAAAAGACTTGAAATTTGCAACCATTGGTTTAGGAACCGCAAGGTTTTTGATTAACTTTGACTCTTCTTTTTTTATCATGAAATTGGAATATTGATGTTTACAACAAAGTATCAATGAGAAAATGATTAAATTGAAAGTAAATTATTCAATGAGCCTTTTCATGCATTTTTTCATTGTTAATAAACAAATGATGAAGGAAACAGCTGATGATTAAACAAGGCTCAATATTAATGAAATATTAAACTTAATGATGATAATGATGGAGTTTAATGTTATAGAGATGATAATGATGATAATGATGAGGGAGGTTCAGGGAAGGATGAAACCTTTATTTCAATGTTTGTCACATTAATTTGAGTTTCATTAAACTTTCAAGTTTATCATAAACAAAATAGCTCAATACAATTATTTCTTAATTTATTTTTTTCTCTCATCCTTCATGCTATTTTTCATGAAAAAATATCATATTTTACAAATCATTTTCCATGTAAAGTAACAATCAAAATAGTGTAATAAAAATTCAGAGTAATGATGATGAATATGAAAAAATATGACAAATAATGAATTAACTTATTTCAGTTTTTTACATCTTCTTCCTCATTCATTATACTTTTTCCTATTCATCATTCCTATCAATAATATCAGCATTTAATCAGCCTTTTATATCATTATCAAGATTGAAATCTAAATGATGATTCGATTTTAAATATTTTCATGACAAAATTGGATTAAAAAATTTTAGATGAAAGTTGATAAAATGAACTTCATTTCCTTCTGATGAGCCTCATTAACGATAATTTTGCTCATATGATGAACACAGTAATTTGATTGGGAAGGTAAAAGTTAACGCAATAACCCAACTAATTACAATTTAATAGAGTTTTAAAACTGTTAAATTTAATTAGAGTTTAAATTTTTTTGAATTGTATCATTAGATTGTTAATTGAAAGACAGAAATTTGGAAGTTCTGAAATGGTTCATTTGAAATGTTGAAATTACAATGTTATAAAATGTTCCCAAAGGTGATTTAGTTTCAGGTTGATTAATGGGATAAAAAAGGTGTATTCAATGAAATGTATTTGTAAAGAGGAAAATCATTTCATTGATTTGATTAAATATTGGTGAATCAAATTAGCTTTGGCTATTTATGCAAAGGGAATTGAAGCGAAACTGGCGACTAGAAAATTTAATAACAACATTGACCATTAACCAAATTTAACCTAATTATTAGCTAATGATTAAATGATTGTTTACTTTTAGCTGCAACAAAAAATATAATTATAATCAAGTTTAAGATTGACTGGAAAATGTTCAGAATCAAGTTGAAAATGAAAACTGAATCAATCAACATTGCTTTGTAATCAGAGTTTGGTTTTTAGTTAAGGATGAAATGATTTACCGTGAAACCCGTTTTATGTTAATTTTTGATTAATAATGATGATGAAGTAAATGGATGAAAAAATGTGTCAAACAATTGCAAATTGACAAAAATATTAGTCAAGTTGAGTGGATAATTAACTTTTGATTATATCTTTTTCATGGGTGAACTTTATGTTCAACATTTTGTCTTGGAACGCGAAATGGAATAATTTAGGATTTTTTTCCATTCTCTAGACAAGATTATAATTAAATGTGGTAATCAAATCAAGTGGCTTGATCAGGTTATATGCAATTGATGAGTGAAAATGATGAAACATTTACATACCTGTAACATTGGGCTAATAGTGTAAAGAAAACAAAAACACCTCCAACAATAGAGATCAATATCATTACCAAATTTCTTGCGCTTAATGATTTTTTGTTGCTCGCTGGGTGATCAGAGTGATGATGATCATGATTATAATGATGATAAATACAACAACAGGGTCAACAAGGGTGATGAGATGAGTTGACAAAAACAATGAACAGCCAAAAGATAAACAGTTGAACGGGAATCATTTGTATAATATCAATTGGTTAAGGCAAAGTAAATGAGGAAAAACAATGAGAAGCAAAAAGGCCAAGAAGATGGGAAGAAGAAAGATGAGGAGAGAAAGGATGAGCAAGAAGATGAGTAAGATAACAGTTAATTTTGACGGGTTAAGGTTGACTCTTTGTGTGTGTTCAATGGTGATAACGGATGGCTCAATGAGTGGGTTAAGTATCATTAGAATGGGTTGATAATGACATAATCATTATCATTGTAAATCTCAACAATGCGCCTATTCATCAACTCATTTTTTTCACCTCATTAAGATTGTTCCCTTCCTTTTCCCTATTTTCACCACAATTTTTTGCCACCTTGTAAAAATATTAATTGTTTCATAAATACAAAATAACATTCATGTAACTAAATCCTGTCATTAAGAGTTGAGTATCTTTGGAGAAAAATTTGAGTCTCAAATTTTGAGTCGAGATGAACTTACCATATTCAGTGAATTTGGTTGTATTGTCCATAATTATTTTTACATTGTTCATCAGTTCTTGATTGGGATTGACTGGTGCCGAGCCTGATGAGCCACTTGAGTCAGGGGAAGATGTTGTTGCTCGAGGCGACCGTTGGGAACAATCAGGACCAGTCCAACTGTACGAGCAATGACAGGTATTCACATTTGAGCAAATCTGATCAAACAAAAAGTCAAATTTAATGTAAACCCATTTCAATGTGCAAACAAATCAGTTTATCAATACAAAAAGATTAGGATTGTTTAATCAGAAATGAAAGCTTGTAATTCAAATGTTGAATCTTCATCAACTGGGAGTTGAAAGTCCGATAATCGGGAGTTTGGTTTTGCAAATGTAATAATTTTCAATTGTAATACTTTTGCTAGTTTTATGCATTTTACATTCGCAATTATGATTAAAATATTATCAACATTATTATTGAAAGCATTATGTTGGAAATGTAAATTTTTGTCTTCTCTCTCTGTTTGGCTTTTTTTATTGTTTCAAGCAAATCTTTGAAGATTGTTTGAACAAATAAACAGAAATATTTTACAGAAGGTTATTTTATGTGCATTTATTGATCCAAATGTGTTGTTTGGATGATTCATTCAGAATCTATCAACTTTTTCCTCATCTTCATCTCTTCCATTTTATCTATTTTCTGTCATTCAGTTTTCTGTTGGTGAAAAAGTAAGCGAAGAGCATGATGATGAACAAAACAAATTTAACAACCAGCAAGTTGAGCAAATATTGAGACAATAAACAGGAAGAAAACTGGAAACATTGAGATTCTCTTTCACATTTCTCATCATCATCATCAACGTCATCTGAACATTCACTTTTCCTTCAATCACCATCTTATATATTTTTCCTTCTCTCCACTTATCATGCTTTTTTTCATCAAAATCATCAACTTTCTTCAAATTATATCTTTTAAGTACACTTACAGGATACATTTCAATATACTTTTATAGTTTCACTGATCATTGAATTACCTAATCAAAATGCTTTATAACGCCATTTGGAAGACAAAATTGACCTGAAAAGGTTAAAATGACAAAAAATATCTTCACTTAACCAAGTTGAGGTTAAATGAACATTAACTTTAAAATGGATAATTAATGGAGAATCAACTAAATTGCTAATTAACTTGCCAAAACCAAGCATTTAAATCATTTCGAGAATGTAAAATGTTTACAAATGTGTTTCATTTTGCCTCTAATAATCAATCGTAAATGTGAAGGATTCAAGAAATAATGATCTCAATTCACTGTGAAGATTGGTTTACTTAACCTTATTTTTTTACTCCAAGTTAATTCTGCTTTTTATCATAAGAGTATTCAAATGATTCTGAGAAAAGCATCCTTCAAGACTCAATTTAAGCAGCAATTGAAGAAAAGCTTTGAAGACAAATTAAGTCTTAAAGTTAATCAAATTGGAAATTGTAATTAAGGATGATTTCAATTAGACGAAAACAGAAAACAAAAGGATTTGAAAAAAAGAGTTGAACAAAAGTCAAGCAAACTCATGATAAAGAAACGTTGAGATTCAATTGTAAATTCACCTTTTGTATGCAAGTATTGGAAAAACATAGTGACCAGAAAAGTCAACAACATTTTCATAAAATTTGAGTAAAGTGATGAATAATTGATGAGAATGAATTGTTTGCTATTGCATTTGCAATGAAATAATGTTTAAACTTACCCCATTCCCTGAACATGGGACAGCAACATTATTGGATGGACAATCACCAGGTTGAATGAACAGGTCAATACTAACGCAACTTTGATTTACACAAATCTGGATGAACAAGAGAAGAAAATGATTAATGAAAGAAATGGAACAATTAACTCTTCAAATTACCCGATTATCTGAACATTTGGTTCCATCCTGAAGAAGTCCCATATCTGAAATATCTTCCCTATTAGATCCTCGGGCAACTTTGCATTCATATTCAATTTCATTTGTGTAAATTATTGTTCTTGAATATTCCTTTTCCAAACCCATTTCCTTGGAAAATGGTACTTGTTTACCGAATTGGCACTGAAGTGATCCACACATTATATTCCTGAAAGAGATGCAATTACAAATTGAACATTCGAACTTTATAAAGTCAATTTCATTTGAATCCTTGCTCAAGGCTTTTGCCAATTGGAAATTCATTTTTTATGTTAATCAGAAAATGTCTCAACTGTAAAGTCTTTTTTTTGCAAACCTTATTGACTTAACAATATGAGAGTTGATTGACAAGTAGTTTAACAGTTTTTATCATGAATAAAAAATGAAATATTTAATCGAATCAATTTGAAATGTAAAAATTGAAAAGTGACTTTTGAAGGTTTGAAAATCAACTAATCTACTGAACATTTAAAGATTTGCAATCCAATGAAAAGTAAATCAATTAAAGTGTATCAAAGTTGAATTGTTTTTCAATTGATTCAATTAGTGAAAGACTAATTTTTACTGAACTCAAAGTAATACAAATGTTTGGTAATTGAATAGCTTTGATTAACAAGAGAAATAAAAGTTAATTGAAGAAAATTAGGGAAAAACGAAATGAATCAATCAATAAATAGCAATTGAAAAAGTTAATTATTTTACAGGCAACAGTGAAAAAAGCACGTTAAATGGTTTAACTAAAGGTTGAGTAAATGTCAAAATAGTTAGATATTGTTACCATTGAAAGGGTTCAAGTTTCAAATTGAAATGTAAATGAATACGAAATGGGTTGAGAAACATGGGTTTACGTTACAAAGGGTAACAAAAGGTAAAAGTGCATTTGAATGAAAGTGATGCTAATGAGAAATGAATACTTACTCATCGCTACACTTTAGATGAATGCCTTTACCATCGACACCACAATTGCCCTTCATGGTACCTTGAGCATTGAACTTTTCAAAGCAGACTGATTCAGATGCTCGAGCTCCAGCACCCCAAATGACCGCACCATTGAAACAAAATCCCTTCTGGCTCTTACAGTCAACGCCGTTTTTACGATAAATATCAGGAGGACACTGAAATCGAAATAAAGTTTCAATGTTTCAGAAAACAATTGAAGGAAATTTTGTTGGTTTCAATTCAAATCTAATTTTACATAAAATTTCAAAATTCAAAGCTCGTATAAAATGATTTTCTTCAGACGAATCGATAGTAATGATGAATCCTTTGATTCTTACTTATCGATTCGATAGACTTTTTCAGGAAAATTTGTTTTACTTTATGCAAATTGCTTATTCGGCGACATTAAAGCGATTTGTATTGAGAGTGAATTTGAATAAAAGTTTCAATCATTACTTTTGTAACTCAAATTAGAAGCAATTTTTTATCCAAAATAAGAATCGTTCAGAATCGAGTGGAAAATTTCTGGTAACTGGACATTTAATATGATTATTTTTCATTTCAAAGTATCAGATTAAATTGGAAAATAATAAATAAAATAAATAGAATGCTTATGGAATTATCTGGTTTTGGCGATTACCTAAATATCTGAATAGTATTCTGATTGAATTTTGAACTTTTGACTTTTGGAGTAAAATTGGAATTCAATTTAATTGGATTTTGTAAAAAACTTGAATTACTTACACTTCCATGTTTACCATCACAGACTTCTGGAATGTCACATTCATCTCTTGCATCTCGACAAATATGTCCTTCGTTTTTCAGCTGACCAGAAATGGAAAGAAAGGTTTGATTGAAAAGTTGATTTATAATTATTTTCAAATGATTGCTTTTGCATTAAAATATTAGTAAACTTTTGAATGATTAGGAATGAAAAGGGAAACACTTTAAGCTGCCTTTTCATTTTTGAAGTGTTGGTCAGTTAAGAAACAAAAAAAAAGTTTCAATTAATTGGACATATTTTCATCTCTTTTCTTGTCTCATTCAATTCATTGTCAACGAGATTGAGTTGGACGATAAAAGTTATCAAGAGCAAGAGTGTAAATGGCAACTATAATACAATAAACAGTCAAAAATGATCAATCATCTTAATAACTGTTCAACTTCAACTCAAACTTTTCACCTCCTTCCTGCAACTCATATTTATTGTTTTTAATGATAATATAATGTTGGACAGCATTGAAACACTACCTTTTAATAATATAATAAGCATTATAAGATGAAGCAAACTTGACTGGTCCATTAGTTATTGTTGATTGGATTAGTTTCCCTTACATTAATGATCAAAATTTACCTAAATTTATTGAGTTGGTCAACTTGTTTTTTTCTGGTAATTTGAAGCTCATTACTTTTTTTTAATATCAAGAGTTTTATTGAGCCAATTTTGCTAGTTTGGTCAAAGATCGATATCTTTTCTAGACTTCGATGAAACGATCATTAAGTATTGAAGAGCTTGAAAGTTCAAGTTGAATGGTAGAGATGAACAATGTGAAGATTTTACCAAAGATTAATTGATGGTTTTAATTGATGAGAAAATGATTATTGAAAATTAAATGTTGAATTACCTTGCAATTAACACAACAGGGTCCAGTTGAGCATTCAGATTCAACTTTCAATTTACAAGTAATTGGATCACAACAGGGATCCTTATCCATACAGCTTTGGAAACCTCCACAATCACATTCTTCACCTTCATCGATTCTCTCATTACCACAGAATCGGAAATCTTCAAGTTGATTGGGCTTATTAAGCAGGCAGATACCATGACCAATCTGGAGGGCATTATTATATTCTAATACTGAGCATCGGGAAAATTGAAACGGTTGAATATTGTTCATTCCTAGTATATAACGACCCATTATACAGCCCCACCAGTCTGGACAATTACATCCATCTGAAAATTAAACAGAAAAATCATTATCAAACATCATTATCAACCATAAATAGAGCGGTAAATCATTGATTAATGTAATTATTCATTTTGATAAATCAGATTATTACGTTATTATAAATTGTCTTCATCTAACATGAAACAAATGAAAGAAAGTAAAAAAATCTAACCTTAACTAAATTGATTTTACTCTTGTAAACTTGTGATTTAATGAATAACTAACATTAAGCTCAATTTTAGAGAAAAAAATAGATTTATCACATTTTAAGAATTTCTGGTTTTGAAGAAACTCCATGTTTTTGATAATAAATTAGCAATTAATGATTTACTTCTTGGTTTGAATAAGAATTGAAAAGTAATGAACTAACCTGGACTATCTGTTTTGGTTTCCTCATCATGGCTCATTCCGATATTATGACCAATCATATGGGCAACTGTAACGGCAACTAGATGAGGTTCATATATACTGATATCTTGACTAACAGCAACGGCTTTGGCTGTACATATGCTATCAGGAACTGCCATTCCGACTTCACCATTTTGAAATGGTTTACCTCTGTTGAGAAAATTGAATTAAACAATTTTTGATTTTCAACAAAAAAAAAGTGATTTAAAAGTATGATAAAAAACGTTGAAACTTACACTAGTAAATGGCCAGCATCCATTGGGACTTTGTACAAATTTCTTGCACCATATTCCATGAAATTGAGCAAAGTTTTCCTAACATCATCAGATACTTCAATCTGATTCCCGTGAGCCCAAGTTTCAACGTAAATAACCGAGACTCGGGTATTAATAAGGCGAAAATACATGTCAACACAGTTAATAATTTGAATTGCATCGTTGACAACTTCTCCTCGAGAAGAATTACTCCGATTCTCGAACTTGTTTGGTGAACAGTTGAGTTAATAGTATTTGCCATTCACGAAGGGAACCAAGAAAATGTCAACATAAGAGAAGAGGAAAAAAATTGAAAGAAAAACTGTCAAATTTCAAGTGGAATCACAAGTTAAATTTAAATGATGCATCAGATTTTTGGAGATGAAAATTGAAGAATCAAAAAAACCAAATTATTTTCTTGGCTGATGACAAGAAGATGAAAAAGGTTGAAAGTGTTTATCAGTTTCAAATATAATAACAATTGGATTATCTGGTTGAAACGAAATCAACTCCCGGTGGACATTTGAGATTTGATAAACTGGTAAACTAATTGGTTATCGTAAGTGTTGACTCTGACAGCTTTTCAGGATAATTTGATTGTAAAGGGAATGAAAAATTAGATGAATGATAATTTTGTTAACCATCCAATTAAAAGGTTAGATTGCATGAAATTTTATTCAACATTCAAGGGGTTAAAGCTTTTGAAAGTGTTCAACAAAAATGATGAATATGATTAATTACATTAAACTGTGAACTCGCAATTTGAACAGAATTTAAAATACATTTTTTGCTGTTTTTTTTGTTCGCAAAAAAACAACAACAAAAGGTTTATCCTTTTTTTTATATGACAAATCATTCAAGTTGAATCAAGTTGAAACAATTTACCAAATAAACTCAACTCTTCTTTAATAAGTGGAAGGTGAAAATAGCTATTTTCAGGGGAACTTGAACTTTTTTTTCTCTCTGTCAATTTCAAAAAAATATGTTTTCCTTTGAACACAAAAAAGCAGATGAAAGGCAAAAAAAATTCAAACTTAAATACATATTCAATCGAGTATTGATTTTACAGTTTCATAAAATTCTGTCTCTTTCTCATTCACTCTTTTCATCATCTTACTTGTTTTTTGAAAGTCTTTTTTTGCTACTTTCAAGTTGAATTTGAATTGCAACAATCTTAACCTCAAGAAAGGATGATGATGAAGATGATGTTAGCGAGAAAGTGAGTAAAGAAAGAGAGGAAGATAGTAAAAGTAAGGTTATCGAAATTGAAGGAAAAATTATTGAAAGAAAATATGGAAATTCTATTGCAAGGGAATGGAAATACTTTACTATGATAAACACTGAATACTGAGGATGGAGCAAACAGAATTTTCAGTTTTCTTTTCTATTAATCACACTTTTTAACTTTCATTTTTTCCAGTGTTTTTTGGTCTTGAAACCAGCTTTCAAAAGGTTACACTATTTTCAAATGTTGATGGTAAATGAATTGGAGGTGAATAGACTGGACTTCATAGGTTTTGATGTTTGGAGGGTTGATGAATATAACTCACCATGGCTTTGTCCAAGATAAGGGACAGTTCGATGTACTTCTCAACCACTCTAACATCGCGTCTTCCTTTACCTTTACGATATTGTTTGAAACCCCATTCGTGCATGTTTGTGTTACCACAAGCATGCTTGTGTCTTGTCTCTGAAAAATACCGATAAATTACATGGGGATGTTTCCTGGAAAGGTCTCCACCGTAAAATGGATGGACAACAAAAGTTTCATTTCCATAATGAATAACCCCGCTAAGACCATTACATGTACGAAAGGCGGCAAGAGCTCCAGGATAATCACGAATGGTTCCATGGTAATAACAATGTTCAATCTCCTGGGTTGAAACTTGTCGTGCTCCTTCAGGTAGGAAATGCTTTTGCATTAATCCAGGGGCTAAAAGGTGGTTATTGAGCTCCAATTCAAGGCGGAACTTGTATTTAAAGGCTTTTATGAGCAAGGAGGTTTGATGAATATGTTTACCAGTCTTATTGGATGATGTATCCCTGGTGGAAATACCCATTTTTTCATGTTTCCTAAGTTGAACTGGATAAATAACCTCATAGAATCTGCTTGGTATACTATTAATAAGGCGCTCATTTTCAGGATATAAACGCTTAAGCCTTTCAGCTTCAGCAATTGGGCGTATATCGTCAGCAAAATCATCCGTTATGTCAACTGAAGTTGATAGTGACACAGGGATAAAGAGAAACAAGGAGAGAGAAAGAGAGAGACAGGATGAGGCTAAATACACTGGGTAAGACATAGGAGGTGGTTGGAGGTGAAAACTAAAAGTCCATGGCTTTGTTGCACTTCACAAGTGTATCAAAAAAACAAATTCAACAGGGAGAGAGATGTAAAGAGAGCCAGGAAAAGCCACGCAAAAGACACAGAAAAAGAAAGAGTACCAATAAATATGTAAGAGATTAAAAAGGTGGCATGTAGGTAAAAGAAAGGAGTAAGAATAAAAAGGTAGCTTAGCTTCTTCGTTTAGAACCAGGGAGTGAAACTGTATTTTATCGATATTTACAGCTAACCCATTTTGATTCGAATCCGTATTGTATCTGTAGGTTACTTGATACTTAATATCGATACATAGTTAGCTTGATAACATGCTGCCATCTGTCATTATTGGAAGATAAGATTAATAGAAGCTTTAGAATTATTTTTAGTCATTTTGATTATTTATAAATTGTTTATAAATTATTTTTTTCTGTTTATTATTTTAATCGATGTTGTTTTCACCATTTCTACTATTATTTAAACACTCTGTTCATCATTACTCTCGTCATTTAGTTTATTTCTACCGGAGGAAAGTGTGATCATGACTGATCGCTAAATTTTCAGTGAGTAAATTAAAACTTATTTTTGTCGATTTCATTTTCATAATTTTGCAATCAATACTCATTTAAAATAGATATAAATTGAAAATGAGTGAAATCAATAAACAAAATCTTTCAATAACATAAAAAACCAGTTACAAATTGATCATCAAGTTCTGATCAATCATCATTCAAGCAATGATTTTTTTTCATTTTAACACAGTTTCTGTTCGTTCAAACATGGCTCTTTTCAATTTGGTCTCCATAATTATGATGAATTATCATCATTATGAATTTGAAAAAATTTCATCATGATTGCAACGAAAAACATTAGATTTTAGTTAATTTCTATCTAACAGAGGCAATACTTTATTAATGAAAACAATCTTAAAATCGTCTGTTACACCCTTCCACTTGGACCAATATGATAATGCTCAAAGGAGACTCATTGGTCAACTACTAATCTTGATCTCTCAATACTAAAGTAGTCGTCAAAATCATTCAAGCTGATTCATTCAACGGTGAAACATTCTGGTTGAATTCCCTGAAATACCTGAGTAGACGAGGGCTTAAGATAGTAGACTAAAATTGCGTTCAAAAATTGAAGATACAATCGTACATTGTATTGTTCGTGAGCACAAGGGTCGACGAATGGTTTTACCTTGCCTTTTAGTGGAAATTGAACAATTTCGATAACATCTACTCGACAGCAGTTTGATATTTACTTCAATTTATTTTCAATTAAATGACCCTCTTCTTACGGTTGATTTATGTCTCCATACATTTGCTGTTAATGGGTTTGCAATCATATGATTTGCATGCCAATAAAGACAAACTCTCCTTACTCTATATGTGATTGGTTATGTTTTATTCACTTTTTTCATTGTCTATAATTTGAGTTTAATGATTAATGAGCTCGTAAGTTTAATTATTATTGAACCATAACCTATCAATTTGATCATTTATTTTTACTGTGTTTTGTGAACCTTTTATTATCAACTTCCCCGAAAGCTTTTTTGTCTCTAATCATCTGTTGTTTATCTGTCCTCAAATCAAACTAGATAATCATTAAATTACATGGAAACACTTGATGGCTCTGTTTCTACTACTTCCTAACCAGTTCTGTTGAAGTGATCAAGCCTGGTTAAATGTTTTATTAAAACCTATTTCAGCTCAAAATTGGTTCAAACATCAATAACGGAAACAGAAGATATCTGATGTTGGTTCTCCGAGTGGTGAGCATTGCATTGATTTTTCCTATTCCTGGATTCAGATTTGTATGAATCAAAAATAGTTTCATTTATTTAATCTGACAGACTCTTCACTCGCCATGTATTATCTTCCCTCCTCTCTCTCACTCTCACACATTCTTCCTCTATTATCCAGTTAAACTCTCAAGCTCCCTCTTCAGCAATTTCAACCAGTTTTACTTCAGAAGACTTCACAAGTTTGATTCCAGAAGAGTTCAGAAATCAAAACTGAACAGTTTAATAGATAACGAAAATTTAATAAACATTGAATTTCTAATCGAAAGAAATATCAATGGATAAATACTAAAAGGCCGAAGACTTGTACGGTCACAACTAACGTTTCCTTTCCCCAATCTTTTTTATTTTGTTTAATTTTGTCATATTGTAATCATTTCTTTTTTTGCACTTTCAAGCCAACGCCGACTAACCTGTTCAAGACGAGAATCAGCTTCTCTTGTACATCCATCAGATCAATCAACAAGTATAGTGACCCGCAAAAACAATTGAAAATGCCTGAAAACGATGAAAATGGATCTAATAACCCAACACCAAGCCAAGTGAATATCAGTTTTGAATTTAGATAAATCTCTATTGTGTTGAGAATTGACCATATTAATACTAATCTTAACTTCATTTTTGGTTTAGTTGGTTGCAAACGCTCGTCGAGCATTCGCATCTAATATCACCAAGGATGTTTCATTCAGACGGGAACAACTGCAAAAATTGGATACAATGCTTGTGACAAATGAAGCCGTTCTTGCTGAAGCCATCAAACAAGATTTAAGGAAACCATATTTTGAAGCCATTTTAACCGAAATCGAGTTTGTTCGCAATGAGATTCATGGTATCCTTAATAATTTGGAAAGTTGGGCTAAACCACAAAAAGTCTCTAAAAGTCTTATGACTTTATTTGATTCAGCTTATTTATATCCGGAACCCTACGGTGTAACTTTAATCATAGGAGCTTGGAATTATCCTCTTATGCTTACATTGTGTCCAATGATAGGAGCCATTGCTTCTGGTAACACAATTATTGTCAAACCTTCTGAACTGGCTTCAGCTACATCAAAAACATTGGCTTCACTCATTCCGCGTTATCTGGACCAGGTAAATGCATTGGGAATATGTATAATTTACTTTGCTAATTGATAATTTTTAATGATTTTATCTTTATTATTTTCAGAATTGTTATCAAGTCTTCATCGGTGGACCTGAAGAAACCAAGAATTTAGTCAAGGAAAAGTTTGATTATATTTTTTACACTGGTAGTAGTCGGGTTGGTAAACTAATTTATTTGGAAGCAGCCAAAAATTTAACACCAGTTACTCTTGAATTGGGAGGGAAAAGGTAAACACTTGATGTCTTTATATAACCTGGATAACTTTATTTACACTCTCTTCATGTCATCTAGTCCTTTATATTTTGATGACTCAGCTGATGATAGCCCAGCAGCAATTAAACGTTTGGTGTGGGGTAAATATGTGAACAATGGTCAAACTTGCGTTGCTCCTGATTACGTTCTTTGCTCAAGAAAAGTTCAAAACAGCCTTATAAAACAACTTCCACTTGCAATAAAGGAGTTTTACAGTGATGACCCCAAAACTCACAAGGACTATGGTCGAATCATCAACATTAACCATTTCAAGTGTGTTAACAATTTCAACATCTAATTATAATGCAACAATTATGTAATTTCTGTTTCTATCATTTTTTGCTCACCACAGTCGACTTGTTAAGTTAATTGAGGATAACAGAAGTAAAGTTGTATTTGGTGGTAATTATGATGAAAAAGAGTTATATATTGAACCAACCGTTATGGCCAATGTTTCTCCTAATGATTCAGTTATGCAAGACGAGGTAATGATCTTAACCAAAGAAAAATTTATTTGGAAACCAATTTTTTTAACTCAACCTTTTACTTATCCAATCTTTTTAACATTCAGATATTCGGACCCATTCTGCCTATTGTTATCGTGGATGGTGTTGACAATGCTGTTGAATTTATCAATAACAGCGAAAACCCTTTATCTCTGTATATTTTTTCGAAAAATCAGTCAGTAATTGATAAAATAAGCCAAAAAACGTCTAGTGGATCCATCTGTGTAAATGATTGTCTCATCCATCTTTCAGGTTAGCTCAATGCAATATTTGAAAAGATTTAAAACCAACTGACAATTTACTTCTTATCTTATTAGTTGATTCATTACCGTTCGGTGGAGTCGGAAACAGTGGAATCGGCAGATATCGAGGAAAATTTTCATTTGAAACCTTTACCCACTATAAATCAGTATTGCATCGTGGTTTTAACTCTGTTTTAGAGGCTCTTGGAAGGTATGCTTCACATATGCTTTTTTAAAATAATAAATTAATTAGTAATGAAATCTTTTTCCTTTTCTTTTTCCTTAGTCATCGTTATCCACCTTATACTTCTCGAAGTTTGACACTTATGTCTCTTTTGACACGTAAACGTTGGTTTTAACTATGTGACGACGATTACTTACAAACTATTATAAATTACTAAAATGCTGAAAGATCGTTTGGCATAAATGAGAAATTATTTTGTCTTTTTTCTGCTATAAAAAGCATATGTGATAGGTTGAATTTATTATAACTATTATAAACAGACGATTGGAAACTCATTAATGATATTTTTAGACAATAAAGAAGCAATACTTGATTCTTCTTCTACAACTTTTATTATATCATTGAACTGAAAAAGAACTGAACAACCGGTTAAACTGAACACTCGTCAAGTGTTTTGTTCAATTTTTAACTTTTTCCTTGCATAATCAACACTGTTTGCCAATCTTCATTATACAACTTTCAAGTACTCAACTGACATACAATTTGGAGAGATAATCAGAAGTCTTTCAATGGAAACATACAAGTTTTATTTACCAATGACAGTATCGTGTTGGTAAATATTTTGATTGCTCTGGTTCATCAAAACAAACTTTGCCCTTCATAATGAAATAATCCTGAATATGAGTCTGGAAAAACCTAAACTTCGAATGGTGTTCAAGGATAATAAGAAAATGTAACTTTATCTAACATCATCTGTTAACAAAATGAAGCAATTAATATGATTCTCAGATGTCCACACAGATAATGTGCTTACCGTTCAACCTTGCTACGTGAATTTTTGGTGAAGCACAAAAACTAATTGCTTAATAGCTAACTAACCAGTGATTAGTTGAAGCAATATAATAACAAAGAAGGCAACACTCATGACGATTTAATATCAAGATGAATCAAGGTTTGCAAGTTGAATGAAAACTGGTTTAGTAAAGTTAGCTACTGTGATGGACAGTTGTTATCGTAATGATGGTTTGTACAAAAATAGCTTTCATGATGACCATTTTAATTTTGAACTTAATACCTATTGACAGAAAATATAATGTGATGATTAAATTACTACTAATTCCTGATTCCACGCAAATGTTTAATAATTATTAAATGAACCTTGAATTTAATAATTAGCTAATCAAGTGATTGTTGCTAAATATACTTACATCATTATCTTTAAAATTTGTATTTCATCAAATTTTCTTGGTTAAATAAATGGCTCGCACCATTTCTCAATTACTGAAGTACATTCAATTGTTATCAAGCAATTCATCAAATTATCGCCAAAAGGATAGTAAACTTAACTTCCTTTTATAAATCTAATTGTATATAACGGAAAATTGGTAAACTTGATTGACCAGAAAACGCTTCGATTGCATTACCATTCATCTTAATTGGGCCTAATGTTGAGAAAAATTTTCTTGATAATTCGAAGCTTTTTTTACTCGTTTACTAATTCTAACCAATTTTATTTACGAATAAGATTTAGCGTTTAACAATTTATCTATCTTGAAGTTAACCAAATGAGAATCAAACATCTATATATTGTAACTTTCAAGTGTAGTTAATAGGCTAAGATATCGGTTATGATTTAGGTTAAACATAATTAGCTATATCAGGAATATTTAAGGTAAATTTGCTCCAATAACTTGAGTTTTGATTGTCAATTATAAGCCCATTGGTTTGTCCACTCGAGTATTTTGGTAAGACAATTGTATTCGGAAATTTGACAGTTAAGTGTATTGATTGATTTAGACTAATTTCAGCAAATATTGGTTGGTTAATTGCTGATTGTAATTTGTTTGGTTGATTTTATTCCAATGTGATTTGTTCATCCAAGGAAAGAGTTGATTGGTTAAATAGAGATGGCGCTATAGTTTTATATAAATTAGGTGTCGTTATAATAAAATAGCTTATTTTACCCTTTCGCTATTCTTTGACCGTTAGCTTTTTTTACCTCACCTTAATAAATAAGCGTTAAAATGGTTAAGCCACCTCAGAGCAGAACCCTTCTGAAGATTAAATTGTTTAACTCGTTAAAAAACAATATGGAGTGTTTGGATACTAAAATTCAAAATTCATCTAATCAACTAGCCATGGTTTCAAAGTTTTTCCAGCTTGTTGTTAATGAAATGAAACAAACAAATTTGAACGACTTCTTTGCTGATCAACCAACAGTTCAGGATAATTTGGTTCATTTCAATGAGCTTATTACATCATTTTTGAATGATTTTTCCACTCTAACAGCAAAGAATGAGAAATTGGCGGAATACTTGGAAAAAGGTAAGTAATTTTATATCTTATGTCATTCCCTTTTTGGATTTTATTCAATATTTATTTCATTATTTTTTTTCTATTTCTTTTCTTTATTTTAGCCAAGCAAGAAGCAACAGTTTCTAAATTGGATGGAAAGCTCAAAAATATATCTTTGAGTGACTTGGCTATTGATGAAAACAATTATGAACTTGTCTTCCCTCAAATACCTTTGAAATCTGGTATTCCTGTTCATATCGCTTACATTAATTCACCTTCTGACTTCTATGTTCACCCATATAGTGGAGTTCCTGAATTTGTTTTGAAAGTTCAAGCAGCTCAACAAGAACTGATTGATAAAGGTAAGTCTTTCATCCTTATTTTATCCAGGTACGTTTGATTTATATGTTGCTCAATTTGTTTGTTTGCTTTTTTCAGACATTCGAAGTCTTCCAAAACTGGCTCCTGGTATGTTTGTTGCTGCTCGTTACAGTGAAGATCATTATTGGTATCGAGCAAAGATAATAGATGTTACAGGTGACAAAGTTAAGGTTTTCTACTTTGATTTTGGAAACATTGAGGTATTGGACCCATCTCGTATTATGCCGCTGGCTAAATCTATTTCTGACGAAAAAGTTCAGGCTGTTGCATGTCACTTTGTTCATTATAAGCCAAATGGTGGATGGAGACAAGAAGCTATCGATGTTTTCAAGCAGAAAGTTAAAGAAGAGGGAACTATAAAATGTTATTTCAATGAAGATGCTCCGCGAATTGATGAAGTTGGAACTTACCCTTTCTACCCCGTTGAGCTCTTCAAACAAGATGGTTCATCAATCTTGGAAGACATCGTCAAATCTAAATAGACTATACAATATTATCGAGTCAGTTGAAAATATTTCCAAAAGTATTAATATTACAGAAGTTTATCATTTTTCGTTCATGATTAATTAAAAGTTCATTTTCTCATAATTTAAATGTGATGTTTCTGATTTTTTAATTTTTTAATTTTGAACCTTTATAATAAGCCAAAGAGTCTTTATTTTATTCTTTCTTCTTTGGATGGAAACAGAAATTTGAGGAAAGCGTCAAATGACCATTGATCTTGAGATTGAGGAACCAGATAAAACTTTGAAATGCTTTTTATTTGATAACTGTCCAAGAATTGGTGATTTATGAACTTACCCCTTTTACCCTGTTGATATCTTTTGGAGGATGGTTCATCTTCCATGAATGTAAGTGTTATTGATAGGAAACACTCCTCAAAAAGCTTAAAGTTTGTTAATTTTAAGCCAAAAATCTTAATTTGAACTTTCTTTTTCCGATGGAAACAGAAACTTGATTAAGCGTCAAATGACAATTGGTGTTGAGAGATTATTTACATTCAATTGTACATTCAAAGGATTTAAAGATCGGTTAAACAGTAGATATTTACCAACCATGTCTTACATTGCGGTTTATCAGTGGCAGTTTATTTACTTTGAGTAAACCAAGTTATAATCTCCTTATAACAAATATTGATGGTTACTAGATCCGCTCTTTTTGTTGATCCGATACTCTAGATATTGAGATTCTTCTAGATTTTAAACATTGAATGTATCAATAACATGAGATAAACAACTGAATGAGGAATATAAAAGTTGCAAAAATTAATAAACTTATTTCATTGTACACTAGTGCCAAGAAAGATTTATTAGTTAGTTAAAATATTCAAAATGGTCAAACCACCCCAAAAACGGACTCTTCTTAAGATTAAACATCAAAATGTTTTACAAAACCTTGTTGATGGCTTGAATATTAAAATTCAAAATTCATCTAACCAGCTATTCGCGGCTGTAAAGTTTTTCCAGTCTGCAATTGATGAAGCGAAACAAAAAAATTTGGACGATTTCTTTCGTGAACAACCAATAATTGAAGGAAAATTGGATGACTTCAATGCGCTTTTTACATCATTTTTGAACAATTTCTCCACTTTTACATCAAAGGATGAAAAATTGGCGGAATACTTGGAAAAAGGTAAGTAATTTTATATCTTATGTCATATTTATTTCATTATATGTTTTCTATTTCTTTTCTTTATTTTAGCCAAGCAAGAAGCAACAGTTTCTAAATTGGATGGAAAGCTCAAAAATATATCTTTGAGTGACTTGGCTATTGATGAAAACAATTATGAGCCACAATTTCCAGAAGTACCGCTAAGAGCTGAGGGAAAAGTTATAGTTTCTTCAGTGAATTCACCTTCTGATTTCTATGTTCAGCCATTCGCCGGAGTTGCTGAGGGCATAATGAAAGTTCAAGCAGCTCAACAAGAACTGATTGATAAAGGTGAGTCTTTTATTTTTATTTCATCGAAATCGATAGCTAAATTTTATCCAGGTACGTTTGATTTATATGTCTTATTCAATTTTTTTGTATGCTTTTTCAGGTATTACAAGTTTACCCAAACTGGCTCCTGGTATGTATTGTGTCGCTCGTTACAGTGAGGATTTTTATTGGTACCGAGCCAAGATAATAGATGTTACAGGTGGCAAAGTTAAGGTTTTCTACTTTGATTTTGGAAACATTGAGATAGTGGACCCATCTCGTATTATGCCGATGGCTAAATCTATTTCTGAAGAAAAAGTTCAGGCTGTTGCATGTCACTATACTCATTTTAAACCAGAAGGTGGATGGTCTCAAGAAGCTATCGAAGCTTTCAAGGAAAAGGTGCAAGCAGATAAAGCAGTGAAAGTTTTTTTCCTTGATAGTTATCCTAGAATTAGTGAGTTAGGAACTTTCCCTTATTGCCCTGTTGATATCTTCTTGGAGGATGGCTCAACTTTCATGAATGAAATAAGTGCTATTGATGCAAAACGCGTCCTAAATAAAGCATAGAATCTCCTTTTTCTTAATTTGGGAGACAACAGATTCTTTTTATTTTAAATTAACCAATGTGACCATTTTTTAAATTTAAACGATTATGAAATTAAAATGTTTTATTTGTGACCAAAATTTGATTTTCGCTCCTTTTTACCATGTTTGTGTTCATATCCAGTGGCTACATCTAGTTGCAATATTTGGTCGGTGTCAGCATTGGATATTGGAAATTTGCTTTCAGTTTTAATTTGAAGATTATTCAGGTTTAATCAAAGTGAATTTAAGTTACAATTTCAACAAGAATGGAAGCACCTGCTGAAGCTGAGATTGCTCGCGCCAAGCTCGGTAAGTTTCTCATTCGTTGCTCCATTTCATAGATGATTATGATTCTTACATTTCTTTCTTCTGTTAAGATAAATTATCCCTTTACACTAGTGAAGAGAGTGTCTGAAATGAGTGTCTGATTTGTCTAAAATTTTTGTTTTCTACAGGCTTATCTCACTCAGTCATCACAACTTTACTTGGAAACCGTCATTCCTGCTCTTGGTGACGTCTATTGTATGGCACAGTCTTATCGAGCTGAGCAATCTCGTACACGTCGACATCTTGCTGAATACACACACATTGAGGCTGAGAGGCCTTTCATAACATTTGATGAACTATTAGATGATTTAGAAGATTTGATAGTCGATGTGGTGGAAAGAACTTTAGCTAACCCAGTTGCTGCTGAAATTCTCAAAGAATTGAATCCAAACTTGATAGTACCTAAGAAACCATTTAAGCGAATGAATTATGTTGACGCTATTGATTATCTGAAAAAACATAATATAACTAAAGAAGATGGCTCATTTTATGAAGTTGGAGAAGATATACCAGAATTACCTGAGCGAAAGATGACTGACCAGATAAATGAGGTAATAAATTGTTATATTTGATTATCTTTTACCTTATATTACTGTATTGCTAATTTTTCGCTTTTTCACGCAGCCAATCCTATTATGTCGCTTTCCTAAAGGAATCAAAGCATTTTATATGTCCAAGTGTCCAGAGGATAGAAATTTAACCGAATCTGTAAGTTTCTATTTAAAATATTAATTATACTGTGAATCAACTTAATTTTTTAACTTCATTTCAGGTTGATGTGCTGATTCCTGGAGTTGGTGAAATTGTTGGAGGATCAATGAGGATATGGAAAGAAGAAGAGATGAATGAAGCTTTCAAAGAAGCAGGTATTAACCCTGAATCATATTATTGGTATGCAGACCAAAGAAAATTTGGATCGTGTCCACATGGGGGTTATGGACTCGGTCTCGAAAGATTTGTTACTTGGATTTGTAATCGGGATCATATTCGAGATACAACACTCTATCCTAGGTACATTACTCGATGTACTCCATGATTGGAATAATGTGATTAGTCCAATATTTTGGTTGTCACATGTTTCTCGGCTCGTATCTATATTTATACATTGATTCTGATAACTTGATTGTTGGATAATGATTTCAACATTTTGTTGAAATATCTATCCAAGATGGATTTAATTTATAAATTGGAATCGTCCTAAATCCTGGTGAAATAATAAACGAATTTAATTATTCTTAAATCAAGTATCAACATTTTCATATATCTAAGGTACAGTTGGTTAATTCAAAATTTAGATCTACCGACTTGTTATTAATCTACCAATCCAATACATGTTCAGTTAAACACTAATATAATTTTGATGAAGCGTAATCGGTCCAATAGCTTTAAATTTCGATGAAATTGAAATGAAGTTTTCAATTACTCTAACTTACCGTCATGATAGCGTTCAATCTTGATAATCTAACAAGGGAAGTAACCTCGTTGGTACGGGCAGATCAAAATAAAAGTGGGTTTAATGGAAAGCCCGTGTCAGAAAACCCTTAAAAACACTAATCTCCCGTGGAGGAAATCGATCTGAAAAAAGTTACAGGGTCGCGAGTTCGAAAAAATAGCAAAAACCCATATAAATGTTTGTATCAAAGCTTCATTTTAAAGAAAGTTTTTTTTCATATTTCAATTTTTTTGAGAAATTTCATCGCTTTCATCGCTTTCATGTTTTGTTGTTTTTTGCGATTATTTCGAAAATAAAAAACTTCAGGAATAAACCGATTTCATATTTGCGTTCCTCATGATTAATTACACCTAAATAATTTAGATTAACAAAAATAATTATCTCTAACTCGATTTTATCAACCATTTTGACCTCCGTTTTGAAAACATTCGTGGCCCTGTAACTTTTTTCAGATCGATTTCCTCCACGGAAGATTAGTGTTTTTAAGGGTTTTCTGACACGGACTTTCCATTAAACCCACTTTCATTTTGATCTGCCCGTACCAACGAGGTTACTTCCCTTGTAAGTCTTTATTGCCAATGTTTTTTGGCGCCACTCAAAATTCAATTGAAAGGATTTAATCAAATGAATATTTTAAAGTAAATATTTGTCTAATTGCTATCAATGTCTGCTTGTTGATAGTTCAAATTTGAGTACTGACCCTTGAAGTTATGTTTCAGATTGTTTACATTGTTCTTAACATTGACATGCTTCAAAGGAGGCATCATCATCATTGAAATTGAAACAATTGAAAACTAATTCTATGTGGATAAAGTCTATCATTTTTTATTTACAAGGGAAGTAACCTCGTTGGTACGGGCAGATCAAAATGAAAGTGAGTTTAATGGAAAGCCCGTGTCAGAAAACCCTTAAAAACATTAATATCCCATGGAGCAAATCGATCTGAAAAAAGTTACAGGGTCGCAAATGTTTTAATCACGGAGGTCAAAATGATTAATAAAATCGAAGTAGAGATAGATATTTTTATCAAACTAAACTATTTAGGTGTAATTGATCATGGGGGGTCCAAATCTGAAATCAGTTTATTCCTAAAGTTTTTTATTTTCGAAATATCGCAAAAAAACCACGAAAACAGTCGATAAAAATCTCTGGATAAAATTCAAAATGAAAAAAAACTTTCTTTAAAATGAAGCTTCAATACAACCATTTATGTGGTTTTTTTGCTATTTTTTCGAATTCGCGACCCTGTAACTTTTTTCAGATCGATTTGCTCCATGGGATATTAATGTTTTTAAGGGTTTTCTGACACGGGCTTTCCATTAAACTCACTTTCATTTTGATCTGACCGTACCAACGAGGTTACTTCCCTTGTTAGATTAAATTAAGTCGGATTGAAACCAATTTTATTTACGAATAAGATTTAGCGTTTAATGATTTAACTATCTTGAAGTTAACCAAATGAGAATCAATCATCTATATATTTTAACTTTCAAGTGTAGTTAATAGGCTAAGATATCGGTTATGATTTAGGTTAAACATAATTAGCTATATCAGGAATATTTACTCCAATAACTTGAGTTTTGATTGTCAATTATAAGCCTATTGGTTTGTCCACTCGAGTGTTTAGATAAGACAATTGTATTCGGAATGAAATTTGACAGTTAAGTAGATTTTGACTAATTTCAGCAAATATTGGTTGGTTAATTGCTGATTGTAATTTGTTCGGTTGATTTTATTCCATTGTGATTTTTTCATCCAAGGAAAGAGTTGATTGGTTAAATAGAGATGGCGCTAGATTAGTTTAACTTTTAGATATAAATTAGGTTTCGTTATAATAAAATAGCTTATTTTACGATTTAGCTATTCTTTGACCGTTAGCTTTTTCTTACCTCACCTTTATAAATACCCGTCGGTGAGAGTCTAGTTACACGGACACATATAATAAACAGTGCTATAGATTCAAATAAATAATCGTTCATTATCGCGCTCTAGGTCGGATTAGGTTAGGTTTGGTTAGGTTCGGTTGGGCTTGGATGGCCTGGGGCCTCAATTAACGCCTTTGTTATTGTTTTGTATCCGTATAACTAGACTGTTACCTACCCGTCAAAATGGTTAAGCCACCTCAGAACAGAACCCTTCTGAAGATTAAATTGTTAAACTCGTTAAAGAACAATATGGAGTGTTTGGATACTAAAATTCAAAATTCATCTAATCAACTAGCCATGGTTTCAAAGTTTTTCCAACTTGTTTTCAATGAAATGAAACAAACAAATTTGAACGACTTCTTTGCTGATCAACCAACAGTTCAAGATAATTTGGTTCATTTCAATGAGCTCATTACTTCATTTTTGAATGATTTTTCAACTCTAACAGAAAAGAATGAAAAATTGGCGGAATACTTGGAAAAAGGTAAGAAATTTTTTATCTTATGTCATATTTATTTCATTATATGTTTTCTATTTCTTTTTGCATTTTAGCCAAGCAAGAAGCAACAGGTTTTAAATTGGATGGAAAGCTCAAAAATATATCTTTGAGTGACTTGGCTATTGATGAAAACAATTATGAACCTGTCTTCCCTAAAATACCTTTGAAATCTGGTATTCCTGTTCAAATCGCTTACATTAATTCGCCTTCTGAATTCTACGTTCACCCATATAGTGGAGTTCCTGAGTTTGTTTTGAAAGTTCAAGCAGCTCAACAAGAACTGATTGATAAAGGTAAGTCTTTTATCCTTATTTTATCCAGGTACGTTTGATTTATATGTTGCTCAATTTGTTTGTTTGCTTTGTTCAGACATTCGAAGTCTTCCAAAACTGGCTCCTGGTATGTTCGTAGCTGCTCGTTACAGTGAGGATTTTTATTGGTATCGAGCAAAGATAATAGACACTGGTAGACACATTACTGGTGGCAAAGTTAAGGTTTTCTACTTTGATTTTGGAAACACTGAGATAGTGGAACCATCTCGTATTATGCCGCTGGCTGCATCTATTTCTGAAGAAAAAGTTCAGGCTGTTGCATGCTACTTTGTCCATTATAAGCCAAATGGTGGATGGAGACAAGAAGCTATCGATGTTTTCAAGCAGAAAGTTAAAGAAGAGGGAACTATAAAATGTTATTTCAATGAAGATGCTCCGCGAATTGATGAAGTTGGAACTTACCCTTTCTACCCCGTTGAGCTCTTCAAACAAGATGGTTCATCAATCTTGGAAGACATCGTCAAATCTAAATAGACTATACAATATTATCGAGTCAGTTGAAAATATTTTTCCTAAAGTATTAATATTTCAGAAGTTTATCATTTTTTCGTTCATGATTAATTAAAAGTTCATTTTCTCATAATTTAAATGTGATGTTTCTGATTTTTTAATTTTTTAATTTTGAACCTTCATAATAAGCCAAAGAGTCTTTATTTTATTCTTTCTCTTTGGATGGAAACAGAAATTTGAATAAGAATATAATGATAAACGATAAACGATTATGAAATTAAAATGTTTTATTTCTGACCAAAATTTGATTTTCGCTCCTTTTTACCATGTTTGAGTTCATATCCAGTGGCTACATCTAGTTGCAATATTTGGTCGATGTCAGCATTGGAAATTGGAAGTTTGCTTTCAGTTTTAATTTAAAGATTATTCAGGTTTAATCAAAGTGAATTTAAGTTACAATTTCAACAAGAATGGAAGCACCTAGTGAAGCTGAGATTGCTCGCGCCAAGCTCGGTAAGTTTCTCATTCATTGCTCCATTTCATAGATGATTATGATTCTTACATTTCTTTCTTCTGTTAAGATAAATTATCCCTTTACACTAGTGAAAAGAGTGGTGACGATGATGCTGGCGATGGTAGTTTTGAAAACCCCTTTAAAACCATTCAGCGGGCTGTTAAAAAGTCAATTGAGTTGAAAAATGAAAATATGGAAGTTTTTATGGACGCAAAAGAAGGCGCCGGTGATGAGAAATACATGCAAGTTCCAAAGACCCAGATAAAAAAGCTTCGTAAAACGTGTGTTAGAGATACATATAAGCAAATAGAGAAACCAGTTGTTGACATAGAAGCTAAAGAAGCTGAAGAAGAAGCTAGAAGAGAGAAAAATTTGGAAGATGCTAAAAAGATCGTTATTTCCCTTGATACTAGTCTACCAGTTAAATGTGTTAAAATTTCTCAATGCTGCAACTTGAGAAATGAACGATTGCAAATCAATGGTTGGGTTCATCGTCTAAGACGGCAAGGGAAATCTTTAATGTTCATTCTTTTAAGAGATGGAACTGGGTTCCTACAATGTGTACTCAACGGTAAACTTTGTCAAACTTACGATGCTCTTTTGCTTCAAACTGAAGCTTCTGTTACGGTTTATGGTACTCTGAAAGAAGTTCCCGATGGAAAAGCTGCACCTGGTGGTCACGAACTTGTTTGTGATTATTGGAGTTTAATCAATAATGCCCCTCCTGGTGGTATTGATCATGTTTTCAATGCTGAATCTGGAGTTGGAATTCAAATGGACCAGCGTCATCTTATGTTAAGAGGAGAAAATTTGTCAAAAATAATGAAAGTCCGAGACATAATCACTAGATCATTTAGGGATCATTACCACGAAAAAGGATATTTCGAAGTTACTCCACCGACTTTAGTTCAAACAGCCTGTGAAGGAGGTTCAACTTTATTCAAGTTTTCATATTTCGGTGAAGAAGTAAGTTTCAATGCACTGTTATTACAAATGGACCCGGAACCTTTGTAGGTTGATCATTCAATCAAAACTTTTCTGAATTGCGGAAAATTCTGAAAGCTGTTATAGTAAATGTGTTTTAATAAGCTGAGAATGAGCTTTTGAATAAGGTATAACATGCCTAAATAACAACGGCGATATTTTCACCGACTTGGATGAAACGAGATTACAAAATAAATTGTGGCAATTTATATTATAGAACAAGTTAGAATAAGAAAATTCTTTGGTTTTTTATTTGCTTCCGGATTCATTATTGATATACTGTTCTTTCTTGTGTCATTGTTTTCTGTTACAAATGAAAATTTGAAACTAATTATTTTGTCTTTATTTTTTGTCTAAAATTTTTGTTTTCTACAGGCTTATCTCACTCAGTCATCACAACTTTACTTGGAAACCGTCATTCCTGCTCTTGGTGACGTCTATTGTATGGCACAGTCTTATCGAGCTGAGCAATCTCGTACACGTCGACATCTTGCTGAATACACACACATTGAGGCTGAGAGGCCTTTCATAACATTTGATGAACTATTAGATGATTTAGAAGATTTAATAGTCGATGTGGTGGAAAGAACTTTAGCTAACCCAGTTGCTGCTGAAATTCTCAAAGAATTGAATCCAAACTTGATAGTACCTAAGAAACCATTTAAGCGAATGAATTATGTTGACGCTATTGATTATCTGAAAAAACATAATATAACTAAAGAAGATGGCTCATTTTATGAAGTTGGAGAAGACATACCAGAATTACCTGAGCGAAAGATGACTGACCAGATAAATGAGGTAATAAATTGTTATATTTGATCATCTTCTATCTTAAATCACTGTATTGCTAATTTTTCGCTTTTTCACGCAGCCAATCCTATTATGTCGCTTTCCTAAAGGAATCAAAGCATTTTATATGTCCAAGTGTCCAGAGGATAGAAATTTAACCGAATCTGTAAGTTGCTATTCTAAATATTAATTATGCGGTGAATCAACTTAAATTTTTAACTTCATTTCAGGTTGATGTGCTGATTCCTGGAGTTGGTGAAATTGTTGGAGGATCAATGAGGATATGGAAAGAAGAAGAGATGAATGAAGCTTTCAAAGAAGCAGGTATTAACCCTGAATCATATTATTGGTATGCAGACCAAAGAAAATTTGGGTCGTGTCCACACGGGGGTTATGGACTCGGTCTCGAAAGATTTGTTACTTGGATTTGTAATCGGGATCATATTCGTGATACAACACTCTATCCTAGGTACATTACTCGATGTACTCCATGATTGGAATAATGTGATAAGTCCAATATTTTGGCTGTCACATGTTTCTCAGCTCGTATCTATATTTATACATTGATTCTGATAATTTGATTGTTGGATAATGATTTCAACATTTTGTTGAAATATCTGTCCAAGATGGATTTAATTTATAAATTGGAATCGTCCTAAATCCTGGTGAAATAATAAACGAATTTAATTATTCTTAAATCAAGTATCAACATTTTCATATATCTAAGGTTCAGTTGATTAATTCAAAATTTAAATCTACTGACTTGTTGATAATCTAACAATCCAATACATGTTCAGTTAAACACTAATATAATTTTGATGAAGCGTAATCGGCCCAATAGCTCTAAATTTGGATGAAATTGAAATGAAGTTTTCAATTACTCTAACTTACCGTCATGATAGCGTTAAATCTTGATAATCCAAGTCTTTATTGCCAATGTTTTTTGGCGCCACTCAAAATTCAATTGAAAGGATTTAATCAAATGAATATTTTAAAGTAAATATTTGTCTAATTGCTATCAATGTCTCCTTGTTGATAGTTCAAATTTGAGTACTGACCCTTGAAGTTATATTTCAGATTGTTTACATTTTTCTTAACATTAACATGGTTCAAAGGAGGCATCTCTATAAATTGAAACAATTGAAAACTAATTCTATGTGAATAAAGTTTACCATTATCTAATTTAGATTAAATTAAGTCGGATTGAAACCTTTTGCAATGCCAAACAATTTATTTATGATCAATTGCTATATAAAAGGATTTGAAAGTGAAGCAAATAAGGCAACCAACAACAATATGGACTGAGGAAGACACAATACAGAACCAAACGAAACTAAAGCATGATAAAATTAGAATGAGTAAATAAGGAAGGAGAACAATCACAAATAATAACATTAAAGATAATGAAAATGTAAAAGATTGTTGATGTATAAGGTTTTAATATATTATATATCAAAAAATAATGATGAGTATGATGAATATGATGATGATAGTGCTGCAAACCATTTTAGCCAATGTATTATTTGTATAGTCGGGTTAGTTAATTTTTCATCATGTCTCCTCCTCCTTATAATACATGGAATCAGTCCTTTTACCTAATTTACTGAAGAGACCACGATTCTGGCATCGACAATTACCTCCCCATAGATTACACCGACACAAACCGGAACAACAATCTCTTGGCCTAAGATCACAAATGCCACGTTTACGGATACAGGCTTGTCTATGAAAAAATATGATCCATGAAAACAAATGAGGCGAACAGAGGGAAAAAAAGAGAAACAAAAATACAAAAGATTAACATTATTTCAAAGTAATCAGTTTAACAAGTTCACTGATGACATAAACCATTGAAGTATCAACACAAAATTCAAGTTTAAAAATCAAAATCAGCTGTAAAGATATCAGGATAATGTCGAGACTTATCGTTAACATTTGAATGGGCGATAACAAGAAAATTCATAATTCATCCAACTAATGTAATCAATGTACAGTAAACCCTCTCAAATTGTCACCCTCTCTAATTGTCCCAGAGTCATGGTAACCGAGTAAACAATTGCTTTTAATTCAGTTTTTTTAATTAGGAAAATTTTGAGAGGACTCTTAATTACTATTTAATACTGTTCAATACAGGAATTATCAAATTAGAAATCAAAAACACCTAAATTGAATTAATAATTAAATTTTAAAATTTAATCAAATTCGTAAAAGGGCTATTTTGCCTAATTATTATAGGAAAATAGCCAAGATGCTAATCCCACGACGTGACAATTTGAGAGGGTTTACTGTAATCTATTCAAATTGAGATCCTTTCCAATCTTATAAAATGATAGATCGATTGATCGGCATAAAATGGCAATTGATTTAATCGGTCTTCACTGTTTCGGTATAAATTGAAAATGATTTTCAAGCAATTGCTTTCAAAAGGTGCATAAACGTGACATTTTTTAGTAAAACTTCAGTAATTGGAATCAAAATCCATTCAGCTCTGAACAATTTTAAGTGAGTAACAATGAAAAGAAAATCTGAAATGATAAATATTTTCAATTTTGACTCCAATGGATTTTACTATCCATTAATTGAAAGGTCAAGATCAACTTTCCATTTCAAGTATTTCCAATGTTTACTGTTAAAAATTAGCTAATTAATAAACAATGTGTGTCTTCTCAGTCAATCATTACCAGCTATTAAGCTCACTAATTGTGAATTAAACAATATTGGACCTGTAATTGAAGTGTTCAACATCAGGTGAAGCTACAGTAATTGCAGCTTCTGTTGCTTTTAAAAATCAAATTTCCTTTTTCAGTGAAACATTTTTGTCCATTTCTGGGTAAACAATCCAATTATCATCTCAATTTTTACCAGAAAAAAACCTAATATTTTTGTTTTTCCCTGTTTCCACTGACCAACAGTCAAACGATTGAAAAGGAAATGATATTCAATGAACACTGGCCAACGAAAAGCTGAGCACTTTGATTAGTTGAAATTAATCGATAGCTTACTATCCAATTGCCGTATAATAAAATAATATACATAATATTATCTGTAATGGCCTGATAACCTTTTACTCCAATCTTTTTTAATGTCAAGCAACAACAAAAATGCAACCTTTTCAAGTAAATTGAAAGCAATGTTTAAAAAATGATACAAAGAATCAAATTTGATGAAAATTTTGCTTCTTTTTTAATCAACATTCAAACTGAACCAATCAAGACTCATCGAGTTATGATGGTTTTTCCCTGTGAATCACCGGGAATCAACAACTTGTTAAACAGATAAAAATGAATCAGGAAATAAACCATTCAGTTTCCCAAAAATAAGTCAAGAATTGCATTTCTCTATTCAATGGTAAATGTCGATGGCAATTTCACCAATTATCAAGCAAATTGGCGTTAAAAAGCTTTCTATTAACTTGACAATTGAAACAAAGATTTACTTACTTTTTACTGTTTTTATGTCCCATTGAAAGCAACTTATCAATGCTATCACTATATTTTGATAGCATTTCAGCTGTTAACTGACTATCTGTAAGCAAATAATATCAATTAATCATTTAAACAATTAACTTGGATCGAGAGCAACAATGAAACTTGTAAATCATTAGCTTGACAATTTATGAAAGTTGAAAGGCCTACAACAATTGTGAAAGTGAATCTTCAACATTGCGATCAGAGTCACTTGAAATTTGATTTAGTTTTGCTTTAGTTTTTAAAATGTGAACTTAATGTAATTTGAGTTTCAAGAAAAGTCAAGAATCAAATTTAAATCATTTAGTCAAGAGCAAGAGTAAAAGTTCATTATTATTAATGCATTCACTGAATTTGATTAAATTGGAAAACAATTTTTCCTCTCAAGCCAAAAGAAAAGCTAATTCAAAGTGAATAAAAGGTGAGATATTGAAATGTTCAATTTGTTTCAACCAAATGAAGCCAATTTTGGTAAATTTTTCATCATCATTATCATGATATCTTAAATTGTTTGTTAGCATTTTGTTGACCTTAAAAGTTAATTTTGATACACTTCAATATACCTTTGAATTTGATTAAAATTGAGGTAAAATGTAAGTTAAGATGTGATGTTAAGGTTAAATTTGATTAACGTAAAGACAAAGAATGAAGACTTCCTACGCTCAGCGATATTATCATGTTTCGTTGGAAACAATTGTTAACAATTGGAGCGTAAATTGCTGCTTATCAGGTGAATTAACTGATCATGTTGATGAATGGATAATAAAACAGATTGAACAGATAATAAATTTCAGAGGTAAACAAAAGTTAAATTTCAATTAATTGTGTTGTCTCAGCATAAAAGATCATCTTGATTGGTGTTTATTGTCAAATCTGTTGAATATTACATTATATTTAAGATTATATATTTGATTATCTTTATGGTTAATGGTAATATAATGAACAATATTGTTTATTAAATTGTTGACAGTGTCTATTGTTAGGGTTAAGGTTAGGCCTTTCAAATGTTCAACTTGATTTATATTTGATTCAATACATGTTTAACCTTTAACAGTTTATTGGTAAGCAATCAGTAAAGGTAAATGATGAGAGTAAATTAGATAAGATTTAGGTTAATTAACTGACTTGATTATGAGTTTAAATGTAAACAATTATTTGTAATAATATCGTTTTTATATCGTCTTTGGGTTTGTAATATCAAACAGCTTATTTAAAGTAAAGGTTATTTTGCTGGTTATTTTTGTGGATTCCGATAGATTTGGTCAATTTGTTTCACTAAATTCAACTAAAAGCATGTTGAATGTGTTAAATGGTTCAACTAGGATTAACACTGATTGAGTTAGTTAATGACCTTTGGTCAGTGTAATGTCAATTAACATTTAGTTTTAAGGCAAGACAGACTTACCTTGTCTATTATTGTACTATTGATGGACAAACTTTAATGCTTTCAGTTTGGAGGGAAAGTAACAAACCTAATGATAATCATAATTGTTATAGACTGGATAAGGTTAAATTCATTTGGATTTTACTTTAATAAATTAAATTAGGCAACTATTTAGTCTCTTTGAGTTTAAAATGGTTGATAATTAACGGTAACATTTAAAATTGTCCGGGTAAAAATGGCTGTTTTCCCTCGCTAATGCTATTGGTTTACACATTCACATGGTTAGCCTTAGCAACCGCCAAAATTAATTGACTCATTTTGTTGATTTTTTTATTGATAATCAAGCTCTATTTTATTTGCAATGTTATTATAAATTTAATTTTATTGAATTTTTCAACCTGTTTCGTGATTTAGTTTGTTATTGTCGAGAATCTTGAAGTATTTCCAAAATTTCTTTGTTTCTCTTGTGATTCACTTGTTGGTGTGTTTGATATCTGCTGTGTTTTCAAACTATCGAAATGGGATTAAGTAACATTGGAACCTGTTTATTTGTGAGTTGATTAATCATTTCTAATGTAATTTATCGCTCTTTGTGCTGCTCTTCATGATGTATGATTGTTTGGTTAGGAACAAACTTGTTCTTATTCACTAGAGGTAAGTTAAAGTTTGTAATATTTCGTATCGTCTGAGTCATTTTTTGCTTTAATTTATCTGTTTTTTTACATGCAACAGATTTTCGTCTGGCAAGGAATCAAAAGAGTCTGTTACAATGTGTATAAATGTAAGTGGATATTTGTTTTTACTCGCATCTTTGATTACTCTTTTGATTAGTCTATATCATTTGAATATCGATATCAAAACAAGAAACCTTATAATGAATTATCTTTTTGTCTTCGTACTTTGCTCTAGTTTGTTGGTCAGTTACGTGCAATCAACTTCATGTGTGGAAGGACATTGTAATGCAGTTTTATGTCGTGCTTTACCAGAAAGTGAATGTCCAGCAGGCACAAAATGGGTTCAAAATTATGGTCCATGTGGATGCTGCCCAGGATGCATAAAATTATTGCAATATGGTGAAAAATGTGTTCCCCTGGTCGATGCTACAGAAATTTGTGATGAAGGTTTGGTCTGTCGCCAGCGCAATAGAAACGCCAGAAACTCTCGCTGCTTATTCCCGACTAATTTTGGTTATGCATTCTAACAATTGAACGGGTAAATCCATATTTGATTACGCTAATGGTATCTTGCTACGGGGAAGTCTATCGCTCATAAAATTTTATCTACTAAAGTATTTTCACTTTGCTGCAACAATGTTGGGAAAAGCTTGGTTGAAAAATAAATGTTAATCTAATTTATAATGTAAACCTCTCAGTTTATGACCATAAATTGATGAATAATACATCATAATGTCAAGCAGAACAAAATGTAAAATTCAGTAAAAGATTTTGCTCGCTTCAAAACAATCTAACAAATGTAAGCTCAAGAATTTTTCCAACTCTTGTATTCACATATGGAAATATAATTTTCTTTCTCACTGTTCACTGATTTTCAACAAACACAATTCAAATTAAAGTAAACTGCTGATGTAGTCATTCATACATTGACTCAACCATCAGCTTAATCTATCGAACCAAACAAACCAAAACAATTTTAAACTCACGAGTTTTCTTTTCTCTTTTTTTCTTACCAGTTCTCAAAGTCCAATGTTGTCAGCTATTCTTATCGTGGTTATTCAAATGCAGTAAAAAAATTCATGAATAAACCCCCGCAAAAATGTCTTATAACATTAAGATGTTACTGTTGCTTCTTTGGTTGAAATTAACGGAGACAAAAACTACAAAGAAATCAAAGCTCCCACCCAATAAAGAGGACAATAATGTAAGGCAATTAAGGATGACAATGAGGATGATGGCGAAACAAATATTCAGTTTGATTAGGAATTGAGTGACCAGGAAAACCAAAAATAAACATTTTACATTTCCTCAATGTACTCGGAAAACCTAAGAGCTTTTGAAAGCAACGATTCACCTCAACCAAATTACGCGTTAAATGAGACTGAATTTTGTTCCGAGGTCAATTTAATTGTTGATATCAACACTTCCATTGAAACTACTCTTACTGATAATGTCAAAAGATGTCTTTGGTAACACATGAAACATGTCCAGTTGTCATCAAACAATATAAAGTGCAAATCAAAGAAGGTTCAAAGAACAAAGAATCAACTCTTGTTTAGAGATATTTTCATCATCTCATCCTGATTTAACCTTACTTTATCAAGTTTCATACATTAGATGGTACACTGCATTATCTTTCAGTATAAATGTTACACTGAAAATAAACGTTTCTCATGTTAAAAACAACAGAGATAATATTTGTTAAAAGCAAAGTTTACCTGAATTGCTTTCTTGTGTATCTCTTTAGACAGATCAAGTGCAAAACATAATTGAATTGAATACTGACCAAAGTTGAATTACCAATGCAACAGTGATTTGGGATTGAAACACTTGATGCTAAATATTATTAACAATCATTTCATCCATTTCATGTAAATCTTTATTAATATTATTCCATTTCCAACTTTTGTCAATATTAACATTGCTAATCATATAAGGTCAACATTTGTCAACCAAACCGAGATTCAAATTTTGCAACACAAATTATATTTAACTTATGCTCAGAAATTCTTGGACAATCCAGACAATTTATTGAACCGATGGAGTTTAAAATAGCTAAAGACTGAGCCCTTCAAAATGGCCTTTATACTGAACATCAATTATGATCAGATGTAAGATTCCTGAAAATGGCAGCCCTTCATCTCAACTGGTTCCTGAAAATCAAAAATCTTATCGGTCCAAAAATTTCTGTTCTTCAAATCAGATGAACGTAAATGGATAAAAAAGTGAAACAAAACGATGAACCTAGCCGGCCAGAATCACTCCGATAAATATTGAACTGTCAAGCAATACGAAAAGGAAAGTTTCAATAAAATGTTGAAAACTTACCACTTAAACTGTAATATGAAGTCATTGAACAATTTTGAAAAGCTATTCCGATTAGCATAATCAGTGAAAAAAACAATGCTGTAACCTTAACCATGTTGGATGTTGGAATGTTGTCGATTGTTGGCAATCAAAGTTGAAACTTGTTGATTTAGAGTGATATGAAAAATGGATTAATCAAGAATTGCAATCAAATTTAGATTATTTTGTAGGAAATAAAATGGTGTCGACTAAAATTGCTATTAAAATTTACACAAAATATAAAGTTGAATATAATTAACTAATCCTTTTAGTAACAAAGTGTAAAGAGCAAGTAATTTAGTTGAATGAAGTAAAAAATTTTCTCTGTCCAATCCTTTAAATGTTCATCAACTTACTGGGAGTAAATTCAATGGATGACAATGAATGTTAGCTGTGCCTGCGCTACACAATTAAGATAATGTAATCTCGAAAGGTAAACTTTCAATGAGAAGATAGATCAGACTTGAAAATAATCAGATTAACTTAATGATTTTTATGGATCTTTATACATTTCAACGACCATGAACGTAATTGGTTCAAAAATTGGCAACTTTGTTTGCTAAATCATTTGCCAATAAAGCGAATGAAATGAATGCAATCAATGGAACAATGGAAAAGAATTGAATGCTGAGTTGAGAATTAAAAGGTTCAGTTTTATGATTAATTGAATCTCATTGTGCGTTCAATGTGGTAAATTGAAGTTACAGTTTAATCATTAAGATGCTGACAAATGAATAAACTTATTTCATTGAAATTTCATCTCAACTGAAATTTCAACTCAACTGAACATCATGCGCCATCTGTTTTTCATCTTTCTACTTAGTCAGTATTTAAGAATCAACAGAATATCGAAATCGTTGACTAAATATCAAAATCAAAAAACGAATAACGAGTTAACAGTTAAAGGAATATCGATACCGAAATCGTAAATTAATTAACGTCCAACAAATTGCTTAGCATTTAACAAACACCAACCAATCAAAGTTGACGATCTCAGAAAGGGACCTTTAAATGTCATTGAGGGGGGAATAACTCAGTGATCTTGAAGTTCTGGATTAATGATTCTTTAATTTGAGGAATGGCTCAAGATTATCTGATTTCTGTTTGAGTTATCAGCACAAACGAGCGTCAAGAATAAAATAAACGCCTAGTAAATTTATAATCCAAATAAGAATGTCTTCTTTGTTCTCCTTGGTGCAGTATTGTTAAAAGTTTATTGCTGATGAATTATCTGTTCAGATTAGGGAATTTTAATTTGTAATTATCATTGATGATTTTATTGCTTTTGCAATGACAAGAAAGAAAGTAAAGGACAAATAGGAAGCTGGGAAATCTCAAATTGTTCACTTTCGAACTGAAAGTGGTCCAAGAGCGTAAGAGAGCCCCATGCAACACGGTCAATATCAACACATTTGGTACTTTGGTCACCTTTTGCTCAATAATAGAATCAGATTTTTGATGGTCAACTAGAAAATGCTCGTAATTCGAGAAACAAATTTTCGGTTTCTTTAAAATAGATCAGTTCAATTTTTAGTTTAACCTGGTGCATTCTGTTGAGGTAACAGTTAGAGAGTTGAAACTTATTATTCGTCGGTAAAAATTGTTGTTACAACTAAACAATCGAATCTTCTTTCAATTTATTGACAGTTCTCTCGATTTTGGCCATTGGCCTGAGAAAGCCTTAATATTTCAAGAATGGTAGCAAAATCATAACTCTTTGACCAATCATTAGATTTTATCATGGACTGTTATGTAGCAAAAGATTGCTACAATTCCTACAAAAAGTTCATAGCATTTGTTACTTATGTCGTTAAATCCGATACTTGATCCATAAACTTAAATGCTTACTTGAGCACAATTCTTATGATGTTTTAGATATTCACTGTTAAATGAATTATCCCAGATCACATGTTTAACTATGAAAACACACATCAACACGAAGAATTTTAAAAAATATGGTTCCATAATTAGACAAAAGGGGATCAAAGTTTCAACTTTCCCCTCAATTTTCGCGGAGAAATTCTTAAACAGCACTAAATACTCAGTTTTTATGCCCCTACAAACACAAATTCTTAACTCGATATTCAAAGTCTTTGGCATTATTCCTTTGCTAATCTCTTATCCTCGGTGAAACACTTGCAGGTGGTATTCGTAACGAATGCTGATAAATTTTTCAGTAAGCATTGCTACAATCTTAACGTTAACCTTCATTGTTAATCTAATGAAGAGTAAGTTATTTTAGAAGCACATTCCAAATCTTTTTCTTGGAAATAAATCTCCAGCACGTAAAAGTAATATTATCAAATTTCATTACCATGATTTTAACATAATGTTAAGGCATTACCTTCACTAGCTGAGTAAGGCCACAGTCAGATCGAGCTTACAGATTTACAGATAAACATGCTTAACTCAATGCTTGAATAAAGACAAAATCCAGCAAAACACTTTGCATTGAGAAATGTGAAGCCATTACTGTAAATGCTAATGTAACTAGACAACTATAATGTGTTAGGCAATTCTAGATTCGGGCTGTGAAACGAGAAACAAAAAATATTGCTACTTTTTGCTCTGGCCTAATAACAAACCTTTTGATTGTAATCGAAATATTACACATAAAATATTAGGTTGTCCGGCTCAGAGTGTCGGGACTTTGAATGTGAATATTTTATTGATAATCAAATCAATTAAAACAATTCTTTTGAAAATCATATAAAGAAGGATGTAGAATTTTTATGACACATGATTTATAATTCTCCGTTTTCTAATTCGAAATTTATTGGGAAAAAATAAAAAAAATGAAATTTCGTGCGGCTCAAAATTTTCTAAAAAACTAAGGGTCCCCCCTGTGATTTTCTCGCGATAGAAACTTTTTTGATCGAACATTTCTCGAAAACTTGGAGATCAGGATAAAAATTGAGAAAAGTGATTTTAAATCAACCCAATTACTATAATTTAATTGAATGACTTTGAAAAAATTTTCATCAGTAACAACGCTATGTGGCCTCAAAGTTCGAAATTTACAAAATTGCCATTTTTCGATTTTTTTCGAATTACTTTCGAATTACCAATGTCTAAAGGGTTTAATATGTGTCAAACAAATTCTGAATCTCTACTTACACGATTTTAGAAAAAATTGACTGAATTGATTCAGGAATGAATAAAATATTCAAAATAAAAGTCCCGACACATTGAGCCGGACAACCTAATACTTCAATAAAAATCTTGTATTTCTCTTCAAAATCGACGAAATCGAGAATTAATTAGAGGCTAACTGGAGTCTTGAGGATTAGGTATTTCAATGCCCAAAAAACTTCATTTTTATCGAAAATTTTTGTAACTTGAATCAATGACTTGAATATTTTCTAGACTTTAGATGGCATCTTTGAATCTTTTAGTGAAAATAAAAATGTCGAAATGATTGTTATTCGAATGTGGATTTATGCAATTTTCGGATAAATTGAATGAGTATTACATGGTCATTACTCTAACCTTAAAATTCACTATCAGCAAACTTTCATCATATTTTCTTTTATCACAGATTTATATTTAATAATAGTTTGATGTTTGAGAGGAAAGTTACACAATTTAGTAATGACGATATGTTTAATAGTTGATGAGGGAAATGTAAAAGTTGTAAATATGTGCAGTGAAGGTTCAATGATACAAATGCAGTCTTTGACTAGAGTCAATAACAGCTAATAGACTTCAGTAAAGATTTGCAGACTTTTCCATGTTTTGTTTTTCCTTTTCAAACAGTTTCTTCTTTTATATAAGATTCCGATGGACTTGAAGGTTCCGGTGATGAAGAAATGTAACGCCTTGAAATATGAGGCGGAGATACTTGGAACCTTGAAGATGGCATTGATATAGCTGAGGCTACCGATGATCGACGAGAAGCAACATTGAACGAGAATCTTCTAATTGGCGGTCGCAATTCGCCATCCAAATCATCATCATCATCTCCATCCTCACCCAAGTTGTCCTGAAAGAAGAGAAAAAAAACACCAAAATTAGTCAAAGCAGATACATTTGAACATAAAGAAGGTGAAAAACAAGAAAAGATATAAACCTCTACATTTATGACGATATTGTGCATTGCGTATTCAGCTATTGATTTACGTCTTCGCAATTGTTTCATTAAATCAGCAAATTCATCCTTCAACTCTTCCAACCGATACTCAATGTCTTCACGATTCATTGGATTTGTTTCTAAAAGCTCATTCATTTGATACCGTTCGTATTGGATTGCGTTCAATTTTGCCGTTAAATCGCTGGTTAGGTAAGGGCCAGTTCCGGTAAAAGGTGTTTCAATAACATAATTTGGACTTCGTTTCTTGGGTCGACCTTCACCGGGAACTCGTCTTTTCGAGAGAAGTTCACTCAACTGTCTAATTTGACCTTTAAAAGCCTTAGCTAGAGCTCTGGCGCAGGGAAGCAGCTTGGATGAACTTGACACCGAGACAAACAGCTTGTCTCCGTACGATATTGTATTGAAGGTTATTGAAACTGAAGGTGGCGGCGACATCCAGAATAAAATTTTCCGTAACCGATGTGAACCTATGGACACTTCGGTTCCAGGCCCTTGAAGGTTGGACAAGCAAATGGATGAATTGCGATGAATCAAGTTTAGTATGAAACGGTACAATCGACCAGGAAGCAGCGAGTTGAGGTAATAATGAGCACCATACATGACGGCTGGATCAGCAGAAGTCTTCAATTCCTCCATGTTGTGCCGTATTTCCCATAATCTAGGAATGGCTCCTGAAACAAAAAGACTTGATTAGTAAAGTTGTTCAATAAGAAAATGTAAATACAGTTCAATATGGAAAGTAAAAACACTTTGCTAATATTATAATGAATTGAGAGAAAATATTCAAAGCTATTTCCATTTAATGAAACCTCAATATCAATCATGGAATAATGAGTTTTTACTCCATTTTTGTAAGCATGAAAATTTGATCAAGAAAAAAACTCTTTTGTGTAAAAATTTTCTGCTCAATTTGAATGCAACACTAAATTTCAATGCTTTCATTATTTTCCTTTTCCATTTCATTCCATTTTCATATCAATGTTAATTACAAGCAACTCTGAAATTCCTGGCAAAGAATGATATTATTCATGGAAAGAAATGACTTTCAGATTATTGAGACTTTCCACTGCATTTTTGCCTTTCCAAACAATTCAACAAAATGAAACAAATTGAACAATTTCAATGCAATTATTAATGAAAACTGAAACAAATGAAAAAAACAAATTCAATGCATGAACCATTGTTGAATCAAGTCAAATGTTTGTTCACTTCAATAACAAAATGAATCAAATGAATGGGAAAAATGTAGCAAAAACTGGATAAATATCAATTTGGGTTATAAATTGTTATTAGCATTTAGATGCAATTCATCACTATTTTTATGTGAATAAAAGCTGAGAGCGCAATAAGGCAATACAATTGCAATTGCGATAATAAAAGGTTCTTGTTGAAGGTGAAAATGTATTAAATTGTTGAAAAACTTATCAGGATTAAATGAACATCTTGATGCTTTAAATGTATCATTTCAAGTTGCTATTTTGTATCAACTGTAATATCATTAAACTTAATGATAACCATCATTATGAGCATAATGTTTCAATTAGGCTGGGAGAGACAAGAAAGATTAGAGGGAAATTTTTTTGCTTTACTTAGCAATTTTCACAATTTTCATCATGCATCTTCAGGTTTTATTAAGAAAAAAAAAGTAAAATCAATATTGATTTGGTTGGTTCCTTAAAATGCATCAAGATTTATAACAAGTTTCCAGAATGAAAGACAAGAAAATGATGAGAATTATCATCTTATGCTTGAACAAAATGGCGTGAAAATGTAAGGTGCAAGGACAAAATGCTGAGAAAAAAATTCAAGATGAAAATGAAGTTTATCTTAACAGCTTATTCCTTCCTTGGTTAGTCTTTGAAGATGCCTTTTTTGTGTCTTCATAGTTAAACTCAATTGCATTATAATGATTTAGAGTGTAAACCTGCAAACTTTTATAACACCAGCTTCGATTGAGAGTTGATTAGTTATCATTGATTAAAATTGGGTCATTTATTGTTGCAGAATAATAATGAAAATGCATTGAACCAGAATTCACTTATCATGCAAGTTGAATGCATTTTATAAATTAAACTGAACAATGAGAAAAAACTATTCAATTTGGAAGCAAAGATTCACACATTTCGATATTTCACTTTGAAAGGAAAATTTGAAAGCAAAGGAGGATTTCAGAAATGGCCAACTCTCAGAATTTTTCTTATGCAGATTTGTTTGCTGATTTCAAGAAAATTAATCGATTTTTCCATAGCACGCATAGTTTTGAGACATATTTAAAAGACTGTAAATGCTGAGTGTAAAAATAGTTCGTAGAAGCCAAGAATTATGGACAGAAAATTTTTATTCATCTTTTCTTATTTTTATGCGTTTTCAAATGTGCATAGATATTGGTGTAACACCATAGCTTTTCGTGCTGTATAAACATTTAAATTGAAAAAAATACGGACAAATGATTTTTACTACTTTTTTGTGGGAACTTTTCCCCGTCTTATCGTGACACTTTTCTCCATGTAGATTGCACTTATAGATGTCATTTTGACAATTATGTTCACATGTAATAAAGTCTTACATTGTTCAAGGTAAATTTGATTGTTGGATGAAAAGATTGAGTAAAATAGTTTGATGGGCTCATGATAAATATATTTTGGCAATCATAACTTGCTGCTAGCTGTAATGATAATAACGGAGGTGGTGGTGAATTTGATGTTGATGATATTTCTATGGTTCAGCAAATTGTGTTGATTGGTAAATTCAGCCATTCCATAGAAACATTTGGCTCAATGCATATGTTTGAGTAGCTTCATTTGTTGATTGTTTTGCCGGATGAAGGTCAGCACTTTTTGAAAACTGAATTTTTGAAGAATTCATAGTGAAAACTATCGTAAAAGAGTAACAGAATCAAAAATCGTATAATGAATAAAAACTTCAAATGATTTATAGCAGAAATAAGAAAAAAACTTGAACTAATTAGCAATAAAAAGCCAACATGTGACAAGCATCAATCGATCTGAAAAGTTTGAACTTTCAGAAAACGACATGCAGAGGTCAAGTATAGGTCAAATAACTGAATGGCCTTGAATGCCCTTGATTCTGGATTTATGGTTCTTTAATTTGAGAGACCCCCTGATCAATTATCATCAAGATTCGACTTATGGTTATCGAGTTACTAGAGCAAACGACCGTCAAGGATAGAAAACGCCCAGTAATAATGTGAAAAATCGAGAGATTTTAACTTTTGGTATTCTGACAATGTCCCGGAGAAAATCATGTTCGGGGTGGTGGGGCAAAAATTAGCATTTGTGTGATTAAAAAATTTCTGGTTTTGATAAAATCACTTTCGTAGCTCAAACTTAGATTTCATTTCGATCAACTGTGGAAACAGATTTTATTTTTCAGCTTTTCTCATTGGCAATGTTTTTCTACAGAATTAATGATTTGAGTGGTTAAATGAGGATTTATTGTATTCAGTGAAAAGAACGATCCGCCATGATCGGGGCTCAGCCTAATAATACCTAATAATGAAACCCAACCACTGAAATAGACTAAATTTATGCTGTGCAAATGTATTTCAGCAGAAATGATCTAATTTTGTCCGAATAAAAGGCAGAAAAATTCAGTTCAATTTTAACTCAGTTTTTGCGCTGAAATATCTTTCATTTGAACTTTATATCAACTTTATCACAAAATAAGTAAAGCTATTATATTTTAGGTGAAAGCTTATCATGCATAAATGTATTCGAAGAAATGGATGAAGTCTTGAAACATGACAAAATCTCAAAGAAAATTCTTTTTGAAAGATTCTGAATTTGAAGGAAAAAAATTGAAAGCATCAAACTAAAGAGTAAACTTCAATTTTAGAAACTTTTCAATTTCGATTGCTTTTTGCTTTAAAAAAAGCTGAAAGACATTTCGATGGTTGAGCTGAAATTTTAATAAAAACATTTTGTTCATAATTGTTAGAAAGGAGCCGCATTCATTAGATTTCGCCTTCTCACCGATTTGCTTGAAATTTTTGCATGCTGATAGACAAGTATTTTAATTTATTTTCGCTAAAAAAAGACCTAACGGAACTATAGATCGGACATTATCGACAAACAATCGAAAAAACTTCAGTCATTTTGCAGATGCTTTACTCATTTTCATTTTGATGCATTTTTTGATGATCAGTACCCAATCTATCGGAATTGCTGTTTAAAAATCTTTTTCTTTCTTGTCGATCTGTCTTTTCGATTTTTCGAACTATCACCCGATCTGAGAGGAACCCATCAACCCATTTTACGCCATCTTTTGAATTTCGTGAATAAAATGAAAATAATCTTGATTTTTATGTAATATGGGGGGATAATAATAATGAAATATAATACATATGATATAATAAAGCTAAAAATAGAGTAACAAAATGAGTGCTGGAATATTGAATTGTAATATAATTTGGCGCAAATCAGACAAATGTATCTTTTGAACTGAAAACTCACTGAGTTTGTATTAAATAACGGACAAGACAAGGTGAGATGTAACCAGAAAAAGATTATTTGTTTTTCTCAGGTAACTAAAAAAGGTTAGTGGGTCAAGAGAAATTTGTTGACTAGAATTGTTAAACCTTTGGAAGAAACAGTGAAGAGTTGAATTTCATTGCACCTGATGAGCATCAAGATGACAATAAAAACAAGGATAACAATAATAAATGTTAGCGTTTAATGATTGCAAAAAATGCAAAAAGTGATGGAAATGAAGTGAGAAAAGGAAAGAATAAAAAGGAAATAACATTTCTATTCAAGTTTCAGTTGAGCTTTTTTGCCTTAAACTCACTCAGGGAAGCAATTTCCATGGCATTTCAACGAAAAGGAAAAAAGGTTAAACTTGGTGAAAAAGAGTTATGCAAATGTTGAATTGACATGACATTTGATTATGTAATGGCAGGTCAATGAATGACTTTAAATTAACATGTTTCTTCTGATCAGTCAATTCAAAGGCTAAACTGTTTAGACTATTTTCATGATCATTTCATGAAAATTCAACCTTCGTCTCTTTTAAACCTTTCTCGTTTCTTGAATCTCTCTTGATACAATTTCATAAAAAGGCGAAAATAGTTTCAAATAATTCATTGAGAATTGAAAATTCAATGTTCATTTCAATCAAAATAAAGTTTGTTTTAGAGAAAACCTTTTCCACATTTAAGTTGATAATTTATGTTTGATTGGAAATGCAAATGATTTCCGACTTTCAATGTTCAATGTTTCAATTAACGTTCGTGTGAGGTTAAGTGAAAGTTAATTGTTAGACAAAAATAGCAATTATTTCGATTGAAAGCAATTAAATGATTAATAATGATTAATTGATAAATGGCTTATAAAAGGAATTAGTCTCAAGATTGTCTGTAAATTGGGTTATTAGTGAATTGATTGGTAAACCAAAGGTTTTCTCATTTGATTAGAGTTTTGGAAAGAAACAATTTAAACCTTTTTTCTTGCTCTCAAATTCAATGAGTTCAATTATTAATGGAGAAAAGTTTACATGGAGAAAAAGCTTTGAAAGGTTGAAAGGTGAACAAAACGAAAGCAGATTTTATCAGAAAAAAAAGTAAAAACTGGTAAAATTGAGAATTGAATAAGAGATGAATTCGTTTTTTTAATGGTCATCATTTTGTCCATTTACAATGTTGAACCTTTATAATTGGTTAGCTTTTAATAAAATAAAATCGATATTGGCTTTTCTGGTAAACAGTTAAGTGACTTAAAACTGAATTAATTGAAACACATGAAAATAACTGAAACTTGAAACAAATTTAAACAGTTGGAGTTGGCCAGAATAAAGCAAAGCAACTTGACAGATGTTCAACTTTAGTATCAACAAGTTATATTTCACTTTTTTAATGAAAACTCAACTGATTATATTTAATGGAAAGCTTAACGATTCAATGAAAATGATTGAGATTGTTAACTAATCAAAGTTGAACAGAAGAGTGAAAAAATTGAAAATTCGGGAAAAGATTGAAATCTTTTAAGCAACTCTTTAAGTTATGGCAGCAAAAATATGAATCTGAATACAGTAAGATTCATGAATGAATGCTGATAATAGTCTGGAGTAAAGAATGGAAAAATTGAAGGAAAGAATAAAAAAGGTAACATGGAATGAATTTATATCAATGATAAGGAACTGAAAGACAATGGTTTTGGCAACTTTGAGAATAATATTCAAGATAATGTTCAAAGATGATGAATGAAGTTGAATATCAGAAACATTTTCATTGTTATCTAATCATTTTGAGATCATCATTTATCGTTTTAAATTTTAACTGGATGACAATGCAAGATGTACAGTTGAAATTAAACTAAGAAACTGGGTGAAAGGAAGGAAAATGCATGGAAATCTCAATATTATTGAATAGACTGATTGATGGTTATTAATATTAATCATTAATAATGGTATTAATGCAGAGATTGTTATTACAATTTCATGTCATGATGTGTCTGTTATTTGTGAGTAAATCATTGGTAATGTTCCAATGGAACATTGAATCGTCAAATTGATTCAGTTTTCTTCTTGTTTCATCTTTGTTGTTTGACAGGTCAAGATTTAATGATGATATAAATAGTGATGATAATAATGATTATTTACTCATTTTTTTCTGACCTCATTTAATATTCAATCTGGTTATATTGAAACTCATCACTATCGTCTCACCTCATATCTTAATATAATTACTTTTTCCACTCAAGTCTTTTACTTTTCTCATAATAATATACACATATTATGTTAGATCTTGTCATTATTATTATTATTATTATTATCATTTGCGACTCCCTGTTATTCAATTTTATCGCAAATTAACAATTCAATTTGACTCTCATTTAGTTTTCCATATTGTGCTTTAGTTTACAACATCATCACTTGGAAGCACAGAATCAGCAGCCATTTTTACTTTATCTTCATTATTTTATAATACTCATCAACAAAATTGGACGGAAGGTCATGAATAGTTCAAAGCTAACAGAGTCAAATTCAGTACACATGCAATTTCAAAACAGTCACTTTCAATTATCATCATCATCAACATCGTCTTTCTCTTAATCATTGTACATCATAAAAGTGAGCCTGATTGGCTCATAAAGTATGCATCTTATAACCTAAAACAGTTTCACTCACGCATCAAACACAATATACAGTAATGATATTTTACGAGGAAAATTTTTCATTTCATCTCAATAATCTTCCTCATCATCCTACTCATCGTCTTCATCATCTTCATCATCTTGATCTTGTTCACCATGATCTTCATCATCATTTCCATCGCTTTCATTAGCTCCAGCATCTTAAAAGTCTTAGCCAAAGGCTATGAATATCTCAACCTAAGAGAGTCAGTCTGATCGGATCAACACTTGATCCTTTTAGGCCTCTTTACGTGTCAAGTGTCTGGTCATTTTCATCTGTTTTTTATTTATCTTTTTTGTTGTTTCCAGTTGCTTAAGACTTTCACTATTTTTTCATCTCGAGTTGACAATTAAATGAAGAAGTTGCCTTTTCTTAGTTGCCTTTTATTTCTCTGTTGCTTGTTTTCTTTTCACTTTAACTATTGCTAACTTTAATTTGCCTTAAAAGACTATTATTCATTAGTTAATTGCTGCTGATGCAAATGAGCTTAATCTTTGGCTGATTAGTGAAAATTTGCCTTCTTTCTTTGTTCAGTATTCACCTAATTACCATCAACATTTAACCAGCATAAAAAGTGAAACTTAACGGGTGGATAAATTGAAGGGAAAAACCTAAACTTAACCCAAAAAATTTTTTGATTTACCAATAAAAATTGCAATACATAACATTTGCCTTAATGTCTGGCTATACATGCAATCAATCTTGCTTACTTTTTGTTCAACCATCTCTGTCTCTTTATCACCAACATTAACATGGTTGTTCAACTTTTTTTTGACAGTTCCAGGTTCTTTGTCAGTGAAAAGAGGTGAAAATTTTCATATCTTTTCCCATATCCATAATAATGATAATCATCATGAGCATTATCAAACTCATTTCCCAAGTTGATACGAAAATCGAGACACAAAAGCCTAAGTTAGACTGTCTATTATGCGGAAGGAAAAACCTGGTTAAAATTGTTTGTTTCACATTTCAATTGTACTCTTGTTTAGCCTCTTTCATGGGTTCATAATAATTGAGTTGAGCAATGGTTAAGTCAACAGTTATTTTGTAGCAAACATTTTGATACAATGGTAAAGATGAAAACAGAAAACACAGTTTTACACTTTTCAACAAAAGATCAGGAAATAATGAAATATTTACTTTTTTTCAGTGAAAGTTAAACAAGTCAAACCAAATATTAATCATTAAAGGTAAAACTGGTAAAAATGTATTTCAAAAATTGTCCAAAAAATGGATCCAATTGAACTTGCAATGATTATTCATTGAAAGGGTCAATAATCAATCAATAGATGACAATACCTTCAATGCTGGTTGGAAGTGGCAATGTAAGTACAACATAATTAACTCTGACAATGTCACTTTCAGCATCATTGATTCCTCTTATGTCAACCGGAAGAGAGATTCCAATGTCCGGTGGATTGGTGATATTCCTGGCAACCATATATCTTCGAACAGAACCTGGAAAAATTGAGGAGAAAAGAAGAGATGAAATTCAAGTGACGAAAAATCATTGTGTGAATAAAAAAGGAAAAGTTAAACTGAGTTGACTAAATGAATAATCAGAGTTGACATGAAAAGGATTCAATTGTTGAGTCTAATTAAAGGCAAAGGGAGACAGAAGTAAAGGATTATTGTGATGAAATGTTGGCCCAAAATTAACAGTTAAATGTTGATGCAAACGGTTAAATGGATTTTAGCTTTAAAAAAAGGGTTTCAATTGAATGGCAATTTTGCAGTTGCAATCATTAAAACAGTTAACTGGTTTTGATGTAAATTTCGTTGAAAGCAAGTTTCAAAATTGCCAAGCTAAGCTAGTCAACAAATAAACTCAGTAATTATTTGACACTCAAGTTGCTATTTTCATGATGAACCTTTTAGACAAACAGAATTACAAAATTCAGACTTTCCATTTTCTAGAAATTAGATTTTCGTTGTAAAAATGCTTCAAGAATGCGATCTTACAGTTGAAAGATTCTGGTTTTGTAACTTGGGTTGTGAATGGTTTTACCAACAGTTTAGGTTCAGGGTTTGGGTTTAGGTTTGTTTGACATTGAATTTTGAGACTCTTTGAGTGATTAATATGATTGTAGCGTTTGAGAAAATGATGAGAAAAGAAATTAAGAAAATTAATTTTCCTTAAAGGTTGATTTTACATTTATGGTAATGGAACTGTAATAATACAAATTGTTCAAATGATATTTGAAACAAAATAGGAAAAGGTTAACATTTACAAATGTAAAAGACTGAGAGTTACGTGATTTGATGTGATGAAGCAACTATTGGTATAAACTATGTGAATGTAAAACAATTACAACCGCAAACACATTAGTGGTGTTACATGTTTAAATATCATTGAAAACATGAAAGAGTAACAATCTTTTGAAACGATATCTCGTGATAAAATTCATCAACAATTGAACATTATCAAAATTATCTAAATTCATCATGATAAGTATGGAGAACACGAGAATCAGTTGAAGATGAAAACATGAAGCTAGTGAATCTAAATGAAAAGCAAGAAATTAATTTGAACGAAGACAATTGATAAGCAAACGAATGCAACTCGAAACCATTTTTCCCTTTGCCTAAACACCTGGTAAAGTGTACCAGAAAATTGAATGATCATAAAAACATTGGAGACAAAAAACAATCATTTAAAGCGTAATCCAATTTCATCATAAATCTTGTTGACAATAAATCCATAGAGATATTCAGAACAATCTATTGTCTCCTTAATAGGTTAATGTTGCAGAGATGAGAAAATTTGGTGAATAAACAAGTAAAAGAAGAGGAAAAAAGTTTCATTGAAATGATTCCAGCCTCAAAGGATGGCAACAGTTTGAGGATAATCATAAAGTCATTACCTAAGAGCTGGTAAAAGGAATCGATAAAAAAGTGTAAAAAAGTAAAGAAACTTTTCAAAGGTTTACCTGTGACTGCAGCTAGGATAACATCATTGAGGCAACTTCTTGTAACTTGTTTAACCCTTTGAATCTTGGCCATCTCAATGGTTGTCCAATGAACAGATTTGTGTGAATGTGAATTATGAGAATCAACATTTGAACCAATGTTGTAAGCTGTTGGTCCAAATGATGATGTTACATTATTACTTACGGTATTACTGGGATTATTGTTATTATCACTATTAACATTATTAATGGTGTTATCAGCAATATTATTGTTATTGTTATTATTAGTGTTAATCATTATTGCTTGATCAAGATACTTTGAATGTGAACATGAACTTTTAGTTATTACTTTGGATGAATCCTTTTTTTTAAGATAATTGGCTTTACGCTTGGTAAATGCCCAAATGATCCACAAGGAAAAGGTTAAAGGTCCAACAATGGCAGCTCGAACAAGATTAATGGTAAAATTTATTCCACCAAAGCGAGGTTTAAAGTGTCCAGTTGTGGCCGTTGTTCCCTGAGTGGTACGAATAAAGGTTGTTGTCTTGGGTGGCGCCTGGTCAGCCAAATATTGAACCAACAGTTTGGCCATGCCAATGCCATCAATGACAGACTGGTGAGTACGAAGTATCAGGATAACCTGGTTAAGGTATGAAGCACAGCATCGACGTATCTGCCAGGGTGGAAGTGAGTGAGGCAGTGAACATGACATTACTTTAGTTAGATGGTCTTTCAGTTCACTTCGTGAGGTTAAAACGCAATCATTGATTATTTGCTTTTCAATGTTGAACTCTTCAAATGACAATCGTGACCAAACTGGAGTTCGAGTTAAACCTAAAGTTAAAGGTTGAGAAGGGAAAAGACATTAAAACATTGTTTAATTGACAATTAATGTCCGATTAATAATTGCTTCTTTAATATTGTAACCAGCTTTTGCTACTTTTGTCGCTCTCAAATTGATTCAAAATTGGTTCAATATTTGCATTCATCGTTATCCATGTTTACCCAAGTCTACTGAGTTTAGATATTGAATTGGCTTTAATCAGATGAAGCAAAGGAAAGATTGAATGAAAATTTCTTCATTTCTGGAAAACTGTATTTACAATCAAATTTAAAAATGAAATTCAATATTCAAATATAAATGTTTGAGAAACAGACATCAATCTATTTAATCAATTGCTACAAGAAAAAACTTGCGATTTAATTATGTTAATTTCAAGATCGCCTGAAACGGAATTGAAGACATTTCATGAAATGCAAAAATTTGAAGCTTCCATTTACATAGCTAAGTCGATTCAGAATAATCTTTTTTTGGGTACACATTTGGTTTTGAATATAATCAGAATTATAAATCTATTTATATTAAAGATTCAACTAAGTAATCAGATTTGTCTTGACAGCTTTTCCCAAAATTGTTGACAAACAGATTCGAAGCCAATGAAATGAAAAACTAATTCGAGGCACAAATAATGGTCATTCACTGGAGGTTGAAATGTTCTCAATGGTCAATTTAACTAATTTACTTGATTGGAAAAGTGTAATATTTACGTAAAAGGATTTAAAATGGAATCATTTGTGTATTATAAATGATGAGTAAAATGGCGAGTAAAGGACTTGAAGTTTTCATGATCAACTCAGAATATGTTGAAGCAAAGTCTAATCAAATGCCCAGGGATACCTTTACCTATTAAAGGACAAGCTTTGTTTAATTAGGTTTTGATCAAAGGTAAACAACAAATGTACATTTAACAAAAGAGTTAATAAAGTAAACAGTATCATTATTCACATTGACCAGCCTTAACCAGAAAAAAATGGATCAATATTTTTATTCGTAAAAATTAATTTTCCACAAACAATGCAAATTAATTAATCAAATCAAGGTTCATACAATTAGTTGATTATCATTTTTCAAGGATAAATGATTAATGAATCTAATTGGAACATAAAAAATGCATAATTGTACAATTGGAAAGCAGATCAAAAGAGAAGGTAAAAAGGCAAAGAAATGGAAAGGATTCAAATTGTTTTTCAACTCTTTCATGGATCTAATAACCTATTAGAGCAACAAGCCAATGAAAGCTGGTGTAACTGCTGTAAGGTGTTGACTGAGGCAGAAAAAGTAACGGCAAAAGTCAGAGACAACCTGTTAATCATGGAAGGCAATTTGATGAGAAACATTTTCTTGGTAGTTTGGGTGAAGAAAAGGGTTTCAACAACACTTGAACAGGGAAGGGAAAGAGATGTAATTTAGGTTGAAGCAAATAACATGAGTTGACTTATTCAAGAATCCAAATCATTTATGGTAAAGTTGGTTAAAGATGTTTAAGTAAACCAATTCATTTGGAAATTGTTTCTCAATGAACAAAAGTTCTTGCGTAAATTTCATGATCATTCAAATGAAAATATTCATTTTTATAATTCTTATCATTTCAGGCTATTCATTCAATCGATACAAAAAAGAGTCTCAATGATTATCGCTTTCCAAAAGAAAATTACAGAATTTCAATATTGATTAAAATGATATTTACTCAATTTACAGCAATATTGATACATTTATTACAAAACTAGATAATCTAGTTTCACCAATCAAGTGGAATCACATGAGAACTCGAGAATGGAAAATTCACTGGAGAATAAAATAGTTTTTAAAATTCATGGCAGAACTCGATTTTTTATAAAAAAACTGATAAAGAGGAAAGTTCAGTTCTAAATAAGTTAAAGAGTTTCTTTGCACATTGAAGTCCACCATTAGTTTGTAACGGTGTGAAGGGTTGAAAATGAATTAGCTTCACATGATCTGACTGTTCAGAGAAAGAAATGGAATAATCTGGTTCGAAGTAAAACGAAGAGAAATAATGAAAAGTATTCACAAATGATTCAATCTGCTCTTTACATGACTCTACGAATCTCAATTTATCATGTCTTTTCAAGAGTAAGAAAAGCTATCCACTGAACTCATCCTCAGATATCATTAGTCTTTCACTGTTTTGCATGAAAGAGAAAGGGTTCAAGCAGCTGAGATGATTTAATAACCAACTTGCAAATTCAAGAGATCGAGGCTTCTCCATGTTTTTCATCAAGTTGCCTGAAAAGAGATCAAATTGAAGCTGAAAAGATCACAGATACTTTTGAAGATTCCAGCAGCTTTATTAGATAAAAATTTCAGAACTTGGATAATCAAATAACTCTCATTTAATAATCGAAAATCGAATAAAAAATGTGAAGAAAAATCAGGAAAATTCACAAATTTTTCTCAACAAAATTCAAAGCCAAAACTGTTTTGATTTGTCCATCAAAATTCATCTCAGTTTCACGATTAGAAATTTGAAACAACAATTATTGAATTTTTGACTTTGGCGAAGTTTTCAATGGATAATTGTTTTACCGATGAAACCTATTTTCCAGACTTATTCTGAAGAATCAATATTCACTGAAATCATTACCTAATATTTGACCATTAAATTGAAGAAACAAGTGAAATGTTGGAAGAAAAGCAAACCTTTGGTCAGTAAATGTTAACTTTGAAATGTGATAGATGATAATAATGTTGAATCAATACATTTTACCAGCAACTAGAAATGATATATTACTGTACTATTCGGGTTAACAAGTTTATTATTACAATTGGTTAGTTTTTGGGTTCATATTTTTACTGGTTAAGAAATCATTTTGCCTGTTATTATAATAAATGTATATTAATAAATACATAAATTACGATTGATAAGGTTAAATAACGAGAATGCAAGAGGTAATCAAGTGGAGGAGAAGAAGGAGGAAAAATAATAATCAATAAGACGGTAAATAGTGATATTTGGGTTCATCTAAGGTAAGTGAACATAAAAAGATGAAAATGAAATACCAGATAATTTGTAAGTTTGTTTTTTCTGTTCCTTCCCTACGCACACAATCAAATCATTAATTCAACATTTTGTGGTGCAAAACTGAGTAACGATATAACATGAGTGAAAAAAGTAAAAGTTGCCTGAAAAGAGTTTGCTAATCATTTGAAATGTCAACGTTTTTCAATTGAAAACCTTTCCATCTCGTCATTGATCAACTGTGAATAAAAATTTGAAATGTTTGTATTAAAGGATAAACCTTTTTTACCCAATCAATACAAATCAATTATCAAGCCTTAACGATGAAATAATGTCAGTTTCATCGTCAGTTTTTTTTCTCAGTTGAACTTGAACAGTCAAGGAAGGCAAAAATGAAACTGAAGTACGAGTGACAGACTAACCAGTGAACCAGATTTTGTGAGAATCTCTTAGATTGGAAAGATGATGATCAAGATGAGTAAAGATGTGAACACAAAAAAGAGATGAAAGATTGGAAAGTTCAAGATGGAAAGATGAAGGAAAAGTTGAACCAGAAAAAAGTAGAGTTTGCATTCACACAGTCTTGGATTGTTAACTTAAATTTAAAAAATGAAACGTAAAAGGATGATGAAGATGAACGATGTTTGTGTTGAAGGATGAAAAGTCCAAGTCAGGGTAAAAGATGAGGATAAAATGAACAAAATGGCAGAATACTTTTAAAGAATCAAGAAAAATATGAACAAACTGAATTACAATTGTGTGTACAATTTTGCGTGAACAAAGTGCAACAAGATTTACTATTTGCCAAAACTAGCAAAATTCAATTTTTTGTTGCTTTTCAACAAAAAAATGATATTCTCAAACAATTTCATTTCTGGAAATACATTTAAATAAATTATCAAACATTGAAATTGGAATCAATTTTTTCTCAATTTCAAAGATTAGTCGATATTTTCAAGTCTTTACTTGCAATGATTCATGAGAGTTAAATCAAGACATGAATCAACTGCAAAACTGGTAAAGACATTGGTTGAAACCGATTATTATTTAGATTTGAAAGATTGTAATTATAATTGAAAGTGTAAATCCAATTATGATTAAATGTTTCGACGTTTTTTTTTCTTGTTTCATTCAATTTTCAATGAATTTGGGTGATTTTGGGTTTTCTTGGTTAAATTAATGGAATGATATGGAAAAAGATTAACAAGGGAAAGTAAAAATTAATGTTGATGAGAATCATTGAGCCTTTTCAGTTGAGTTTAATCTGGATGAAAGAGATGGAAAAGATGAAAAGAAAATGAAAGAATGGAAAAAGCTTATCAAATGAATTGAATGGAAAAATATTGTTATTATCTGAATAACGTTGAATGGAAAGAAATGGTTCAACGTTAATTGTTAAATGGATCAGAATTTAACTTGAATCAATATTCATTTAATATGAAAATTGATGGTTTAAGTAAGAAAATATATGAGATTTTCAAGCTATTATTTGTAAACTTATCATGATTCTTGTTAGAGTGTCATTCTTACAAATACAAGATTTTATTTTTCCATCTTCATGTAATATTAATGATGAATATGAGCAGATTCAGACAGAACTAAAACTAACCGTAGATGTTGTTTGAATGTTGAATAAATTTTTGTATCTACTTTTAACAGTCGCTTATAATGGACTGTATAAGTTGACACAAAAAATTGTAAAATTTTGGGTTTCAAGGTTTGTGGTTCAATTTGGTTATTATTGGGATTGAGGGAAAACGCAGAAATGGTTGCATTTTCATCATGATATAACATGGGAAAAGGAATGAAACAAGATATGAAGATGAGTTAACATGAGGTAGAGGGAAAAAATAATCATGAAAGGGATTAAAATCGATAAAGTTGAATAGGAAAAGGGAAAAGATAGAGAATCTCAGGAAAGAAGAAAAAAAAAGGATAAAATTGATTTGGACTGAGGGAATTGGAATAAGTTTGATAATAGAGAGTAAAAATGGTTAGCAGTGGAATGGGAAGAAGGAGAAGAGGAACAAGAAGATGGTGATGATAAAAATGAAGATGGAAGAGCAAGAGCAAGTTAAAGGAAATCAATAAATCTAAATGGAAACAACAATCGACCTTTTTGCCAGCAGAAAACATATGATCAAGATACATGAACGGTGTTAACTAATGTTTAACTGAAACAATATTTTTACACGCCTCTGTTAATTCAATATCATCATCAAGAATCATCATCACCTTGATAGCAATTACAGTATATCATGTAAAGAAAAATTTACAGCGACAGATAATAAAAGCTATACATGGATGATAATGACGATGAAGGAATAGAGGACAGATAAGAAGTAAAAATGTTCAAGTACAAAAAGACTAATGGTTTCTGCGTGAAAGCTGACTGTTGCTCATAATTGTTACCAATATCAATGTAATATATATTTGGGTAACAATCAACTTGATGAGCTGAATGTTAAAGCTACTGTAAATGGCGCTCCTGTCTTTACCCAAAGTAAATCTCAACACTTTTTGTCTTCATTGTTTAATGCACATTCACGTGATTCTTATCTCCCTATTCATGAATATTCAGTCAATATTTATTGTTGCTCTTGAGTGTCTTTTCTGTTTCCTTCATTCCCTCTGTCTTTATCCAGTGAGTTGATCATGCAATATAAATTCTATTCTGAAATGGAAAAGAAGATGAGAGAGAAAAAAAAGAGGTTAGCAAAGAAATGATTAGGATGATGATAATGTGAAAGATGGGAAGAAATGAGGATTTTTTGTCATCATCATTTGTTATCCACTGATAATAGTGAAAATCAATTTGTGATTGTCACCGTTTGCCTGAGGGTGGGTAAGATAACGATATCATATTACCATGGAGGAAGCAAGAGTCAAGTCAATTTCCACCTGGTTTCAATATAAAAAAGTACTGTTATTATATTTATTGGATCATTTTTTACTCTTCTTTTCATCGCTTTCTTTTCCAACCTTTTTCCGCTATTTCACTTGGTTATTTCAATTTTAGAATCAATTTTTAAATCAATATTTAATCAGTGTTGACTATATCTTGACAATAAATCAACAGTTTTGATCGTCAATGGAAAAGAAGAAAAAAATAATCAAGATTAGGTGTGAAGATAGTGAAGGTTAAGTTGAGGTGGAACAAAAAATAACAGCTTTTAAATGCATCAGTTTTCAACCTTTTAAAGAAGCAAAGGAAAACTGATAACTTTTTTTTCATTTTATATAACCTTAATCACTGAGTTTATCCCTTACCTTTGTAACATAAAACAGATCGGAAACGAGCCATTTCCGGCTTTTGGACCACTCGGGCCATAAAAACATCTCTTAACTGGTCAATATTTAGTTCACGGTCGATAAAAAGAAGGCAAGTGCTTATAGAGTTTATCTTGGTTCTCGGGCCAAGATTATTATTTGAACCTAAACTGTTTGGATTATTATTGTTCTGGTTGTCATCATCATTTGAGCTGCATTTTGTTCGTGAAGCTATACTCTGTGGAATCAACCAGTATGATTCAATGGGAGTTGTTTCAATCATGGTTGCCGGATTTCCTTTAGAACAGCAATTTAGACACTTTAAAATCAGCATTGCTGGAATCAGAAAACAGGACAATGTTAGGACAACCGGCAGGCCAGTGATTAATGCCAGTAGAGTAAAAAATAGGGTTAATAGGAAAAAGGAAGCTATTGAACGATCTAGTGGATGTTTCAGGTATTTAATTGGCCTCGATTTGATTCCACCATAACCGTGGCTTAGCTTCTTTTTGATCTTTGACTTTTTATTGTTTTTAACCAATATCTTGATACGTTGATTGAGGTGAGATTCATCGATGGATGAGTATGAATCGTCAACTGAATGAGGAGAAGGCAGAGAAGCTTGTTCAAATTGTGAAGTAAGATGTTGATGGTATTGATGGTATGAAGTAAATTGAAGATGACTTGGTGAATGTGAATGCTTCCTATACACTGGACAAGGATCAGAAAGGTATGATGTTGTAGATTGTGGATCATCTTCATTGTTTGGAGCCGACCTCCTATCACTGTCATCATGGTCAATTGGTGATCTCGATTCAGCCAGATAGTCACTGTCACAGTATCCAGGTGACGGGTGTGAGGGAAGTGATGATGAAGATGGTGGATCAATGGGTTGTATTCGTATTCTAGTTGATTGCAGTGGATTGGGTGATGATGCATCATTATCTTCCTCATCTGGATCAGTGTCATGCTTATCTAAAAAACTTTTATCCAGCATTCGTCTTGATGGTGATAAGTGTAATCAATTGAAACATTGAGATGATAACAACGCATACCCAGCAAAATGGAATGACAAGGAAATGAATCGATTAAGCTCGCTTATGGCCAAAATCAAGTTGAGTAGAAGCAAAAGCATGTTGAATCGTGCAAAAATGATATTTTGTTGGAAAAATCACAAGTTTTAGTCATTGATTGAGCAAAAAACATCATTGACTTTTTTTCTTATTAATGATACGCTGAATATAGAAAGGGTCTTTTTGGTCAACAAGATAACATTAATTGGATTGAAGCAGCAACATAATGGTAGCTAAAACTCGAGTCAGCAATAAACAAAGTTAGATGATTTAGCATGTTCAACATAACTAGTTTCATTACGGTTTGGAATTTCACTGATTAATTACAAAAGAAAAGAATCCAAGTGTTGAACATTTGATAAAAATAGATGTATGTTAATGTTCATTTAACAAAAGAAACCATCAAATGGTTACAAAAAAGTAAGTATTCAATAAAAGAACAAAAACGAGCTTGAATTAGGTGATCAGTTTGTGGTTTGCCGGTTCATTATTAATGGTAAAAACGGTTGAAAATAACAGCTTTAATAGCAAAATGTATCGCAATTTTTGATGATTTGTTGGCTAATGTAAATATGGTGAGATAAAATGTAACGCGCGAAGTGTAAACAATATGGCTGATTAATTGAAGTTATTGATCGTTAATTAAAATAAACAAGTGAGAAAAGAAGAGAAGAGAAAGAGAGATCACAAGTTAAGTAAAGAAGAGTCGAATTGGGTAACAGGAATGGATATGAACAGAGTAAATTGAATAAAACTAATCATTTATAATCGAAGGTTGTTATTAGAAGGAAATTGGCTCCATCGAGCGAAAAGTAAAATGGCCATTAGAATGATAGCCAAAAATTGTCAAGTTGATGAGATGATTATAAAAAGGGATAATAATAACCAGATAAACAGATAATAACTGTAAAGCCAAAAACGAACTGTTAACGGTGGTAATGATGTTGGTTATGTGGTCGTAACTCCTGTTGACTATCAAATAGACACAATCACCAGACAGAAAAAGGCTATGAAGAGGTAAAAAATAACTGAACACAGGGAACAAAAGGTAACATCATGAGTAAACGAAGAAGCAAAATCTGTAATAATGCAAATTATCAGAATTTTAATGAACCCAAAAGAGAGGCAAATAAATAAATAACTAAATAAGATGGAGCAAAAATCGAGTTTACTTGTTTGATTAACAACACAGAACACACACAAATAGCAGATGATGATCAATGAGTTAAACCTTCTCGTCTGATTCACTTGTTTAACCACGTAAGCTACTGACATCTATCATTCACCCAATAAACCAAGATTGGGAGTGACATTTTTGGGTTACTCTGGTTACAAAAAGGCTAACTTCATTAGCTTTTTTCGTGATTAGTTTATTGTAATTTTACATATCAACAGTTACAATTAATTTATTACAAATATTTAGAGTATGATTATACTCTATACTCGCATGTGACTGTAAACATTCACCAAGCTTTACCAGTTTTTGGTAAAAGTTGGTATCAAATTAAACCAAAACCAGGTTTAATCTTCATATCGTCTTTCAACTTTAACCCATTTGGTATTTTAATTTCCACCTTTAACCAAAACAACTTGAGGAGAAACCAATTTTACGTCTTCTTATAACCTATCAACTATTAAATAATTGGAGTGGAAATTAATTTTAATTGCCAACTTGTGAGTTGCCGGTGTAATTTGATTTGCTCACAGGTTGTTTCCAGATTTGTTTGTTACACAGCCAAAGGAGTAAAGCGATTAATTTTAATTTCTATATTCTATCTTCTTAATTATTTCATTTTAATTTATTAATATTGTTCCATCTCTACAATAATGTAACCATTGTCATCATCATTATCATCATCATCATCATCATCAAAGGATGGACCCTTAAGCATGAAACAAATGGTTATAATTAAAGGGAAAACAAACCAACAAAAATAACCATTTTCTGGTTGCAATCCTTTTCTTTGAGTTTGCCAAAATATAACATTTCCCATTAAATTAATTTAAATAATTTAAACAAACATTACATAAATAATTATACACATTAATATTATGATTATCATTCATCAACAGAATCATAACCCGGCTAATAACAAGAAAAAATGTGTTGAAATGAACTAGCGTCAGACCCTAACCGGTAGCTTGTTTTTCATGCTAAGAGGTTATACTTGCTGCACTAAATCTCAAGACCTGCCGTACTAGTAAACGATGAAAAACCAGGAGCAAATGACAAATTGATTAACATCTTTTCCCCTTTTCAATTTAACCTCAAATAATGATGATTACAATTCAGTGTAAATTAGTATTACACATGGGAAACTACAAATGATTAGACCATTAATCCAACAAACCAATTTCACATTAAATCCTCTTGTTGTCCACCGAGAATTGACCCTTCAAATTGAGTCTTGTAATTCAACCTAAACCTGAAATAACCTAAAAGATTAAAATTGTAAAAAACCCAACAAAACCTTCAACAATAACAATTTCAACACAGATTAACTCAAATATCAATTTGAATTGGAAAAGAAAAACAAACCAAAAAATGAACATAAAATGTTTATTTATAAATTCACTTCAATTTTCAATGATTCGCCAAAGTTATTCTGATAAATGTGTAAATCACAAAACATTATCATTTTAGTTGGACAAAACAAAATTCCATCCCTGAACAGTTGGATATAAAGACTACAAAGACCAACTCTAAGCAAGGATAAGAAGTAAAAAAAATGAAATAAAGTTGACCAACATGAAAAAAGTGAAAATATATTAATATAAAAAAGTAGACTTGAATGATACTCAAACTGATAACAAATGATAATAATAATTTGTAATAAATATGCATTGAAAATGTTTTCATGGAAACAAAAAGAAAATGTTTCACTTTTCTTCTGTCCAGTTAAACATGATAAATGGATTGAACTAACCTTCAAGTTTCCAGGTCAACTACAAACCGTCCAAGAATCAATTTCAATTTGAAAACAATTCAAAATTCAATTTCCGCTTCTCAACTTACCGTCAAACCCAAAGCCGGAATCGAATCAGAAGCTGAAAAAAAGTTCAACTCTAACTATTAAAATTAATATTAAAATGAAACAAAACAAACAACAAACGATTCTCAACTCAACGAAAACGTAAACCCGAAAAATTCCGAACGAAAAGATTTTCCAAAAGTCTTTCAATTTCTGTTGAACAAAAATTGAATTTAAATGTTGAACCATTGATGACATTCAATTCATGTTCAAGTATTTCATGAAATCCATTTGAAAGTTGATTGAAAGGCAAAGCTGTTGAACCACACAATTAGGTTAAACTTTGGAGTAAAAAGTAAAATTAAATTTAACTCGATGGTAAAGGGCATCATGAACAGATTCATGGTTTTCAATATTGACCAGCATAAACAAGAGTCAACATGGTGAAGCGAAATTAGAGGTTTTTAAACTTGGAATCAATTATTTACTTTTCCATTGGAAATTCTCGATTTTCGTTGGTTTAATTGAGTTAGAATGAAATGTTTTAAAGTAAACTAATTAATTATTGATGAACAAAAAGTTACAATTTGTTTCAATCTGATTATTTCAGATCAATAAGGAACTTGAACTCAAATTGATGTCAATAATTTACTTTTGCCTTTCAATAATCATTGACATTATTTTATATCGAAATACATGTTTTACCTTGAATTTTTTTCTCACTTTTTTCATTCTTTTCTTCATTTCAACTGAATCACCCACTGAACTTACCTATATCATTATCATACTTTACTCTCTGTTCATCATTCCACCATGGAACTGAGCAAACTCTGACTATTTCTTTCGATTCAATGTTTTCTTCCACACTTCTCATCATTCTCATCATTTATCCTCATCTTCATCATCATTCTCTCATCCTAATCATCTTCATCTTTTCCTTTCTGTTCACTTTTCCTTAAGTCTTTAGATTGTAGTTTTATTTATCAAGGCATAAATAACCTTAAATTGTATTAAATTTATACTCAGTTTGGTTCAATCGTCAATTAAAATTGTTGCAAATTGTATCATCTCATGTAATTGAAAATTTGGGAATAAAAAAGATTGCAATCAAAATTTCATTTCCATCAGAAAAAAGTGAAAAATTGATGTTTACCAACAATTTTTGTTGTTTGTTCAAAGTGATTTTGGATTAAACTGTTGAAAAACACTTTTTCCACCCAAAAATGAGCTTTAATTGTTCATTGGTAAACAATTGCTCCAACTATTTATCAACATGAAAATTAACCAAGTAAATTGAACAATATCTAACAATATCAAACAACGAACCTGAAAAGTCAAAAGGAGAAACTAAAAGTGTAAACAAAAGTTTAACCCAAATTATTCAATGAACAATCCAAGTTTCCTTCAATCATCATACATCTTTATGCTGATTACTTTTTTCAATCTCAACCAAGGTAAGAATATCAATTTTCAATTTATTTCCATGTCACAGGAAAAGAATGTCAAAAAAGAATGAAACAAATAAGTAAAAACTCGATCGAGAATAAAATGAAAGAGAGAAAAACTCGAAACTCAATTGAAATGAAACCCTTTGCTTAACTCGAGTGCCATTCAAGTGTACAAAGTTTAGGTCAAGAGGAAATTATTTATTCAACTTCAATTAGGAGTTGAAAAGTCAATAAGGATTTCCTCGGAAAAAGAAGCTGGGAGTGTAATACAGTATTCAATTGGACGCAGCTTGAGCTTGAGTCCATCAGGGAATTTTAAATAGCATTTAACTGGGAGTGTAGCTGGGAGTTCGACTGGGAGTTTGATTCGAAATTAGATTGGGAGTTCGATAGAGAACTCAATTTAGAACTTAATTAAAGTTCTATTGCGAGTGAGGTCAGAGCGTGGAATTGAACGGGTCTGGTGTGTTTTGGCCGCGTTACGAGGTCAGTCTTTGGACTAAGTTATTTCGTTGGATTTTTGTGCAACGATCAAAAAGATGATTTCATATAGAGAACTTATATCCAAGCAAAAGTCCAAGGAATTATACTGGGAGTGCAACTGGGAGTTTAATAGGGAATCCGATTGGGAATTGTGCAAGGGATTGGAATTTAACTCTAATCTTGTCTTAACACTGAAATGAATGAAAGTTTTGCGAAACTCTGAGTGAATCTTTTTGAAACTAGCTCTAGCGACTAGCTCTTGGATATTTACATGAATGAAAAGCAAATAACTGAATAAGATTCTATTCGCCTTTTTCAAGTGTTTATACTTATCCTCGATACTTGAATTGAACTCTCTATTCCACTGAAAGTCTGGTGTTTCCGCATGAAAAAACTTGAAGGATTCTCCAATACAAACTTCCAAACTCTTGTTAGTTTGAAATGGTTTTGAGGTAATAAGTTGAGTTGAGAAAGGGAAGGCAGAAAAAACGTGGAATAAACATGACCCAAGTTATTTTCTTTTTGAGTTATCACAAGGATATAACCATGGTCATGGATGAATATCACATGTACAACATCTGAGTTATCCGAATGACCATCGAAAGAAGTAAATGTGATTCAAATCATTTCTTTCCAATTGATTCTTCCTTTTCGCTGTTCCATTCATTTTATCCATTTCTTTGATTCCATCATCAGCTAACAAGAATTGCAACTTGATAATAATGAGAATAAGAATGAGAAGAGTAAAGATGTTCAATTGATTTTTGATGTCAATCCTGTCCCCTAATATGTCTAGGTGATGATTACATTTATCATGAAAATGATTTTCCATTTTCATCTCAGTAATGCATCAGAATAATTGTTCAACCAGATTGGTCCATTTGAATCCAATGATACATAACATTTGTTGATCGTCTTATTAAACTTTTATTCATTGCAATAAAAATGAAAGGTAAAGAAATGTAAAGCTTTTCAAATTGATTTTCTTCGAATCATTTGATTCCAATTTTTCAAAAGTACAATGAAACAAATGAAAAGTGAAAGTATCATCAAGTGAAAAGCCTTCACTTCAAAATTCACCTTCAACATTTGATCTTATTTAATGCTTTGATTGATCATTTTCAACCTTTTTACTTTCAATGTTTGTCAAGCTCAAGTTCATTCAAAGTCAAGGAAAAAAAACTTTCAACTGAAAAGTTTAATTTGCTCATTTAAATGTGTTGCAAGTTTTAAACTTTAATTGAATTTCAACAAAATGAACATTTATTAGTTAGCTAGTAATTAAAAAGGCAAAACATGAAATTCAATTCTTAAGAAGCTTAAAAAATGTTTATCAAGCGACTTCACATTTCATAATCACCTAATTGGGTGAGATGAGTAAAGTTGTTCACAATTAATTTGCTTCAACAGAAAGACTCCAACAATTGAGAGAAACAAAAACAGACTGAAATATTCAAGTTTTGTTCCAACAACTGATTTCTCAATCAGATAACTTGACTAGCTTCAATCATTCAATGAATATCATCGCTTCATTGATGATACCAAGAGAAAAATTCACAAATCAACGAAAACTCGTATCAATAACTTGTTCGCTTCCAATTACTTCATAACTCCAATTCACGAAGAATTGAGGTTTGATGAAGTTTCAATGAAGGTTTATTAAGGTTGCGTTTCGATCGTATGTTCAACTGTCGGAAGAAGTAAAACAATTAGCTAGCAATTTGTTTATTTCATTTGTTCATGTTGACTTTTAGCAACAGGTTTGTTGGAAAGTTTACATCGGCTTCAGGGCATTTCAAATTAAGTTTCCAAAGGATAAAAAATGATGAGAATTAAAGAACAAACTTGAATGTTCGTAAATGCTTTTTCTCTTGAGTTCAGCACAATCTGCAACTAATTACTCGGGATCATTGGCAGTGTTTTCAGAAAGGTTATGATTCGAGCAAAGATCAAACTTAGCTAATCATTTTCAAGAAAAGAAGCTCGAAGTCTCCTGAAATTTAGAACATTTGTTTTCTTCTTTACAAATAAGCAAATTTTACTGTGTTGGTCCATTGATTATCGAATAGTTAATTTCATTATTTTTGTCAATGTTTAGCTTTTGTCATATTTAAATTGGTTCTGTTTACTTTTCACAATTGATTAGAATCCTGGGAAAAACAATTATTCCAGTTATTATTCATTGTTATCAATATAATAAATTTGTCTTTCACTTGCCTTTGTTTGCGTATTAACAAACTAATATAATCTTTTCAATGTAACCATGTTTTTTGTACCTTCAATTCAATATCAAGGGATGAAGATGGTTATTGCTTTTAGATGAACTTTTATACTAAATCTTTTTTTCGCTAAGTTTACTTGAGTTGCAATAATAATAGTTGATGGTTAAAATGAAAAAAGTAAGAAACGACAAAATAGAAATGAAATCGAGTTAAGACTAACGAAAAAAGATGAACAACAACAAGAAGAAGCTATAATAGCTGAGAAGTCTTTTTATCTTCTGTAAAATATATATTATTAGGTAAACCGGAAAGTTTTTGCACTCTTGAAGTGTATCAATTTTGAACATTTAATTAATTTAGTAAAATTTGTTCAAATGATTCGATTTTTTCTAAAAAATTAAATCAATGTTTTTCCTTTAATTTAAATCCAATTTCATGATTTAAAACATTGATTAACGTGTTCAAATTTTGATTTAATTAAATCATCATTTGTTGAAATTTCGGATAATCAAATCAAATTGTTGATTAAAAATGATCAACAATACAAAATTGAGAAAAATTAATATCGACCGAAAGCTTAAATTCCATATTATCTCTGATAAAAATTTCAAAATTCTTATCATTATCATTAGTTAATTATTTTATGTTAATCAAAATTCAGTTTAACATTGAATCTCCATAGAGAGGGTATTTTTGATTTTTTTTGAGATTTCAATAAAAATTCAATTGAAAAATCTCATAGAAAACGGTCAAAAATACACAATTTTATCAGCAATCAAACTCATTAATTAACTAGTGATCATGATTAGAATTCTGAAATTTTTATCAGTGATTATATGGTATTCAAGCTTTTGGTCGCCATTTAATTTTTCTTAATTTTGAATTGTTGATCATCTTTAATCATCAATTTAAATTGAGCATCAAAAATCCCAAAGAATGATGATTTAATTGTATCCAAATTTAAATAAGTAAATCAATGTTTTGAACCATGAAATTGGATTTAAATTAAAGAAAAAACATTGATTTAATATTTTAGAAAAAATCGAATCATTTGAATAAATTTTACTGAATTAATTAATTGTTTGAAGTAAATATATTTCAAGAGTGCAAAAACTTTCCGGTTTACCTAATATATATATTCAATTGAACAATTCAATTCTTAAAGACTAAATTGTTCAATGAAAATCTTAGCAAAACAAGTCAACTTGATAATCTTTCAAATTTCCTTTCTTTCCTCATCTAATTCAGAGAAAAAGATAGAAACTTGAAATTTCTAATAAAACGAAAGGGTAAAAAGAGTCAAGTTTATTGTCACAATTGCAGTATCAGTGCATCAAAATTGCTCATTCAATGACAATATTCATAAATACTGTTATTCAATATTCGATGGAAAACAATTTTAAGAAAACTTGCAAATAACAATTCTATTGCAATCTGTTCAAACTCGATTCTTAACTCAAATGCTTATTAAATGAGAATCATCCTGAGAATCTAGAGAATCATCCTGAGTTTCTGAATATCTAGCAATCATTTGGTCTTAGTAAATGTGCTTGAACTTTCGATAGCATTTCTTTAGTTGTGATGCTTTTGCAATATCTTCTGGTTAACCTTTCAATTGCAGAATTAACACAGAACTGGACTTTATTCATTTTGATTAACAGGTAAGAACGCTCAGTTGAGGTAACTGAACGCTATCATCACCAAGATTACAAGTTATGAGTTTTGGGTTTTCTCTTGTTTCTCTTTTCTGTTCCCTGTAAAGCCTGTAATTTGGATCTTTCATTTTCTTGTTTCTCTTTTCATCATCCTGTCATTTATCCTTCCTTTTGCCTTGAAATTTCCAAAATTCAAGCTTCACCGAACAAAAGCTTTCTTATCAAATTTCGCTTAAATTGCGAGCAAAAATGAAGCCAACTTTAAACTTGAAAAGTATCAGGTTGACTCGAAATTGTTTTCCAGTTTTCAAAATTTGATATTCCCTCCAACTTGGCTACAGTAAGACAACTATCATAATCGGGTTATTACCTAAACTGGTGCAACCTAAAAGATTACATTGACAAAAAGTCTTCTAATTAGTGGTTAAAGTTGCTTCTAATAAACGTTTCATTTTTCATGGCAATACAAAACATTTCTCATATTCCTTTCACTCTTCTCACAATTCTTGCGAATCCATTGGAACATCGAGTTTCTCTTCTAACCCAATAATTGGTAAATGTAACCTTAAAAGATAGAGTTTCCATCTTCTTGAAGATTAACCTAATATAATGATTTCAAGGTTAAGATCAACAAGATTTTTCTTTC